TTTAAAATAAAAAACCCAAAAAAAAAAAAAAAAAAAAAAAAAAAAAAACGTTTTGGAAAAAAAAAAAAAAAAAAAAAAAAAAAATGCATAAATTGATCATTGTTTTGGCGCCAGAATTTAGTTTTTTGTTGACAAATCAGTCTGAATTGAACTAAAAGAAAATTTACATTTTTTTTCATCTTCTAATATTCTGTGTATGTATGTGTGTGGGTGAGTAAGTGAGTGTTTGCTCTCTTTTTTTTTCGATCGTTCAATATTCTAATGATATTCACTGATGATGATGATGGCCATGAATGACTTTGGGTATGGTCATCATTTGTTTGATGTTTGATTTTTTATTTAGTTCTCAAAATGGTGCAATTTTTTTTTCGTTGATTTCGTTTCTTTTGTTTAGAATGAATGATGCAAAAAATGTACAACGATGATGATGATGATGAAAACCTAAAAGGATCAAAAATCGTTCGAATATTTAGTTCAAACACGAAATATTCGGCTAATAAATGAAAAGTTTACATAAGTTCTTTTTTTTCAGTGTTTTATTTATGTTTTCGGGTCCATAATGGGAACGATTGTTGTTGTTGTTGTTGCTGAATGAGTGAGATGCAAAAAAAAAACAACGAGAAACAAAAAAAAAATCACACCAACATTGATTTTTTTTAACGAATTGACTAAGTGAAAGAAAAATAATAATAACAACAAAGTTATTTGAGGAACACATACATTTATTTACTCATCAGATGAAGAACATCATCATCATCATCTAACATTCGAAAAAAAACGATAAAGGAAAGAAAGAAAGAAAATATTATTGGATTTTTTTTTCTTTTAACCTGATTGAACTGAATTCATTTAGGTGTGATATTATGAAAACGACATTATTCATCACACAATTATATAATATATGAAGTAGACTACGAAGACTACGGGTCAAATTTTCCTCCTGGTTTTCTTTCTCACTAATTTTTTATGATCTTCAATCATGTTATTTTTTTCTTTCTTTCGTTTCAAAAATGGACAACAATAACAACAAAAAAACACCGGTCAAATTATGTTATGTAAGGTCATCATCATCATCATCTTTATCTACAAGTGCAACTTTTTTTTTTGTTCTTGTTATCGATTGAATAATAAACTTTGACCAATTCTTTCAGTATTGAGGAAAACATACACGAAAAGAATGATGAAGATAGATTTACAATTCTACATTAGAAGATAATGTTCATTTTTGATTTGTAAACCTTTTCTTAATTATTGAAACATTTGTTGAAGATGATCAATTTGGACAACTAAATCTGATTATTATTGATTGGGCGTCCTTTTAGTTATTATATGATTTTGATTTGAGAAAAAAAACAAAACAAAATAAACTAATTGAGCAATCAAAATATGTTTAATTTCCGATTGATCATTGATCAATCATCATTGATTGATTTTTGTTCATCATTATCATTGTGAATGTAATGCTTCAATGATTCATACAATTGTAGAATTGAAATCGATTTTATATTCAAGAAAAACAAAACATGATTTTTTTCGTGTTTACAAACAAACAAAACGAAAAAAATTGTGATCAATTTGTTTTTAAACCTAATGTATCCTTTGTATATTTGACTGATTCATTATAATGAATGACCAAACAACAACAAGGAAACAGATTTGAAATAACAATCTTTTTTTCTTCCTATTATCATTATATATAACATGTCAGACAGATGATTAGTCTATGGATATAAATATTTTTTTTAAAAAATGGTGGACATTTCATTCAAACAAAAAAATGTCGCGCTTGATTTGTTTGTTTGCTCTGTTCATCCATCTAATAATTTTTTCAAGAATATCCGTACATCTTGTTCAAAAAAAACAACAAAAAACAAGTACAATTGAGCCAAAGTAGGAAAAAACTCTAATTTCAATTTAATTATTAAAATCTAATCTATGTTTTGTTTTGTTTTTTTTGGGCATCTGTCTCAAATGCTGTTTACTTAGTTCAGTAGTTTTAACAAAAGATGATACCTTATTATACCTGCTTTTTTTTAATTTTGTTGATGTTATTGTTGTTGTTTTGGTGTTATGATTTATATCATCATCATCATCATCCATAATAATAATAATAACTATGAATGAAATATGATTCGGTATAGTTAAAAACTATGCATATAAATTTTTTCTTTCGGATCTACCATCATTATTTCGAATATGATTATCATTATTATGACAACTTGTTTGTTTGTTGAAATGATTTTTTCTTTAAAGATTTTTTAATTTGTCTATCTGTGAATAAACAAAAACAATGATTGTTGTTTTTGTTGTTGTTGTTGTTTGGTTAAGATGCTATGATACAATGATGAATCGACATGTTTTTATATGTGTGTGTGTTTGTGCACAATAGAATTTTTTTTCAAACATCATCTTATTATGAATGTAATTTTGAATGTTTTTTTTTAATTTTTATTTCATATTTGACAATAAATATAATTATCCACGAAAATGATAGCAAAAAAAATGTCATGAGACTTCATTGGAATTTTCATTTTAAAAATTGTTGTTGTTTTTATGTGCCTAAAAAAGAAAATAACCCGAAAAGATGCTTGTCAAAAATTCATATATAATTGGATCTTGTTCATCTTTTTTGTTGTTGTTAGTCTAGTTAACTGATAATGATGTTTATAAAGAAAAACAACACAAGGAATTCATTTTTTTTTTGTAAATTTTATATAATGATAGTCTGTTGTTTTTATTTTATTTTTTCGACTATTCATAACGAATGATGATAATGATGAGTTTTTGTCATTGATGTACATATACAAGGTTCGGCTTTATTAATTGTATTTAAATGATAACGATGTTGTTTAAATGAATAGAATGTAATTTGACAAAAAAAAAGAACACACACAAAGTAACTGTTATTTTTGTTTTGTTGATGATGTGATCCAATAATTTGTACCTATTTTTTCTAAAAATTAAAAAAAAACATTTTCGTGCTAATTGTTTGTAACATTTTCTTTTTATTTTTGTTGTTTTTTTTGCATATATAGTCATTTTTTGGGCGAACATACAATAATCTTTCAGCGTTGGGTGAATGTAAAAACAATGGCGAATGTGTCATCAATAAAAAGAATCGTACATCATGTAAAAGTTGTCGTCTTAAGAAATGTTTAATGGTTGGCATGTCCAAAAGTGGTATGTATTTTTCAATGATCTTCTTCTATCTATTTTTTCTTTGTGATTGACATTGGTATTTTTTTTTTATTGAAATCGATATTTATCACGTTTTTTTTCACATTCGATTCCATAGTTTTCTTTTCACGAATGTAAGAATTCATAATTTACAATTTAGATTTGTTTTTTGTTCGTTACATTCAGGTTCTTGTTGAATTGATTGGTGACGGATGTGATGGTGAGGATTGATATTGACCGATTATAATTCTGTGAATAGAAGAAAAAATATTGATTTTTTTATTCGATTTGATAAGCAAAAAAAAAAACATTCAATTTTCACTATTTTATTTGGATCATTGAATGATGATGATTGCGAGCACGTTTTTTTTCCTTAGTCAGTTTTGATCAAATGAAATATGCTCAATAGGAGTTCATCCATTTTTTTTGTCTTAGTTTTCGATTTGTGATGTATGGCATAAGCCGATTAAGTTTGATTTCCATAGCAAAAATTCATTATTACACATCGATGATGATGATGATGAACTGAAGGCTGACTAAAATATCAATGAATTCTTGAATCTTATTGAAGATTCAAGATGACAGCTATGAGTATTATAAATGCAATTCTATATCCATTCATTCATAATAGCCATAAACTTCTTGTCAATGAGATAGATCATCAACATTTGATCCGGTTGATCCTTTATCAAATCAATGTATGTGTGTTTTATATGAGTGTTTACATGGAAAAAAATTGATTTTCTTTTTTTTCACCAATCTTTAACTCAATCGAAATTTTGTGGATAATCATCATTATCAACATAATTTTGATTATATTTTCTTCTATATAAATATTGGAAATTTTTTTTTTGGTGAAAATTCCTGCTAAGTAATCTAAATTTATAAGTGTTGTTACAAGAAGGATTTTCATTTGGGGCTAAATCCCTTTTTATAAGATTTGAAAGATTTTTTTCATCACATAATCACCAATAAATGATTGAATGAATAAATGTTCAGAGAATGTAATTGATCGACAGTCGGAATTTTTGGCTTGAAAGAAAAAAAATTAACGATTTGATTTCACCATATATTGTCCATCTATTTCACAATTATTTTGTATATTGTCTTGTCCACCCCACCATTTTTTCTATTCACAATTTTTATCATTATAATCAACAATAAACAACAACAAAATATGATCTAAATTCGATTCTAATCGATTTTTTATCATTTTGTTTATTGTTATTTGAATCTATTCCATCATCATAATCATAATCATGATAATGTTGATCATCATTTTCATCAACAATGATAATGATCATAACCATAATGATGATGATATACAGGTGATCGATCGTATGATGAACACGATCTTCTATCGTAGATCATCCATTCAATTTTATTCATCAATATGCTTTTTGTTGTTGTTGTTGTTGTTAATGTTATTTTGGTTGAAATATATTTTTTCTTTTTTTTTCTACAGGTGAACTATGATTAGTTATTGATGCATTAATTATCATTGTTATATTTGAATGAATGATTTCATTTTCATCATCATCATCTTTATTCCATAAATATGAAAAAAAAGAAACATAAACAAAGATCGATTACAATAATAATAATAATAATAAATGTTAACGATGATGTTAATTTTTTCGGATCAGGATAAATTGCTGGATGAAGGTCATTATTTATCTTGGATTTTTTTTTTGTATTTTTATTTTCATCATTTTTTTTCTCTCTGAAAAAAAGATGGATGATTGTTGTTTTTGTTGATGCAAAAAAAAACAGCAAAATAAAAAAATTTCCCGTTTGTTATTGTTGTTCGATTATAAATCATCAATTCATTTCTTTTCTTTTCTTTGCTGTGCTTTATGGACAGCAACAACAAAAAAAGAACTGAATACAAGAAGAATGAAATAATGCACGAACTTGCATTAAATCAGTATGAAAGATGTATTTTTTGTATGATGATGATGATGATAATATTGTTCTGGATGTTATGGCTTCTATATTTATACAATTTACGTTCAATTCTAATAGAGTCATCATCATCATCATTTTTTTCCAAAATATTTTTCTTCATTCATACAAAACTAAAATGAAATGTAAAATAAATGAATTTCAACAACTTCATCTATGATCTATGAAGAAAATATTGAAACATTCGATGAATGTCTTGTTTTTATGTTTTTTCTTTCTCTCTCACACTCTGAATTTGAATATTGATGATTGAATAGTTTGAAACACATGGTTGATTCGAATATTAATTTTTTTTTTCGTTTTGTTTTTCACAAAAAAACGAAAAAAAAGCAAAATAAAAAATTCATTGCAAAAGCAAACAAATGAAATGCCCAAATTCAAATATTCGAAATGAAATTAATTCGTTGAGAAAAATCATAAATCACCGTTACGATAAATGAATGTTTTTTCTTTCACATTGAATCGAATATATAATGAATGTTCATCATTCATTCATGTGACATAGAATAGGATAGTATGTCTTTGTTTTTGAGTGTGTGTATCGATGTCGAATCAATTCGATGATTATTATTAAAATATTTTTTTGAACAAAAATTATGACTTTAATATCAATGAAAATGAAGACAATAGAGCAGATGATGATGATGATAATTCCATATAGAGAAATAAAGTTTCATAAATCCTCATACAGATGATGGTGATATTCATATTTTAGCACATTACAAACCTGTACGGCTATAGCACGTGTGTTTTTTTCATTTATTTTTTGTTGTTCATTTTCAATCGAAATATTATTGATTAAGACATTCACTATTTGAAATTCATCAAATTTACATCCATATTTGAAATGGTAATGATGGGCATAGTTCGGCTCTCTAGTTTCAGAGAAAAAAATACTAATTGATTGTTTAATAAAATGTCCTGATTGTTAATGATATGAAATGGAAATTTTCTGTTAATGTACATCACGACCTTTTTATTCTCTTTAATGTTTGAATATGGAATTTCAATAATTTCATTTCAATACACTCCTATATGAATGTAATAATCTAATTAATCCAATAAATTTCAAAAAAAAAAAACAAAATCAAATCAGATCCTGATTATTAGCTCCAAATATATATGATTATTACCATGATAGTGACCACCAGCCATGGTGAAAAAATCATTCCTTAGATTGAACTAAATAATGTTGGATTAGATTTCGATTTTATTGCCATTTCTTTCTTATTTTTCTTGTAAAAAAATATACCGAAAATGTTAACTCGCTCGTTTATGTTTTTTTTCCTGGCCCACACACACATAAAAATTTATATGGGATCCAGTGAAAACGAGAAAGAGAGAAATAAACAGATTAATTATAGCCTGATTGGTTTGATCGAACATCGATGGTTGAAATGAAGAAACTACACCACACACAACAAAATCGTGTTACTTGAATTTGAACAAAAAAAGAAAACAAATTCCATAATCGTTGGTTTGTCGGATGCGTCACGTTTTGAATTTATAATTCAACAACAACAACATGTTTTGACAAACACACACACTTCCAGTTCTGTATAAATTTCTTTTTTTTCAATTACAATTTATTATATCATTTTCCAGCATTCAACATTAAACGAACAAATTGATTTTCTTCTTCTTCGACTAATAGCTTTGCAGCCATTTCCTTTTTTTCAACGAGATTGATTCATGTCATCATCATAGATTTATTTTAAACTTTTTTTCTCTTTTTCTTTTTTGCATCTTTGTTGTTGTCGTAAGAAACAACAAAAAAAATCGATGACAAATGATTTCTTTTCTTTTTCCTTTGAAAAATTTTTATTGCTGTTTGATTATTGAATGGATGACAATTCGGATTTTGAACTGGAACTTTTGTTTTTTTTTGTCTTTTACATCATATCTCGCTTTCTTGCAATCAAAATAGCAGACATGAAGAAGATTTTTTTTCCAATAACCATATCAACTTGAGCGGCTTGGATTTTCTTTCATCATCAATTTTTGTGTTCAGAAAAAAAATTTCGGAAATTTTTTAATATTTAAAAAGAAAGAAAGAAAATTTCTCAAGACAATAATCGACAATAACATCAAAAAATCGAATCAAAAATCTATTTTTCGATTGTGTCGATGATGATGATCCGGTCTTGGTCAATCTTTTTTCTGTGTACACACTCTCAAAAAAAAAAAATATATATATGTAAATCATCAATATAATTTCATATCTTTTTAACTTTTGCCGATCATAAGTCGATTAATATTTCATCTTTTTTTTATTCGATCATATATTATATACACACAAAAGAAAGTGGAAGGAAAAAAAATTTTGCGAAAAAAAATGTATTTTTTGAATTTTAAATTTTATCGAAGCTCTAATTTATTTGAAAAATTTTTCGGAAGGTGAATGTGAATATTGGATTCGATTAGATTTTTACACTTGGCCAAATGCAGTTGAATAAAAGTTTCCGAATATAGTTGATTTGAATGAGTTAAATATTGCGGAGGGAGGAATAAAGCCAAGTAGCCAAGTGAAGAACAAAGGAAATTTCCCGGTTCGAAATTTGACGGAAAATGTCGAATTTTTATTTTTTATTTTGTTGTTTTTCGTAATCACACTAGGTACGCCATCTATCTTTTTTTGTTTGTATTTGACTTATTCTATACATTTGTAATCATTGACGGAAATTCGGTGATTGAAATTCAAATTTTTGATTATTTCATTTCATGTAAATCTAATTAATTATTAATATTTAATGATTTTATTTGAATTTATTTGTATTTGTGTCTTTGTTCGATGATGCCAATAATTAACATTACATCACAAATGAAAACAATGGTCATACTTGCAACATAAATGCATAAGAATAAAAAATATTCAAGGTTTAAATTACTAACCAAAACAAAATTAAAGAATCCATTGATTTTTCAAATAATTTTCATTAAAAATGGCAAATTAAACTTGTTTCTTTGACATTCAAAAATATTATCTGCATTTATTCAATCTTTATTAACATCAATTATTCATCAATGATTGTTATATCAGCAAAAAAAAAACAGTTATTCGAATTGTGCCAAAATTATTATCATAATGAAATATTTGCAAACCAACTAACAAATTCGAATGAAATTATCCAAAAGTTTGGCATCAATGATAATCATACCCAAGCGAAAGATTTATTTGCCGTTTGAATTTTTCTTTTTCTTTTTAAATTTTATTTTATTGAAATAATAAATTCAATTTTCAAAGCACTCTCGTGTGTGTGTGTTTGCGTATATTTAGATTGATCTCATCACACATCTTGATCTCAATCTTTAATTTCATTTTCGTTTCGATTCGATTTCTTGTGAATTTTTTTTCAAATTTCACCCTTTAAACATCAAATGATTATAGCACACACACGAATAGATAGATAAACATCTTCAAACATTTGATATTTGAAATGTGTGTGTGTGTGTGTTGTCGTTGTTCAAGTACCGTTTTATCGATTTGTAAATATTTCCACTAACAAAAAAATTAAATTGAAATCAGATTTATGTAATAAACTTAAAGTGACGGAAAATCCATATTAAGTAACTGAAAAAAAATAAAATTTTCCAGAAAAAAAATGCAAATACATTGCCTGGTTGCATACATTCTTAAAAGATAAAAATCAAAGATTATCATAATAAATATAAAAAAATATCCATATTTTTGTCTTAATAATAAAAAAAATTCTTAGAAACAGTATATAAACGTTCCATTTTATTGATTTGATTGTCAAATAATGAATTATAATGACAGGAATCTTAAATAGCCCGTTGAATCATCTATATTATTGCCTATTTTCAAAATGAATTCATTAAAACTAAATGAATGATTATGAATGAATTTAAATCGATTCTTACGAATGTTGAAATGCCAAAAGCATGTTGATTGAATAATCTTTTTCAAGTTTTTTTCTCTAATACCAAATAATAATAATAATAATAATAATAATAATAATAATTTCGAGGTTAATACACACAATCCCAAGTACAGGTAGATTGATTTCATCCAAATTCAATTCATTTGTTGTTTGGCTGCCAAACATTCAATTTCAAGGTTGTATTGCATACTTACGTACACAAATTGATGTGCTTGATGTTGATCTTCAATCTCTGTCAAATTAAAAACCAAACGTTTCGATAAATCCATTTGTTATAAGTACAAAATCTCTATTTTTTATTCTTTTTTTATACAAATTTGGAAAAACAATTTCAATCTAATTAGTTTGGTTATGATTTTGTTTTTTGTTTGTTATTATTGTTGTTGTTGTCAATAAAATCATTGGAAAAATAACCTGCAATTTTTATTTTCAATAATATGTTTTTATTGATGTTTTCTTCTTTGATTTGCCTTCTGTATTTGTGAATTGAATTGGTTTAATTTTTTGGAATGATGATAATGAATTATCTTAAACTTGAAATCTTGCCATTAGGAAAAAAACAATTAGGATCATGTGATGATGTATTTATTTGTATATTTTATCGATGTTTATTATTTCGAGGCGTTTATGTTGGTTTATGATAAAATGTAATTATCTAATTATGTAATAATTTTTTTCACTTTTATACTAGTTTTTAGAATTGATGACTTTTTTTACTTTTTTCTTCAAACAAAATCACCATCTGGTGAAATTTTTTTTCACGTGCATTACTAATTAATGATTTATTTTTTGTTTTCTCGTTTGTCATAGGATCTCGTTATGGTCGCCGTTCGAATTGGTTCAAAATACATTGTCTAATACAGGATCAACAGGAAATGTCTAATCGTATGACCGAACAAGGTTTAAGTTTAACTGGCCAAGGCAAGAATGGATCATCAGATGTTGATATGAAAATTTCTGATACTAAAGAATTTCTTGCCAAATTCAAAGAAAATGAATTACGGAACACATCAGCCGTCGTTAATAATCTCAATGAATTGACAGCTGCTGCTGCAGCGGCTGCTGTTGCACAAAATAATAATAATAATAATTCACATTCGCATCGTATCTCACCACGATTAGCCGCATCACCATCGACGACTAATTCCGAAGGATCATTAGGTCATAGGTCCGTTTCATCTCCATTTCATCCGGGTTTATTTGATTCGGCCAAAATGACGAATCCATTTACGAATCCATATCTACCAGCAGCGGCCGCTGCAGCCGCAGCTGCTGCTGCTCAGCAACAACAACAGCAACAAGCTGTTAATAGTCTTCCTTTTAATGCCAATGATTTTCAAAAAGAATTCAATAATTTAGCCAGTCGTTTTAATCCTGGAACGATACCTTTAGCACCAATATCACCATTATCTCCATTAAATGCAGCCGTTTCTCGTTTATTCTTACAAAACAATAATGCAGCAAGTGCTATGAGTGTTCTGGGCAAACGTTTCTCAGAATTACAAAAACTACAAAATGAACAGCTTTTGTTAAATCAAGCAGCCAGTCGATTTTTGAATCCAACAGCAACAGCTCTTCAACAAGCTGTACTTAAACAACAACCTGGTCTAAATTCCAGTATAGGAACAGTCATACCAAGCCAAAAAGACCTCGTAGAAGAAATGACCAATGGCATTCGGCAATTTTATGGTGATACACCGGTACAAGATGGTCCTATTGATTTATCCATTAAAAAACTAAGTGATTATAGAGAATTATCATTAGCCGCTGCAACAGCAGAATTATTGTCTAAATGTCATACACAAAAAATTCCTGGCGATCATGATTCCGGATTTTCGCCATCAAGTAATGAAGATAATCATAATACATCACCATTAGATCTGACATCAACCACACAGACTAATAATTCAAATATACTTAGTAATAAACGGCCATGTTTATCATCTGTTCGAAGTTCTGGTGGCCGTTCTGCATCAATGATGTTGATCAAAAATAATTGTAATAATAAAAATATTCATAATGATAACAATAGTAAACTGGAAAGATTGTCATTAAAAACGTCTAAATCACATTTGTTAGAAGATAATGAAGATATTGAAGTCGATGAAGATGATGAAGATGATGATGTAGATGTAGCCGATGATTATTGTGATGATGGTGATGATGAAACATCTGATATCGAAGTTCATAATAACGAAAATAATAATGATAACAATGATGATTATGATAATGATATTATGAATGATGATAATGATACACATCTACATCGTAGATTTTCGACAAAAATTTCCAAAAGAATTTCTAATGATTTGAATTCGAATCAACATAACAACAATAACAACAACAGTCAACATAGTCATCGACATGAAATTCCATGTTCACCTTAATTGAATTACAACAATGTCATTCATCTGAAATCATTTCCAATTATTTTCACTTATCTCTCAACACACACTAACAATTTTTTTTCAAATTGTCCAATTGACTCACATTTGTTTTGTTATTTTTTTTTGTGAATGTATCTCATAATCCTATCTATCTTTCTCATTCTCTTTTCTCACACTTTTATCAAAACAAACAACTTATAAATGAAAAATTAATAATAATAATAATTCTTCGAACTATGATTACGAAAATTTACTTAGACTGACATTACAGAATATTGTACACTGACACATTACACACCAAAACAAACTACTACTTGATCATCATCATAATCATTATATTCATCAAACAAATTGATATGGATGGAATCACTATGCAGAAAAATTTGAAAAGCAAATTGATTATTGAAGTCATTCCGAAAATTATTTTGGTTCCAAAAATCAGCATTCATATTTTGTTCATTTTATAAATCACGATATTTCAATGATAATCAATGTTTTCATCACATCACACCACAACAATTCATTCGGTTTTGATCTTTTTAAAGAAAAATCTCATTTTTCTCACAACGCTAACTTACTTAATTTTTAAACATTTTGTTCCTTGTAATCATAATGATAATAATGTTGATGATAAATAAACATTTCAAACAATAATTATTATAATGACGTTTTTCTTTCTTTTCGATCTGAAATTATTCCAACTTCATTAAAATTTTCATTATTTTCATTTTTATTATTGCAAAAAATTAGATTTTTTTTCAATTAATTTTTTCCTTTTCGACAAAACAAATCACTGTGATGAATCTCTTTTGGCTATCTCTCATTCATTCTTTATTCATTTTGTCAATTTAGGAATTTTCATTCATGATTAACGAATTCATTGATTAAAGTACAAACTATTTTCACATTATCAAAATATAATATATAATCATTGCACAAACACAATTTGGAAATTCATTCATTCTCACTCACTCAAATTCAACATCCGTTGTGAACAATAATTTCTGAATTTCAATATCAATATTGAAATTGATCAATTTTTTTCTTCTTTGTGTTCTTTCAAAAAAAAGAGTTTCTATTACTTGTTATAATTTTTTGTATTTCTTAATTATTCAGATAATAATCATCATCAATTTGTTCATGAAAAATTTATTATTATTATTACAATTACGAATTGGATTCGTAAATCAACCTCAACCACATGATAATAATAAACATTATGGATTTTTTTTTTTAAATCACTGATATAACTTTATTATTATGTAACATAGATGCGCTTAGATCATTTCATACATTCACACACACAAACAAAAATGATGTATACCATTGATCAACAATTCATTTTTGATAATAATAATATTCTCGGCCAATGATCTAAATATATGAAAATAAAGTTTATTTTTTTTATTCAAATACTTTGAAATTATTTATTATTTGAGAAACATTGAACGAAATTGATCATTATTTAAACCGGATTTGCTTACAGCTTCTTGGTTTTGGCTTAATGCTGATGATGATGATTGTGGTGGTTGATGTTCATTTCCGATTTGAAGTTTAACTTTAGATGATCTTGTTCTAAGTAAAGAATGTGGTACCATTGATGTTGGTCCGGGTTTTCGAAATTCTTCATTTGATGAAGGTTTTACTATATGTTTTTGATTAAGATCTTTCGAATCGCTAATAAATGATTTTGTTGGATCACTAATGGCTACTATTAAATTACGACCACATAATTCAAATTCATTTTTTTCCTGTACTGCTTTAGCCGCTGATTCAGCATCTTTCATGTCAATATAAGCTATACCTCTTGATCGACCATCACGACGTGTAACCAAACGAGCACTGATAATTGAATCACGATATTCTGAGAATACTTTATCCAAAAATTCTTCTTCAGTAATTTCTAATGGAATATTCTTGATGAACAATTTATTGTCCTCTTTATTTCGGCCATATTGAAAACTTTTCCGTTTATCCATTTCAGTGATAAATACAGGTCGTTGTCGTATTAACATTCGATCATGTTTTAATGCTTTCTGTACGGAATTTATGTGGTTAAATTCAATATATGCATAACCTTTCGATAAGCCTTTGTAATTTAACACCAATCGAACATCTCGAACTTCACCAAATTGAGAAAAAATTTTCCGTAATTCTTCCTCGTCGACATTAAAATCTAGATTACTAATGAAAATTGTTTCATCACGTTTTGATTCATCTGTTTGGACAGTGACACCATGACGAATTGATTCTTCTGTTTTTTGGCTGATTTTTTTCTTCTTATTTATTGAATGCTCATCTTTTACCAGATTATTATCAGCTTTTCGTTTAGATGTTGTGACATCACATTTGACATGCTTTTGAGATTCGTTTTGTTGTCTTGAACGCTTTTCATTAATTTTTTTGATAATTTTTTCATATTTAATTTTTGATTGTTGAAAAACACTTATATCATCGCCATATGTCCGTTCAACTTTCAACAACCATTCTCCAATCTTTTCTGGAACATCTTTACAAATATTCAATCCCTTCAATGATACTTGACGTACATGTTCAATGTCACCATTCCGTAATTCAAACTGGCCGTAATCAAGCCATGTTTCTGCTTGATGCTTTAATGATGAGGATTTATCCAGAAACTCATTCCAGATTGTACGACCGTTGGTTAAATTTTTTAAAAAATGTGCTTCAATATCTGCATATAGATTATAAATCTGATAACAATAATCAGCATCTTTGTATGACTCTAATTGATCGATGGCCGATCGCAAAGAACTGCGAAGATTTTCAACAGCTTCATAATCATTCCAACCGATTTTATTTGTCAATCTTCGCAAAAAACATAGATATGTTATCCATAAATTTAGATAATATTCGAATGAAACACTTTTCAATGCTCGTTCCAGAATCAAAGATAGTTGTGATTGTAAATCTTTCGAAGATTTTTGTAGGCCAACACGTTCAGCTGCTTCTAAGTAAAGAATCCAAATATTACCATCCCAATAACAATTACGGGTTGCACGTTCATATATCGGAAGAATAATTTCCTCGACAACAAATTTAGAATTACAATATGTCAAATAATCTAGCCAAAGATCAATTTGTAAACAATTGTCAGTGATGGCACGCTCATAAAGGCATTGTGTACGAGCCAAATCATCATCATTCGATTTCACGAATTCCAAATATTCAACATATTCTTGATAATGCGGTGAATCAGAATTTTGCAATTTATTTTCATAGTTTTCCAACAATTTATATTTTTTCAGTGCTTTATTGTACTTAGTTTCGATTTTAGAAAAATCGTTTTGCTTGAGATTTATTTTGAATGATTTTTCCACTTCGTTGAGCCATTGCAAAAATTCGAGATAAACTTCTTCTATTCCATTCAATGGTAAGGAAATTTGTCTACAATAAAGCTCATAGATGCGATGCATTTGTTTTTGGAGTAACTCCTGTCGCTTTTGTTCCTCTAATCCATCATTATCTTCAAGTATTGACATTTCAAAATTTCTATACAAGGTCCAAATGGAAGAACCTCGTTTAACATGTAAGCCAGCTTGAGCTAATGCTTTATCAAGTATTTCACGTATGGAATCAATTCCAATTAGGTTTTTTTGTTCGATGGCATAGTTTACAAAATCTTTCCACAGATCAAAATCAATATAATCTGAAACTGCACGTCTGTAGAGATCAATAACGTTTTTACATTGTTCCGGTGTATTCGAAACGGAAATTTCATCTTGAATCCATTCTTTCCAAAGTTTTGGTGATAATGGAAATACTTTGTTCATTTTTTCTCTCGCAGAACGTAGACAATCTAATTGACCATTTTCCCGGTCAACTGAAATCAATCGAATTGCTTCGATCAATTTGACATGCTTGTCATAATCATAAGGATTGTGTGAAAGCTATACGAATAAGATATCAACATTAATCAATGATAACGAATTCCAATTAAATTATCTTACCTCATCTTGTAATTTGTTTATTTCGGCTACAATGAAAGCTTCATCATCCGCATCGCTATCATCTTCCTCACTATCATCCGGATCGTCAGACATTTCTTCATCTTCAAAATCATTACATTCTTTTGAATCATTGTCACCACTGTTCGAAATATCATCATCATCATCATCTAATTTAGTAAAATCCATTGTAAATGCAAATGAATTTTCATTAAAATAATAATTCAAAATAATATCAACAATTCAATTCAATACGAATGTCAAGAAATCACATGTAATTCTGTTTTTTATTTTCCACAATAGATGTCACTTTCGTCTATGGATTTCCGAAGCCGAATCCCGCGAGGATTCTGCAGAATTATGGCCACACAGGTCTAAATAGATAGATATGTTTATTTATCATTCCGCAATTCTTTTCAATGTATCATTCATACACACATTTTGACTAATGGTGTTCTCAACACCCTCCTCTCGATAGAATTGTTTTGGATTCTTATTGGAATTCTGGCATTGAAAATTAAAATTTTTAATTTCACATTTTTCCTACCACTTAAATCGTCTGAAACGTTTCTATAGTTTTCCATGACAATCATTCAATCTTTAATGTTTTATCCAACAGAAAACATTTGTTAAACAAGTTCTCAATCATTTTTATATGTGAAATCATTATCATTCTTATCTGAAAAATAATGTTCTGAGAATCGACTTGCTGGGAAAATACTCGATCAACTTTGATATAAATTTTTATTGCAGCTTATATGCCGAAGGACGATAATAATTCGTGAAGAAATCCTTGATTTTTTATATTTAATGATATCGATAGCTTTAAAAATACAAGAAAGCATCAAATCTTCTTTTTTAATGATAACAATGATAAATATTATTTCAAGAAACCAATAATATCATAGACAATCAATGGCGACCATTATTCGAATGTTATTCATTTTATTTTCCCGTTTATCGTTGACACAAGTATAATATTATTGTTCATCGACCAAATAATGATAACATAATAATATCATGATGGAAACGATCAAAACAATACATATCAACAACGAATAGAAATCAACTTTTAACATTTGGAACCAAATCTATCTAAAATAAATTCTCTCTTTCACTAGAAAGATTAAAAAAAACTGAAAAATGTTTTTCATCAAAAATCAATTGCTTTCATCTATAATATTCACATTACAAATAATCTCAAATTTAAGCCCAATCATTAGTGATGAATTTGTTGTTCATCATGATCGATTGGAAAATGGCGGTAAATATAAATTATTCATTTTTATTCAAATCAATTTTTAATAAATTTGTTTTAATTCTTTATGACTTCACTAGATGTCGAGCATCTAATGCATCGCACTTCCTCATCATCTATTATTGAAGATGATGATGATGAAAATGAATATCCTGATGATCATCATTGTTCTGATGGTCAGTTTCAATGTAAATATTCTCGCGAATGTATTCCAATGGGATGGCTATGTGATGGTGAAGATGATTGTGGCCTTATTCAACATGAGAATAATAGCCAATCAAATGGTATTCAGTTGATGGATACAAGTGATGAAGACCATTATAATTGTCATCGGAGCAATCAGTGTCCACGAAATTATTTTCGTTGTTCCAATCTAATCACTTGCATTAAATTAGAGCAAGTATGTAATTCAGTTTCCGACTGTCCAGATGATTCGGATGAAGCAAAGTTTTGTGAAGATAATAAAAATTCATGTAATCTATTGAAATGTGATCATGGATGTCGACCTTTGCCAAAAGGAGCCGAATGCTTTTGTCCGGACGGTTTTGAATTCAATGAGAACAAATGCGTACCACTTACTCGTTGTATTCACGACGAGCAATGTGATCAATTGTGTTTGGATGCGAACGATACTTTTCATTGCAAATGTATTGAAGGTTATTCACTCGTAAATAATTCTAAATGTATTGCTATCAATGATCCAAAATCTTCACCACTTTTAATGGCTATTAATTTCGAGAATGAAATTCAATTAATAAATCCCGAACAATTGTCTGTCCAATCGAAAATTTCTCTTGAACAACAAAATCAATCTATAATTTCTACTTTTGATTATGATTTTAGTGGTCATTCTATCTGCTATGTACGAAAACGTAACTATGATGAAATTCAACTTTTTCGATTAGGTTTATTACAGACGGTTCATCATGATCAAAATCTAAGTCAAATTGTCTGCAATGATTGGAATGGTGACAAACTTCGCACTAAATTCTTTCATATTAAATCACCATTTCATTCGTCCATATATGTTCGGCAAATCATCTATGATTGGATCGGACACAATTGGTATATGTTGGATTCAATCAATGAATTGATTTTTGTTTCAGATTTTCAATTCAATTATTGTACCAACATAATTGAACATGGTTTGAATAAGCCTAAAATGCTTGCATTAGATCCTACAAATGCTCCCGGACATCTGTTTACTGTGGAATGGGGACCAAACGCTTTACTGAAACGCTTCGATCTCGACGGAACTAACATGAAGATTTTAGTTCAAGAACGCATAGTTTATCCAAGTTTAATATCGTTGGATCCAACGAATGACCATATTTATTGGTTTGATTCATATTTGGAAACATTGGAACGTATCTCTTATTGGGGTCAAAATCGAAAAATTTTACTCAAAAGTGATTTGGCAAATCGGATTATTGATTTCGAAGTATTCGAAAAGAAACTTTATTTTTTGATAGCAAAAAATGATACACATTCTTCTGACGAAATGTCATCATCTCTCATGATTATTAATGCTTTCAATTTCAATCACAATGAAATGAATGTCGTGATGAACTTTTCTTCCAAATCTGCAAAAGAATTACGAATTATTCATCGCCAACATCAGCCAATCGTCGCAAAGGCTTCACATCCATGTTCCGTTAGAAATGGTGGCTGTGACCACCTTTGTATAGTGAAATATGACAAAAATTCAATTCCTATTGCGAAATGTCAATGTTCCAGCGGATTTCGTTTGGATCTAACCTCTAACAAATGTTTGTACGATCAATCTAGATTAAAGTTGTTATATGTTCGTGCTCGTCCTGGTTCGGTCAAAGTTTTCTCATTACCGAAATCATGGACACCGGATACTGGCAAAAATATCACCAGTCAACCGATAACTATTTCAACGATGCCATCTACAAGGCCAGTCGCAGTTGAATATGATATTGAAACCGGAACAGTATTTTACTCCAATATTCAGCGTTACGTAATAAATAGTTTTGTAGTCAATGTGTCGAATACTAGCGAAGGTTATCTACGTCAAGCATCAATATTTTTAGATAAAAGTATCATCCGCTGTGAAGGATTGGCTGTGGATTGGATCGGAAGAAATTTATATTGGACTGATAGCGCAATGTTGACCATTAGTGTGGCTAATCTAGATAACAGTACCTTCAGACGAACATTGATTTCGGATGATTTAAATCATCCAAAGTCATTGGTACTTGATCATCATCATGGATGGATGTTCTGGACGGATTGGTCATTCAATTTGAATCATTCAGGAAGAATTGAACGATCATTAATGAATGGTGAACAACGATCAATCATCGTAAAAGAAGATCTCACCTATCCAAATGGTCTGACAATCAATGAGAAATACATTTATTGGTGCGATTCATACTTTAAGCGTTTGGAACGTGCTGATCTTGATGGAAGCAATCGCAAAGTATAATTTTTTATTTAAAATTTCTTTCTAAACAAAATTACTCTATTATCAGCTTATTTATGCAGGACCTGATCTTGGATCACCTTACAGTGTGGCTTATTTTCGGGATCATCTTTACTGGACTGATTATCGTCAAGGAGTAATAAAAAGTCTTCATTTATCGGATCCGAACAAAGTGAAAATTGTTGTAATTGATAATCCCCCTCTTTATGATATCAAATTCATCGATTTTGATCAGCGAGCTCCAAATAACAAATGTCATAATGCAAAATGTGAACATCTTTGTCTGATCGGAATCGGTCAGCAAGCTCAATGTTATTGTTCGGACGGTTTTCAACTATCATCATCAGATTTTCGAAGTTGTATTGCTTTGACAAATTACACTAAACCTTCTTTATGTAAAAAAGGAGAATTCGAATGCCGAAATGTATCACAATGTATTGATAATCGTCATGTTTGTGATGGTGATGTTGATTGTCTTGATGGTTCGGATGAAGACACAAGCGTAGGAAGTATTTGTGAAAAACTAAATTGTCATGAGGACTATTTCCGTTGCGACAAAAATCGTTGCGTGATGCCACATTGGGTTTGTGATGGTCAAAGAGATTGTCTAGATGGAACAGATGAAATGCAATTTGAAAATTGTACTAAAGTAATCTGTGGTCCAATGTTTTTCAAATGCAACAGTACTGGCCGATGCATTCCACGTAATTGGGTTTGTGATTCGGATTTTGATTGCGGTGCTGATGATCATTCGGATGAAGAAGACAATTGTAGTAAGTTAACATCAAGATGATTTATTTCAATAATTTTATCATTTTTTATAGGCTATAGGAAATGCGATGAATCGATTGAATTTCGTTGCCGAAACGGTCGTTGCATATCTTATGAATTTATGTGTAATGGCGATGATGATTGTAAAGATGGATCGGATGAATCAGATTGTAAAAAATCAATACAATCTAATTCCAATAAATGTTTGGAACGAAATTCCAATCAAACGCATTTTGTTTGCGATTCAAATACTAAATGTTTACCACTGTTTTTACGCTGCAAGTAAGTTTTTTTTGGCTTTATTCAAAGACATGATCTAATCTTTGGTATTCAACTTATAGCGGTATAATCGACTGTATAGACAGTAGTGATGAAAAAAATTGCTTACACACCTCACTAAATCATACGAAATTGATGAAACAATCTCATTTACGATGCAATCATCGCAAAGAATTTCAATGTGAAACAACCGGAAATTGCATCTCGCTGGAATTGCGTTGTAATGGTTCACCGGATTGTACAGATTATTCGGATGAATTCAATTGTACGAAATTGAATTGTCGATCTGGAGAAATTCCATGTTTACCATTGATGCAATGTTTCAATCATCATGTTAGATGTGACAATGTACAAGATTGTCCGGATGGTTCCGACGAATACGATTGTTTTGAAGACACATCAATTCTTTCGCAATCATGTCATCATCCAAATCGTACATGCATGGATCGCTCCACTAATCGTACAATTTGTTTGGATATATCCAAATTTTGTGACAATCATCCCGATTGCCTTGATGGATCAGATGAAGGTGACCTATGTTCGGATGATTTTTGTTTCATGTCAGATCCTATTTGCAAAGGACATTGTAAAAATGTTCCTTATGAACCTGGATATATATGTTACTGTCCACTCAATCTGTCATTGGCTGTCGATGGTGTAAGCTGTACAGATGTTCATCCATGTGAACAATGGGCTGTTTGTTCACAATTATGTCTACCAACATCAAATTTTTCATCTTCAACTAGTCAACGAGGATATAAATGTGAATGTATTGATGGTTATTTTCTCGATCCTAAAGATAATTTCACTTGCAAAAGCACATTATTGTCATCTCCCATTCTTTTGTTCTCCAATCGGAATCAAATTCGTTCTATTAATTTGCAAACAAATTCAGCCAACCTCCTTCTTTCTGGTTTGAAAAATTCAATAGCTTTGGATTATCTATATGATACTGATCAAATATTTATATTTTGGTCCGACGTGATTGACGACCGTTTATATCGAGGGGAATTAGTACAATCAGCTATCACCAACATTGAAGCAATTATTGAAGGAAGTTTAAGTTTTGCCGAAGGTCTTGCTGTTGATTGGTTGGCGCATAATTTGTATTGGGTAGATTCAAATTTTCATCAGATCGAAGTTGCTCATATGGATGGTTCTTTTCGCAAAACTCTTCTCACCGAACATTTGTCGAATCCACGAGCCATTGCTTTAGATCCGAATCGGTTCGTTATGTTCTGGACAGATTGGGATTCTAGCTTACCCAGAATAGAATCAGCTTCTATGGACGGTACATCACAACATATCGTAATTCAAGTTGAACCTGGATCATGGCCCAACGGCATAACATTGGATTTTGTTTTGCAACGAATCTATTGGATTGATGCTAAAACTGATACGTTGAGTACTGTTCGTTATGATGGCAAAGATTTTCGTAATATTCTTGTGGGTAATGATTTTCTTACTCATCCATTCGCAATGTCACTGTATGAAAATTATGCCTATTGGAGTGATTGGCGTACAAATTCATTGGTACGGGTCAACAAATGGAATGGAACGAAAGTTGAAGTCATTGCTCGAACATTTTCTCAGCCATTCGATGTCAAAATTCTCCATCCTAGCCGCCAGCCTAAACTGATCAACTTTACTCGATGTATGGTTGATAATGGTGGATGTTCACATCTTTGTTTATTATCGAGTACTGCACCCGATAATTTTGCCTGTGATTGTCCCCTTGCCATGCGTTTGGGACCAGATTCGCGAAACTGTATCTTTAATGATGCTTTTCTTATGATATCAAAGCAGAACGATGTTCGCGGCATCGATTTGATTCGACCAAATTATTTCATTCTTCCACCTATTTCTCTTCCCAAAGTTGTTCATCCAATCCAGTTAGATTATGTGGCACGAAACAAACACATTTATTGGGCCGACCTTTTATCAAATGAAATCAAGCGATTCTCCTTGTTGAATGGAACCATTAAAAATATAATCGATACTGTTATTCAACATCCTCAAACGTTTGGAATCGATTGGATAGCGGAAAACATATTTATCATATCAAAACCTGATCGAGATTCATTCATTTCACCATCCATGTTTTCCGGTGATGATTATAATGATGAATATGAAATTATCTATGAAGATGATTCTGAAGATTCGCCCACTATGCATAGAGCGAGACGAGATTTCAACAATCATCGAAATAGGCAAAGAGTTTCTAAGCTTTTTGTCTGCAATCTTGAGGGCGAATTCATCACCGAAATCATACCTGAAAAATATTTTGAAAATCCTCAATCTTTAGCTGTTGATCCACTAAATGCGCTTCTTTATTGGTCGGAATATTCGCTTGAAGAAATTTCCGGACCAAATGAGACTAAAAAATTCACTCATAGAACAAAATTGGTGCGTTCACGTATGGACGGAACAGAATTATTTATATTGGCGGATAGTAATAATCCTCAATCATCATTATTAAATAAATCAACCAGTCTAATCTTGGATCTTTATCTTAATTGCTCTAGACTATATTGGGTTAATTTAGGATCACGATCAATACAATTCATGGATTTGAACAACCAAGAAATTAAAACAATTTTTATGGTCAAACTTGATGATGATCCATTCCCGACATCTGTGACAATTTTTGGCTCTAAATTATTTGCATTTTTTCATCATGATGGAAATATTCAAACAATGGACAAAACTCTCGGTATCGATCAACATATGTTCCTAAACGATACTGAAGATTTATTTAGCATTCGTATTTATGATGCTGAAGTGCAAAATCGTATGGATCAAAATTTGTGTTCAAAAGCCCGTGGTGGATGTTCACATCTTTGCGTAATGATTACAAATGATAAACGAAAATGTCTTTGTACTATTGGTTTTCGAATAAATCCTACTGATGATACCAAGTGCATTGGTGAACAAGTATTCTTAATGTATTCATGGAATTGGGGTATTAAAGGAATACCGATAACACCAATAAATGACACTGAACCATTGAATCAGCAATATGAAAAAAAGAAAAATTCAAGCAAAGAATTCTCTTTATTACCTCCAATATCGTCCGTCATGTTGGCATCTTCGATTGATTTTGATTCAGCCAATGAGATGCTTTATTGGGCCGATTCGGATGAAGGATCCATTTCAAGACTTGCTCGTGATACATCTTCATATTATCGTTTGATAAACAATCTTGACAAATTAATCGATTTTGCCCTCGATTGGAATGCATACAATCTATATTGGATTGAAGAGCAATACGGATTGATTGAAGTGATAAAAGTAAATGGAAGTGAAAGCCGATTGGTTATTGTTTCACAAGATATAATCAAACCAACATCATTGGCCGTTCATCCAGGTCTTGGTTTTCTTCTATGGTCAGACGTAGGTCATAATGATTCTGTACGTATCGAACGTTCGCTCTTGGATGGTTCAAATCGTATAACATTGTATTCAAATGATAAAAATCATTCCATCAATGATTTAGCTGTAGACATCATTGCTAACCAATTATATTTTGCTGATCTTTCTGATCAAACCATTGTGCAATTATCGTTGACAGAGCATACAGTCGGTAAAATACCCAAAGCTAACATTGTATTGAGTAATATTCGTAGCCCAATCTCAATTTCTGTTTATGATCGGTTCTTATATTGGGCTGATACGAATTTCTATGGCGGTTCAATTCTTGCTATTCGCACTGATAAATTTATCAATGATGCCAATTTAACAATGTCAACCAAACTTACTGGTGTCACTTTATTAGACATGAACATTGGTGACAACATCAAAGACATTATGGTCTATTATCGTCGACCAATTTATCCACGTAATGCTTGTGCACATAAAAATGGTGGTTGTCAGGATTTTTGTTTCTATCTTGGTGGCGATCGTGGTCATCATTGTTCATGTTCATATGGATATGTTTCACCCATCGATAATCGATCATGTCTCGAATATGATACATTCTTGATTTATTCACGTATCAATCAAATTGATTCAATTCGTATAACACAATCAAACAAACATAATTTTACATCAACTCAACATTCATATTCATCCAAATTTATTGATCATCTGGAACCAAATGTAGCAAACGCTCCCTACCGTCCTATTATTCATGCTAACATCAGAAACGTCATTGGACTTACCTATGATTATGCACGACGAAGAATTATTTACACTGATATTCAACGAGGAACAATCAACTGGTGCTATTTCAATGGATCTGAGCATCAAATTCTTTTGGATAAACAAGGTCCAATCGAAGGAATTGTTTATGAACCAGTGTCGAAATTTCTTTATTGGACCTCAAATTTTGATTCTTCAGTTGCTAAATTAAATTTAACTATCGTTCCTGAATCGATGGGCAGCAAATCTAAACAACCAGCTATGAATGGAAGTTTAGTGATTAGAATTATTAAACTCACAACAGAAGATCGATTGAGAGGAATTGCCATCGATCACTGCCGTCAACTAGTTTATTGGACGAATTGGAATGCTAAAAACCCAAGTATTCAACGTTCACATGTTTCTGGTTTTGGTCAACAATCCATTATTACCGATGGAATTCGTATGCCAAATTCATTGGTCATTGATCAGCCTCAAAAACATTTCTATTGGGCTGATGCCCGTTTCAATAAAATTGAAAAATGTGATCTCGATGCTATTCAATGTGTCGTGTTACTTCGACAAACTGTTCAACATCCGTTTGGTTTAGCTATTCATGATGATCATCTTTATTGGACCGATTGGGCAGCTCATTCAGTATTTCGATGCGATAAATATTCGGGAGCAGATGTTGTTACCCTTAGGCGAAACATCATAAGACCTATGGGTTTAGTTGTCATTTCACCTTATCATCAAAATTCTTTGGACAATTATTGTAATGCATCCGCTCAGCCATACGATCCATGTCTTTTATCCAATGGTGGTTGTGAAGATATTTGTACAACAAAAATTCTCACTACAATTTCTATACCTGAATGTTCTTGCTTCGAAGGTCGAATTATGAGTCGCGATGGGCGACGTTGTCATTCAGTAAATTCTTCATGTTCTTCAGATCATGGTTTATTTGAATGTAAAAAAATGGGTCTTTGTATACCGTTTGAATTAACTTGTGATGGTGTTCCCAATTGTCCACAAGATCATTCTGATGAAGATCCTTCTTATTGTACAAATAGAACTTGCCCACAAAATTATCATCAATGTTCGAATAATCTTTGTATAATGACATCGAAAATTTGTGATGGCACTATCAATTGTCCGGATGCTAGTGATGAAAAACATTGCGATTGTCGTCAACAAGGCAAATTTAAATGCAACAATGGTATTTGTATATCTGAGGTTTTCCGATGTAATTATGCTCCTGAATGTCTTGATGGTTCGGATGAATTTGATTGTCCTAAGCCAAACTGTACGAAAGATGATATAACTAATGAGCCAATGATCAATTGTCTACGCACAACCGCTTGTATTTCACCCAAATGGATATGTGACGGTCAAAATGATTGTTGGGATAATTCGGATGAAGCAAATTGTTTTTCCAACTTCAACAAAACGATTTCTCATTTAATTCAACGACCACAGCATAAACATCGACAGCCGAATGAAACTATAGAAACGGCAATCACTGTTGATTCAAACTCCACAACAAAGCATGATGATGATTCCTGTGCTGAAGATCAAATACGTTGTAATAGTAGTGAATGCATTTCAATCATTTGGAGTTGTGATGGAAACAAAGACTGTTTGGATGGTTCAGATGAATCACCTGAATTTTGTCGACATAATATTTGTCCTGAAGAAAGATACTTTCGTTGTCAAACCACCGGTAAATGCATACCGTTACAATGGGTTTGTGACGGTGAACAAGATTGTTTCGATGAATCGGATGAATTAATGTATCCGAATAAAACTTTATGTTCATCAAATATTACTAAAACATCCAATCATGATAGTGGTGTCATGCATCGAATCTGTAATCACAATGAATTTCAATGTCATAATTTTCAGTGCATTCATAGTAAATTCCTTTGTGATGGTCAATATGATTGTAGCGATGGATCAGATGAAGCAACAGAATTTTGTCAACGACAGACACCTTCAAAACCGAAATTATGTTCACCCAATGAATATCGTTGTACGATAAAACATAAATGTATACCACGTTCATGGATTTGTAATGGAATTCAAGATTGTGCTGGTGGTGATGATGAAGCTGTGAAACTTTGTGCTAAATCATCCAATGACAATTCTTCAATTTTAACCATAGATGGATCATCATTGCGATGTAAAGACGGACAGTTTACCTGTAATAATGGTGTATGCATTGATTTCAATCATATTTGCAATGGGGATAATGATTGTGGAGATTTTTCCGATGAAAATCAATGCAATATTAATGAATGTGAAAGTAATCTTGTTTGTGCACAAAAATGTGAAGATATGCCTATCGGATATCGTTGTAGTTGTTACGATGGTTTTGAACCTCAAGACGGTGGTCGTGTTTGCCGTGATATAAATGAATGTGAACAAAATGTTTGCTCACAAATTTGTCGTAATACAATCGGTTCCTATGTTTGCTATTGCGCCGAAGGATATGTTTTAGATTCTGATCATGTCACTTGTCGAAGTATATCATCAAAAGAAACACATTTATTAATCAATACACATGATGGTATTTATCAATTAAAACCTGTCGATAAACAACGTCAACGTAAAGATGTCCGTATATTGCTTGGTGGCCTTAATAACGCTGTAGCTTTGGATTTTGATTGGGAAAGTGAATGTGTGTATTGGTCCGAAATAACTGTTGTATCAGCCTATATCAAAAAATCATGTCGATTGAAAGCCTATAATCTGACCGAGGATGGTCAAAAAATTTCTTCTAATTCAAACAATATTATTGCAAAAGTTGAAATTTTACATTCGAACACTCTTCAAAGTCCAGATGGAATCGCCGTAGATTGGATTGGTCGAAATCTTTATTGGTGCGATAAAGGTAAATCAACAATAGAAGTTTCCAAATTGGATGGCAAATTTCGTCGAATTCTCATTCGACGTCAACTTGAAGAACCACGTGCTATTGCGTTAAATCCATTAGAAGGATTAATGTTCTGGTCCGATTGGGGTGAACGACCATATATTGGTCGCGCATCAATGGATGGCAGTCAACAGCAAATTATCATTGAAGAAAGTCTTGGCTGGCCTAATGCTTTGACTATTGATTTCATACGTCGAAAACTTTATTTTGCCGATACGCGGGAAGATTATATAGGTATGGTTGATTTCGATGGCCAAAATCGTTTGATAATTGTTGATCAGAAAACCCGTTATACGGGACATATTTCCGGTATGTCTTATTTTGAATCACGACTCTATTGGACCGATTCACATTCAAGTTCAGTAATCTCGTGCCCTGCATTGAATTGTTCTTATGAAAATTTTGTACAACAAATGACTTTTCACCGACCAATGGATATTAAAGTATGGCATCCGGATCGTCAGCCCTCGTTATCGCGAAATATGAAAAATCCCTGCAATTCATTCGATGTTAACAATCAGACGGGCAAATGTTTAGCATTGTGTTTGCTCAAATCACATAAAAGTAAATTATCAGGCACATGTACATGTCCAGATAATTATATTCTTAATGAAGATCAATATTCATGTCGTAGTAATTGTTCATATTCTGAATTTGTTTGCAACAATACCTACAAATGTATTCCATTTTGGTGGAAATGTGATACACAAGATGATTGTGGCGATGAATCAGATGAACCCGATGATTGTCCACCTTTTCATTGTAATCCTGGTCAATTTCAATGTCAAAATCATCCAGAATGTATTTTACCGCAACAGATTTGTGATGGAGTTTCAAATTGTGCCGATGGTTCTGATGAAAAAAATTGTGAACAACATGTTTGCATGCCAAATCAATTCAAATGTCCTACATTCAACAACATAACTTCATATTGCATCTCAGCTACTAATCGTTGTGATGGCATTAATGATTGTTCGAATGGTGAAGATGAAATTAATTGTGGTTGTCCGAAAACGGCGTTCAGATGCTTGAATAAGAAATGTATCTCTAAAGAATGGGAATGTGATGGTGAAGATGATTGTGGAGATGGATCAGATGAATACGAAGCTTGTACTCAACGTTCTTGTGGTCATCTACATTTTCGTTGTGATTCTGGTCGTTGTATTCCTTATAATTGGAAATGTGATGGTGAACCCGATTGTCCAACACATCAAGATGAATTGTATTGCGAAAATGATGGAAATAAAAATTCATCATTAGTTTGTGATGAAAATCATTTTCATTGTGACAACAATCATTGTATTCAAATGTTTTATCATTGCGATTGGGATGATGATTGTGGTGATGGATCAGATGAGCGTAATTGTACGCTGCCAAAATGTCAACCGGATGAATTTCAATGTGATAAAGGCTATAAATGCATCAGAAATGAATTAAGGTGTAACGGCGAGCCGAATTGCGCCGATCAATCCGATGAAATTGATTGTCATTATGAATGTGATGAAGAAAATCATTTTCTTTGTCCTAACAGTACAATTTGCATATTGCCCGAATGGAAATGCGATGGCGATCATGATTGTTTTGATGGATCGGATGAACTTAATTGTAGTAATAAATGTTCAGCCAAAGATTTTACATGTAACAATCAACAATGCATCTATGGGCCATGGCGTTGTGATGGTGAAAAAGATTGCCTTGATGGTAGTGATGAAGATTTGGATCTATGTTCTCGATTGGCTTGTCCAGTGAATCGTTTTCGTTGCACAAATGGAATTTGCATATCAAAACTTCGACTTTGCGATGGCAGCGATAATTGTGGTGATGGTTCTGATGAAATTCCCGAAGTTTGCAATGAAATTAAACATGAATGTTTATTGAGCACAAGCATTAATTCCGATCATCGAAATCGATTCCTATGTTTGAATAATAAACAATGTATCGATATCTCCCTTCACTGTAATGGCATCGATGATTGTGGTGATGGCTCAGATGAGCTTAATTGCGAAGATGTGAACATTGTAGACAAACCAATTGCAGATAAAAATGTTACAATTGTAGCCACAACTTTTCATGTCCATCAAGAAAATTGTCCATTTGGATTGTGTTCACAAACTTGTGTATCTAAAATTAAACACTTTCATCATACATCTAATCATACGGAAAAACAATTTCATCATCATTTTATGTGCACGTGTTCCGATGGCTATATTCGATTATCCATGCTGAATGCTGGTAATAATGATAATTCTTCCTTATCATCATCATCATCATCAGTTAATCAATTAAGCACATGTCAAGCTAATGGTCGACAAGCTGCATTACTGGTTTCCTCTGATTCCGGATTTCGTGTCATAAATCCTTACAAAAATATAGTTCAAGAATTATACAATTTATTTGCATTTTCATCACCAATGGATCTTAATCTAACTTTATCGCTTAATCGAACGTTTATTAGTCGCATCGAATCGTTTGATATTTTCTATGATTCAAATATATCTAGTATTTTTTGGACTAATCCACATAAGAAAAGCTTATATCGAATTGATCTATCTTTTGCAGATCAAATGTTCAATTTCAATTCTGAACATCATTATTCACCGAGTCCATCATCCAACTTAAACATAAGCGATCCAATCGCCATAGTCGATAATATAGATAATCCTCGAGGAATAGCAGTCGATTGGGTTGGACGTCATGTCTATTGGATTGATTCATCGATTCCGGCTATAATCTTAACAACTTTTGATGGTGATAAGCGAAAAACTTTGATCTCTTCACAACCACTTGAACAACCTTATGATTTAATTGTCGATCCGAAAAATTGTCTTATTTTCTGGTCAGATTGGAGCCACACAAGTACTATTAAGATTGGCCGTGCACAACTTGATGGGTCATCATTTCGGCCATTGGTTAGTAATGATATTGAATGGCCACTTGGTTTGGCATTGGATTTCGAGGCTGGACGACTATATTATACAGATCCTAAAACATCAATTATAGAAACTATTCGTATCGATGGAAGTGATCGAAGACAAATCTATTCGTTACATCGTTTCCAGCATAAACCATATCGAATCGATGTTTGGGAAGATTATCTCTATGTTAGCACATTACCGAATCATCAGATATTGAAACTAAACAAATTTGGTAATCATAAATTTACATCATTGGTTCGAAATATACCAAAACTCAATGATTTGGTCATCGTTCATGAATGGAAACAGAAGAAAAATTTTACTTATCCATGTCAAGCAAATCCATGTCGTTTGCAAAGCAATTTTCTTTGCATCGCTCAAACACCACAAAATGCCATTTGTGTTTGTCCCGATGGTTTTCGAAAAATATTATCCATTAAGAATGAAGCTGAATGTATTCAAGTGCCGACAACGACCTCAACAATTGATCAAAATTCGAGAAAAAATGAAGATTTAACCAGAACACAATGTCCATGTTTAAATGGTGGTCGATGTCGTTATCATCCAAAAGATGATAGCCTTTTTTGTGAATGTACACCTTTGTATGATGGAATACAATGTGAGCATTTTCGTTGCGCTGGTTATTGTCAAAATCATGGCTTGTGTTATATTGATATGTCTGATATGACTTCTATATATCAGGAAAGAAGCCTGCAATCAACGGAATCAATAAACACCGGCAAACTTCGTTGTATGTGTCCATTCGGATGGAAAGGCGATCGTTGTGAGATTGAAATGAAAAGTTGTAATAAAGATTATTGTTTAAATCATGGTGAATGTCTGGACAATTATTCTGATAGTTCGATTCGTTGTGATTGTCCATCTGGTTTTTTTGGCGAACAATGTGAAATATGTGGCAATTTATTCTGTAAAAATGATGGTCATTGTTTGATAAATAATTCGACAAATATTGCCAAATGTCACTGTCCTCCCGGTAATTGTTCACTATGATATTATAATGTAATAAAATTATTTTAATGTTTTTTTCTCTCATAAGGTTTTGCTGGAAAACATTGTGAATTGCATCTTTGTTCTAAACAATATTGCAACAATCATGGAGTCTGCTATATTGATCGTCAGACAGAAAATATTCGAAATTTTGATGAAACAAGTATTCGATTCCGTTGTCAATGTGATTCGGAGTTTTCTGGTGAGCATTGTGAAATTCACTCAACTCAAGATAATAATACGGTTGCATCATCCACAATCGCAACAATCATTACTAAAACATGTCATGATCTCAAATGTTTGAATGGAGGTACTTGCCATCAAAGTTCTTCACTACATCAACCAACTTGCATTTGTGCCTATGGATTCACTGGATTTCGATGCGAGCAAACAACCGAAAATAGGATTTCTAAGCCAAGTGAAAATGATTCGAATTCTGAATCGAAAATCGAAAATATTAAATTTCCTATAAAAACTGAATCAAATATCAAATCATCTGGTCAATCAACTTTATACATTGTTATTTATACCGTATTCATTATATTAGGTATTGTTCTATTCAGTTTCTGTTTGGTTCGATTACAATATTCTTTAAGGAAAAAGATGCAAAGGTAGGTTTTTAAATGTTTGAAAAATTTTCTCAATTGTGTTCATCAAAAATCATGTTCTTTTTTTCAAATAGTGAACTGGCATTTCAACATCGTCGTATTCATGAAAATAATCTTTCCATTGATGTGCCAAATGTTGAAATAATGAACCCGGTATTTAGTATGAACAATTTAACACCAACTGAATTATCAACAACTACGGATACCCCAACAACATCGGTGGTTGAAGTATTGATCACTGGCAACAATCCAGCTACATCATCTGAAAATCATCACATCCTTGATGATGATTTTGATAAAGATGAAATGATTGTCGATTATATGAATACCAATTTTTCGAATCCAATTTATGAATATAAAAAGATAATCATCGATAGTAACAAAACTGATAACCTAGAGGAAACGGAAAATTTATTGGATAATTCTTGAAAACAAAAAAATGCCATTTAATTATTTATTCAAATTTAAATTTATTTTTTTTGTGTTTTATTTCGGTTTTGTTTTTGTACATACGCTTAATTTGTGATATTTTTTCCATTTTTTTCATTTTTTCTATAAAAATACTCATTCAATAAATAAAAAGACCATAAATTGGCATCTAACATCATCATTCATTGATTTGAACAAATAAACAAATAAAAAATAAAATCTTTATCATCTTGTGTCCAAGATCAAGATCCAATTATATTGAACGAAAAAAAGGAAAAATATTTTCGGTTCCCAATTTGTCTTCATATTTTACTGCTGCGAATCAGGAATTTTTTTCCTTGACATGCCATATATACATGAAGCATCATTTATTGAGAGTCTTTGAGGCCGACACTTGTTTTTTTTTTGATGACTGAGTGAATACTTTCCAACAATATTATATTCTGCTTCTTGTCTTCTTGATGTTTCTGTTGTTTTTTCTATTGTGTTGTTTTTCCCAATTTTTTTTTGCTTTTGCTTGATTTTTTTCGTATATATGTAAATCCGGGTTGTTGTTGATTAATTTGACTGGCTGACTGACTGACTGACTGACTGAATGAATGAAAAAATGACTGAATGAACTAGCTTTTACATTCAATCTTCTTCATTCGAAAATAAATTTGGCTAACATACCTGATGATCATAATGGTAATATATGGACATGAAATTTTTTTTCTTATATCAAAAGACTAGACTAGCAAGGATAGAATCATTATGGTTTTTTCTCTCTTTGCACACACTGATTCTTCATTGATCTACTTGTGCGTGTGTGAGTGAATTTTTGTTTTTTTGTTCGGATTCTTTTTTTATATTTTCACTTTGATTCGAAGTAATCAAAATTTTTTGTTACCAACATGGTCAACAATTTAACAGCAGAAAAAAATGATCAAAAACAATAATGAATGAATGAAAGAAGACCGAATCCTATCCGATAAAGTCTTTGAATTTCTTGAGTTATGAATATAAAATTTTTTATTATTATCAAATATAAGCTCGATTGAGTAATTGGGAAAGAAAGAGAAAAAAAGCGAAAATGTAACAAGTCAATTTAGACGCGGCAATCTTTTTTCAATGGGCATCATTTAATAGAATGTTTGACTTTACTCTCTTCTAATCTTTTTTATCATAATAGTATCAATCAAATCATGTAAATGATGATAATACAGTCTAGCCATTGCTTTGATTTTTTTTTAAATATCTGATTATTTGAGTTTTTCGCAACTTTCGTATGAATAATAATTCTATTTTAAAAAAATCAATACATTGTGTACATTCATTTAATGTATATTCAATTTCTAAAGCGATTTTCTCTTGATTTGGTGATTAAAATTTGTTTAAATTTTTGATGTGTTAAAAAACTAATAAAATTCAAGAGAAATATTTTCTTCATATTATTACTTAATACTAATACTACTCTTATTACCAGGTATATGATCTAATTAATTAATTACCTGAAGTAAAATAAGATAAAGAAATTTTTTTTACCAAAGTCATTGATGTGAAAGAAAAGATGAATTATCCGTTTTTTTTGTTTCAATTATAAAAATTCTAATTATAAAAATAATTTAAGTAAGTGAATAAAGCACAAATCACACTGATACACACTAATGTGTAAATCTATTTATCATAATCATCATTATTATAATTTTTATTGAATATCCAGGTCAAAGATTTGTTTTCAAAAAAAAATTCCTACTTTCTTTATATGATAAGAATGATTTTTTTTCTATCTCATTTCTGAATGACAGCAGTTATTATTTGCTATTTATCTGTCTGTCTACCTGTCTTGTTTGATTATTGTCACATTTCTAAAATTTGGTAACATGGTTTCTATATTTATTTACACACAGACACACTCACAAACATACATATACTGGTGTTTCATTGTTTTTCTTAATTTATTATTATTTTTTTTTGTGATCACCTAGAATGTAGGACAATTACATATCAAATGAATTGATAATCATGATGATGATAATAAAAATAAAAGAAGAAAAAAAAATGATTATGACAATCATTATAATGGATCATAGTTTGATCATTTTGGAAACAACAATTATTTATTCATAGTCAACAAATTTTACCATTTTAATTCATTTTGAATGATCTTTGTTGCGGATATAATGATTATTTCTTCTGAATATTAAAAAAATTGTATTTTGAAATCTTTTTATTTTCAGACAATTCAAATCAAAAATAAATAAATAGAGAAAAAAAAGATTAAGATTTCGATTAAGTCAATCTATTTCAATGCACACAATTCCTCCTTATTATTTTTGATTGATACTGATCATTTATTTAATGATATAATAATGATGAGGAAAGAATTTTTTTTCATTGGTATAATTAATCAAGATTGAAAAACAAAAATTCAAATGTAAAAAAAACATTTATTTGTCGGTTAATGATGACAATTTTTTTCCAATCAAAAGTAAAATTATTGTCGTCATTGTTGGCTGTTTAAAGTTGTTTGTGTTGACCATTGTAATTTGAACATTGTAGTTTGGACTCATTGAAAAGAAGAAAAAAAAATTATTTCATTCTTCTTTTCTTTCAGGATTTAATTTCAAATTCATCTATTTTTTCCATTGTCTATGATACTTTATTAATTACTTTTTCTTAATTTTTGTTGTTGCTTTAGTTTTCCAAAAAGATATATAATTAATAATAATTATTTTCATCAAACGAACAAAAAAAAAATTCTAGCATAAAAAAAATCTAAACGATGTGTGGTCTTGTTGTTTGGAAAAAACAAAAAACTTACTATGTATTTCCAACACACACATACATTTAAATATATCGTATAGGATTTTTCTTTTCCAAAGAAAACAGGATTAAAATGCTATAAATTCTTACAATTGTGTGTCTATACTCATCATCATGATGTGTGTGTGTAGGCGAAATAAGAAAAAAAAAATCTTAAGGAAGAATTTATGCACAGACACATACAGTAAAAATATTTTGATAAGAATTACGTCTCGTCTATTTATCGTATTGAGAGAATGGGAAAAAAAATCGACATTATTATTATTAATATTATATCGAAATGAAAAGAATGATCGATTATCATTTATGATAATCTAATCAATGAAGAAAAAAGAAAGAGCGAGAGAGAGAGAGAAAGATGGATAAAATGCTACAATGAATTAGTGTATATGTTGTTGTTGTTGTCATTAACACCTTAACACATTTTTATCGGAGAAAAAAAAACATTTTGACATACGGTAATGACACATCTTATACATAAATCTTTGATCATCAATTTTCTTTATAATTTTTTCTTCTTTTTTGATTGAAAATCAATCTTTTTATTCTTCTTTCTTTTTTTTTCAAATTCTCTTGTTCTTCGGCTTATTTATTTTTTTCTTGTAAAAAAAATAATAACGAATGAAAGGAGGAGTTTATACTTTTGAACAATTCTCAATCATCAGGTCATCATCATCATAATCATCATCATCATGGTTTATTATATTTTAAGGAAAAAAAAATTATAAGTAGACCTCCCCGATGTGATATTATTGAACATTGGAACAACAACAAAAATAAAAATAAACGACGACAACATAGATTTTAAATTTGACAAGTTAACTAACCAAACCAACATAAGGCAACAAAATTTAAACTATCGAACAAGGATGATTCTGGAAAAAAATTTCTCTTCATTCTCCTCATTTTTTTTGCTTCGATAATTTATTATCATAATAATTCGGCGGTGAAATCGGCGTTGATCACAAAGCCAAACTAGCTGTCAAAAAAAAAGAAAACAAAAATTTCTTCTTTTTTTTGAATTCAAGTTTCAAAAAAAAAGAAAAAAAATTTGGTTTCTGTTGTTTATCGTATACGAAAATCGACAACAGAAATGAAATTGTAGAAAAAAGAGAGAATTGTTGGCTAAATCAAAATATTTTGATTATAATGTCAATTTCTTGTCTTCGTTGTTGTTGTTATTCATTCATCAACCTACTATTAAAGCAACAGTATGGCTTCATCATCATTTATGATGATCATTGCCGCCACACATTTTTCAATATCTTTTTGCTTTACTTTTTTTTGCTGTTTCGTATAAAACAAAAAAAAATTCCTCTTTTCACACACACACAAACACTTTTGAGGAATTCTATTCGAAAAGAATCTTGCTCACAGGGACCACCACTAATTTTGTTGTTGTTGTTCGATTAATGATGATACCCGTGATGAGCAATTTGTCGGCAACAAATAAATAGTGTGTATGTGTATGTTTGTGCCAAAAAAATAATAATAATGATAAAATAAAGTAATTTTCATATACACAAAAACTATATCATCTTGATTCTTCTCCTTTCAAATTCCAGTTGTTTTTACATAATAATTGATAGGCTTTTAAAATATACAAATTATGATGATGATGATGATTGATAATAAATAATTTATTAATAATTCATATGCAACAACAAAATTATTTGTTTGTTTTATTGTAAAATGTTATATCAGTGATGACAGAACAAAACAAAAAAACGCCATCTGACCGGGTTGCCCGGAAACGAATTTTTTGTTGTTGTTGTTGTTGAATGATGTTATGAATCAATCAGTTATGAATGTAAAGAAGAATGGTAAAATGGCCATTATGTTTATTTTGAAAATTCAGATGCGAAGGTGGGTAGGCGTATTAGCTTCTAAACATTACACAAACATCCATCAACCGATCATCATCAACAACATGACAACGTCTTTGATGAAGTTAGCTAAACAAAAAAAAAATTCGAATTCATTGGAATAAGACAAATAAATTTGGGAAACATTGAGTTTTTTTTGATAAACAGATTTTTTTCTAATTAAAAAAATTTCTAAATGGCGCCAGGTGAATATTGTTTAATTTGAACATTTGGTGAAAACGAAAATGAAACATAAACCGACCGACCGACCAATCAACCACCAATTTATCCAAATTCCCGATGGCCAGTCACGTCAATACAGTCATCGTCTTAATAATGAAAGAAAAGTATATTTTTTGGTAGAAAAAAAAATCTGCCATCTAAAGCCAGATGTGTGGGTGTACGGTATATATTCGATGTTGATCTATATAAAATGTTGCAGCAAATGATTGAAATGAATAAAGCAAAAAAAAAAAGAAAATAGGAAAAAAAATGCAGATGAATTAAAGCTTTTGGTAAGATTTGGACTTTATTGCTCCGTCATCATCATCAACAACATCACCAATGTTGGCAGCAACGGCAATCCAAAGATCCGAAGCAGAACAACAACAAAACAGCTTTGACCAAATTGCATTGGTGGTCCATTACACCAGTTGATAGTGATTTTTTTTTGTTGGCAAATAGGAACAAGACTGGTTCGAATATATAGCCATAATAAACACTGGTAAGCAGAGAGGGTATATAAAAACTAACAAAACAAAAAACTAAAAAAAAATTTAAAAATGTGAAAACAAAAATCCAGAGCAACAGATGTTAGGCGACGACAACAACAACAAAAAACTCTATGGCTATGGCTTATTGAACCAGACTTTATTGAATTTGATCAAAATTAAAGAAGCTATCTGAAGAAATGCCTGCCTGCCGACAAAATATAAAAAAGTACCGTGTGTGTCTGTGTGTTGTGTTGTATTGATGCTGATAATGGTAAAGGTCATTGGTCATTTTCAATTGGGGTTGAAAACTCTATGGCCGACGACACATTGCATATAACAACAAAAAAAAATTTGAAGTGTGCCCGACCCGAGCCAGTTTTCACTTCTTTATCACACAACAACAACAAAAATAATGTTGCACGCGTTAGAAAGTATATGGCTTATAGTTAGCATGGCACGTGTCCAACAACAACAAAAAAATGAAAGAAAATCATGACCGGTCTTAGCAGGAGAAAGAGGGTAAAAAAGGCCAACACAATTTGGGACAAGGGGAATAATAGAGAATGGACCAGCTGCTTTTTTTTGGTTGATGTTGGAAAATGTTCTATTCAACAATTGGGAATTTTTTTTTTGGTTAGATTTGGATCACTAAAGAGAGTGAAAGAAAGCAAGAGAGAGGGAGAGACAGAGTAAGACCAGTCAGCGGAAAAAAATCAGCCACGGTGGTTAACGGGCAGGTGATCGACCATTATCATCGCCATCATCATCATCATGGCCGTATGTGCCACGTGTTGAACACGAGTCACCGTAAACAACAACAACGGGATCCAAGAGCAAAAACAATGCAAACTAACGAAAGGAAAAAAATTGAGGACACTCACCCTCCCGCACACTAATCATATTTTTTTGGTATTGATTTCTATTCGCAAAAAAAAACTGTTCGAAAAATGAAAATAAAAACTGCACACGAGCAAAACCAAAAAAACCAAGAAAAAACCGTAGCACCTGTGGCATATGAAAGGAACTAAATAAATGAAAAATATTGATCAACATCTGTGAATTAATTTACAATGAAAAAAATAAAAATTTAAATGGAAATGTTTTTATTCAATTTCCATTTCCTTCAACAATTTTAGTTTTTTTGATCAACTCAAATATATTCGATTCAAAAATAGAACATTCATCAGAATATTGATAAGAATATTCTACGTTCATCATTCAACTTGATCGAAGAATAATTCCTTAAAACTTGAAATCGAATTTATATTGAAAGATTCTATGATTATAATCAACAGGGCCCAAATTATCCAACATCATCATCATCATCATCAACAAATGAATCCTGTGCGAATACAGATTCAATCATGCATATTAATTTGGAATTTGAAATAAAACCACTACTAAAAATTTAAATAGTAGTAGTAGTACCCTGGTTTGGTATCCAAATCACAAGTAACTGAGAGAGAACAAAAGACTATTCAGCAGAAAAAAAAGAGATCTGCTAGTTGCGCTTGTTGTGCCCATTGAAATGAACATATCACATAGGGATTTTCGAATGAATGAATGACTGTTGTTGTTGTTTTATTATATTGGACGGGTTTTCCGCCCCTATCACCCGTTGGACAATATACTATTTGTCTCTATAGCGGGGAGCTTTATTTTTATGAATTGTTGCGCTAGTCTGGCCAGTATACTGGTATATATTTGTAATGTACTGCCACTACATTTTCATAGATCCGTGTCATTCAGCTATATCGAGTTTAGTGATCATTTCATTCGAATGAAGAATGAAAAAAATATCCAACCTTATACCAATATTTGGTCAGTTTTCTTTCGAACCTGGTTGGGTGAACACTTGGTCCTGTATTGTTGTTGAATGCTGTTTTCATAGAAAATTGAATCTTTTGAAAGAAAAAAAAATCATGTTCATCAGCTTGATGTGTTCCCATGTGTGTTGTTTGTGTGGGTGTTTGGTTGTGTTTGTGTTTTTTTGAATCAAATTTTTCATTCAATCAGAATGTAAAATCCAACTGTTTTTATTTGCGAAATTTCAACTAAAAAAAGGAAGAAGAAGAACTCAATCAGATCCCTCCGATATACACCAAATCGTGCCTAATATTAGTTCAATTTACCCGCCAATTTTTATTTTTTCGGTTATTTTTTAAAAGGGTGCCTTCAAAACAACAAAAAAATATTCTTAATATCAAAAATGACGTCTATATCGACATCGATACATCATACAAAACAACAAACAAAAAGTTCAAAAAAATCATCATTACAAAGGATTTTATCATCGAAATATCTATTAATGAATAATGGAAACATTGATGATAATACGAATAATAATAATAATACAAATTTAATGTGCCAGATTATGGAATATTTTTTAAGAAAATCATCGACAACGAATAATAATACATTACCATTATCTTCATCGTCTTCGATAACAACAACGACGATGAAATCAACAACAACACTGCCATTATTGTGGCCATCGACAACATTGTTGAAGCCACAGACATTGTCTGATACAAAGATGTCATCATCATCATCATCATATTCAACAAATACATCCACGCATCAAAATCATTATCATCATCATCATCATCATCATCATAGTTCTGGGCAACGATCGTTATCGTCTACATCAAGTTCTATGTTGTCAATGAGTAGGCACCATAAACATCATCATCAACATTATAATAATAAAGGTAAACAGAGGTTAAAAAAAATGAAAAGAAAAGAAATAGAAAAAAAATTGTCATTGCAAATGAATTTCGAATAGATTATGTAAAAAGGTGTCATATATATCTATTTTAACAATATACTAGTTCTATAGAAAAAAGCAAATACAAAATGCTGATCGCCCTATATGGTTGATATATATAGCTAGATAGGGAGATGGATAGATTGATAGCACCCTTATAAAACAAAAAAAAAACAGAAAGATATCCGCATATATCACATACTTGTCACAAATTTTTTTTCTTCTTTTAAACAAAAATTAAACAACAACGAATAAAAAACCCATCCAACCATAACTATCGAAATTTTATTTCATATTTTTTTCATATTATCAAACTTTTAACCAAATCCAGAGAAACAAAATTGACAGAAAAAAAATGGGCAACCCTAATTTTTTTTTTGGTTTGCTGTTCTGGTTAAAATCTTTCGAATAAAATAAAATCCAGGTTGACAGTCAGAGGGATTAAATTAATCCAAAACAAAAACAATAAAAAAAATTATCGATTAGGATTGCTAACAGGTGAATTATCATTACTATTGTATTTGTTTGTCGTTTGTTTTTTGAATGTGTCAAATAATTATTACGGAAGTGTGAGCAATTTATTTTCCCATTTTATTTATTTTATCCAAAATTAATTATTATTACAGGCCAGATGATGATCTTTTTTTTTAAAAAAAAAACCAAAATCAAAACAATTAACCAAATCAAAATTAGTCATATTTCCGGATAGTTAGCGGTAGGTGTGTAATCATCAGTAAAGTATTGTTTTTTTTTTTGGTTTTTCTTCAATCATCAGCATCATTATCAACCGATCGGTTTATTGGTTCATAGGGTGCGGTTCAACCAACAATTTTCAACTTGTTGTTGTTGTTGACATATTTCATATATGTAATAATTGGACATTTTGTTGCCGTTGCCAATGATTTGTTTGATTATTTGAATGTTTAATATTTCAATTGATTTTTGTTTTATAATTTCCATGAATCACACTCTCATTTACCTGTCAAAAAAATTATCAATAAAATTTACCAATATATTTTGTTTTGTTTTATTTGACTACATTTGTTTTTTCGTTTTTTTCTAGATAACAAACATCATCATCATCATCAACAAATCAATGAACTTAACATGGAAACAACAGAATCAACAACAAATGATTATAATGATGAGAAAAAAATGTTATTAATTAATGATCGTTTGCAAGAAATTTGCAATAGTCAATCAGATCATAATCATAATCATAATCATAATCATCATCATAATTGTCATCATCATAAACATCATCATCAACAAAATAATTCTTGTTGTTATTGTTGTTGTCATTTATCCAGTTCCTCACCATCATCATCTAATTTTTTATCTTCTTCCACTTTCGTTTCATCATCATGTTGTTCTTGTTCTATTCATTGTTCTGTTGAATATTGTTCTTGTTTATCCGATAAGATCCCGGTTGTTGTTGTTTGTGATGGTGATGATAAAATTCCGTTATCCAAACATAATAATAATAATAATCAATTATCATGTTTAAGGCCGATAAATTGTTCGACAAATTCTTTAACAAAATCTTCATTGAATTCAACAAGAGTAACAAATATTTTCAGTCAACAACAAAATCAAATCTCTCACACTTCCTACACTGACAAATCTTCAAAACGATCATCATCATCATCATTATTATCAACGAATTTTTCGATGTCGATAAAATCAAAATCAAATGAAAAGCTATGGTCAAAGCAAAAAGAATCATCATCATCATCATTATTCTTGAAGACATCAACATCAAACAAACAAACAACACCAACGCCAAAAAATTTTGTTATACCACCAACATCATCAACATGGTCAGAAAAATTATTATTTTCGTCATCAATGACCATCAACAAAAATCATATTTTGACCATCCTTTTAAATATTTTCCTGCAATCTGCATCCATATTTACATCATCATCAACATTATTATCCACTCGACAATCAAACAGTCATCATAATCGTCGTCGTACATTATTGATAACGATTATACTCATAATTTTTTCATTCAGTAGTTTGTTACATACAGTTGGTAAGTGTTCGATTTTTTTCCATTCTGAATTTTTTTTTTCATTATCATTTTTTCTACTTCGATTTGAATCATAATCATACGTTATTTTTATCATTTTAATTTATATGGTATATGTGAAAATGGAAATGATGATGATGATGATTAAGATGATGGTTGGATAAATACTCCAAAATCCTAGGCTACAGAAAAACTGATGAAGATCACTGAATTATCCTTAACGCGTTCGCTACCGGAGATTTCGAAAAACACATAGAACTACAGCAAATAAACGACGCATATATGCGTCGCTGGTAGCGAACGCGTTAAGAAAATTATCATTGTTTTTTTTGCTGTTGTTTTTGTGTGTTATTGATTCAATATGATTGAACATTATCATTTTTTTTAAATTTAATTTAATTTACTCTGAATATCCAACCAAAATGCAAACAAATGTTGACCTTTGTTTTTTCCTTCTTTGCTCGTGCATATTTTTTCCTATCTAAATAAAAAAAAAGAATGAATGAATAAGGCAGCTGCTTTATATTATGATTCCGTTCGCACGTGCCATCGACCAACCACATCCAGACCAGCTTTTACCTTTTTTTTTCTTGATTTTACCTATTGCTTTTACTACTGCTGCTGTTGTTGTTGCCAACCAATCAATGATATATTTATCACAATGTTGGCTTCTGAAAATCGAAATGAGGGGTGAAAAAAAAATAAAAATTCCATAATCAACAACAACAACCGACCGTTTATGATTGTGTGTAATGTGATATTTTTTATTTGTCTTGTTCAACAGGCCTAGGATTTGCTATATAGTAATATATAAGGTAAGTAAGTAGGTATAATAATAAAATATATGGATCGGTAAAGCTTTGTAAACGACAAATTTGATCGCGCGCGCGAGCTCGTGTCAATTTTTTTCTACTATACAATGTCGTTGCCATTGTCGTCGTCAAGGATGATGTCTTTTCAAGTTGGTCTAGATGTTGAGGAGGACATCGACATATACGAACCGAGGGTAGCCATTGCTATTTAGTCGCGTGAACTTGTGTGTGGTTGTTCATCATTCGCAATTGTGTGTTTTTTATATGAACATCTGGCGAATATATTTACTATTTAAAAGAATAGAAATTTTGTTTTTTTTAATCTTGGTTGTTCCAATGCACACCCCCTCTCGTGGTGTGTTGGTGTAAATATGTGTACGAATAAAGGAAATGAATGAAGGCCCCGAAGGCTAACCTCTCCTGATGATGATGTTAATGATGAAAAACTGAATAGCTAGGCTAGCTTCAAAATTCAAATGATAAAAACACATTTTTTCCCTACATTCTGGAACTATGCTTTCAACTTTTTTTTTTGGATGAACATCACACATAATCATCTTGATGATGATGATGGAATGTAGTATTTAAAAAAATAGTAGCAGATGTCACAAAAGTGTGCACGAGTGAGACACGCGTAAAAAAAGAAAAGAAATATCAATATTTATAGTTACATGGATATAGTGGGTGTATGATATTTTTTTTTGTTCCTGAACAAAAAGATGGAAAGTATTAATTTTTATTTTCATTTAATTAAATTAATTAATCAAAATTTCTAAATTTGATTCATAATATTTTGATTCAATATGGTATTGTTATAATCATCATCATCAATTTATTCTTCATATTTTTTTTTGGTTCGTACAAAAAAAAAGACCAACCACGCTGATAATATTACAATCATCGATGGCGGCAATAAAGATGATGATGGAGGTCATTGTGGATGTTTTTTTTTCTGTTTCTAAGGTAATGCCGACATCTATACCAGCTTTAGCTCCCCCAATTCATCTGAACATCCATTATTATATGTGAATATATAACTATCCATTCGAATTTTATCCGCCTTGTTTTTTTTATATTCTATTCTTTCAAAATCGATGAAATGATGGCGGCTGTCTGTGTGTGTGTGTTCGTATTATACAACAATGTTTTTTCTGTTGTTGTTAAAAAATAAAATATAAAGGTATCTTATGATTATATCAATCTGTTATTATTGTGTTTATTTGACCGAAAACGATGTCGGCTGAAAAAATAACAACAATAGATCAAGACGATGATGACGACGACTTAATAACGTAACCTTTGATTGGTGTTCATGATGATCAATGATAATTCATTGGCTTATTGTTCAGATTGTACAAATGATGATCATGATTTTTTTTTTGATTGGATATTGATGACTACTATCTTGCTTTTCCAATGATGATTGAATGACCACATACAACACAATACACAATGGTGATGATACAATGATGTCAACAAATAATGTTTTTTTGTTTAAATTAAAATACCTACCTACCTACCGATCAATCGATTGATCAGTTAATCGAACCGAGAAAAAAATACATAAGAAAATAATCATTCGATCTTATGCGTTTTTTTTGTGTCTATAATTCCAATCAATGTTCCATTGTTATTGAACATTATTATCATCTTGATCATCAACATCATCATAAAGCTCAAATTTATCCTCTCAACAACAACAACAAAAAAAAGACAATAAAGATCTTTGCCAATTATCAAGTTTTTTTTGTTGTTGTTTTCATTCATTTTGTTCTAGTTCATCATCTAGTTTGTCTATATTCATCAAGGCACGGTGGCCGCCTGGATGGATGGATGGATGGCTATCTGGTCCTGTTCGTCCATCGTTCAAGGTTCACTGATTCATTTTTACCTGTTACTGTTGGTTCACTGTTGGTGTTGTTTTGTTTTCTATTCGGCACCAATATTTATATACTTTAGACGCCGAGGTTGTTGTTGTTTTTCTCTTTCTCTCTTTATTTCTATTTTCCTTTCTGTTCATTTTAATTCATTTTTTTCTTCTTTCGCCATCATCATTCGCAGCGGTCAATGAGCTTTTGAATTCTTGCTTACTTTTTTGGTTTGGTCGAATGATTGGTTGGTTGGTTGGTTAGTGGTTACCATATATATACCAACCTTAACAATGTTTGAAAGAAATATTTACCGAGATATATCATAAAAGAGAAAACATAGCAAAAAAAATGTGTGTCTAAAATATGTATTGTTTATTAATTCATTGGATTCTCATTTGATTAGATGAATTTTCATTTTTTTTGTTGCTTTCATTTGATGAAAAACATATTTAGTGACTTGTTGTTTATCATTGAATTCGATTCGAATTTTTCTTTTCTCTCTCTCTTGTTTATTTGCTAGTATTCTATGTTATTGGTGAATGTAACAACAGAATTTTTTTTGACGTTTCCATGGATGATGATAGAGTATATTGTTTTATTGTTCATATCATTCACATCATTCAAAGATCTCTACCGATGATGATGATGACTTTGCTCAATATATGATGATGATGATGGATATGACCTTTGACTTTATGATTGTGTATTATATAAAAAATTTTTTTGTTTTGAAAGTGAAATATTTATGTATTCTATACATGTATATGAATCTATCTGGGGCATAAATGAATTTTCTTTACTTTTTTTTATTTATTTGTTAAATTCTATACATTTTTAATGTTGTGTGTGTTTGTTCATCTAAATGTAACTAAACAGAATGATAAACTTTTCAAGTCCATTAGATTTGAGATTATAGTTTTTCTTTTAGTTTCATTACAAGTCCATTACTTAATGTAATTCGATAAAGTTTTTTTTTTGGATAAATCCCCTTCCTTTTTTCAAGATATCCAGCCGACCAAACATAAACCCATCACATCATAATTTTACTTTGTGGAAAAAAGGTCAAAGAGCATATGTTTAGGTCCTCCCCCTTATAGACTACCATTATATCGAATGAATTTGGATAGAGACAAACCGAAAATAGCCTTTGAAACCCGAATCTTACTTATTGTTACCATATTTTTTTTGTTTGTTTGTCATATGGTCATCGATAATGAATAACGACTATTATCAAAAGCCAAGAAAACTATGAAAAGACATTTAAATTTTTATTTTTTTTTCAAACAACCAACAAAAAAACACGTGCCTATAGTTTTTTTACGCTATGAAACATAGATCAATGAACATATGTGTGTTATTCGTAAAAATCCAAAAGAAAATTGAAATAAAAACGATCTTTATGCGAAGAATATACTTAACCCACTCAAGTGTGGCACGTGCCACAAACAAACAAAAAAATTATATGGTTCAAAAATATACATTGAAACATGATAAGACATACTATGAATGATGATGAATAGAGATAATTTTTTTGAAAGTTCATAAAAATCAAATGATATAAATATTCTTCAGTTTTTTTTGAATTTCCAATATTGTTGATGACAACGATGACAGCTGTTGCGTTGTTATCATCGACAATCATTATCATCATCAACAATAACAAAGCAACAACAACAACAAAATTTACCAAATGGATCACACATGTTGCTCAGTTCAGTTCAGTTAGTGTCTCCAATTTCGTTGACAATCACAATCATCATCATCAATATCATCCGGACCAAATCCATCTTTGTAAATTTATCAATATAATTATCATCAACTACAATCTATTTGGATCATCATATGAAAAGTCATTGATTTAATGACTATGAAGATCTTGATTCATTCTTTATTTATATATTTGTGAATGTTTTCTTTTCTTGCAAAGTTATATTGATCATTTTTTTTTTCAAATGAAGAATGAAATTGATGCTGATAATAATGTTGTTTTTTGTTTTGCTTCAAAAAAATGATATAGCTTTCGAAAAAATATTCTCTAATGATGATTATATATGCAATCGTGGGAGTGTATATGATCGTATCTCTATCACTTTATCTATTTTTTTCGTGTGTTTGTGTGTGTAGGTAGTATTTCATATATATTACATTAGGGAAACAATCGAAAGAAAATGTTGAATCAAAAAAAAAAAATTCAAATTTTTTTCAACTCTTTCATTCGAGTAAAAGATAACGATGTTCATTCATTTTATTCATCTTCAATAAGTTTTTCAATCAAAAAAAAAAATTCAAGGAACATTATTTATTTTAACCCTTTTTTTTCCTGTTTGAATTTTCAAATTTTTTTTTGCTCTCATCAAAATATTATTAATTATTATCATTATTCAGGTGTGTTGTATGGTGTATGTAAAATCAATTTGTCGCTTTGTTTAAAAAAAAATTCAAGTTTATACGTGGGAGTAATAATCATTCATCGTTTGTTTTTCTTTCGTTTGATAATAAGTAAGAATTTTATGGGAAAAAAAACATCTTTGTATAAGAGAAAAACAATCTTTACCTAATATCAATAAATCTTATTCACATTAGAAAAAAAGATAAGATGGATATTGATTCTAATAAAATTATAAATCAAAATTTTTTTTAAAATTCTGTAACTGTATTGATGATGAAATATGGCTATTGATTGTTACAAAAAAAAAACCAAAATAAATCGCCAAAACTTCATGACCATATTGTTTGTTTATATCATTTCCAGGTGTGTATTGTAGAGTTTGTTGTTAATTATGATCCACACATGGAAGGTGATGTCGAATCTTTTGTGGAAATTTTCTATACTTTTTTTTAAATATCGGCAGCTGTGCTGTGTCTGTCGGTGTGTGTTGTATGAAAGTACGTATGAACTTTGCACTCTTACATATCACCAGTGTAAGGAGGACATATGGTCTAATTTTTTCACTTTTTTTTGTGGCTGTGATTTTTGTCTTTTTTTTCTCCTATGGTCATGAATCGAATGTTGAATTCGATGGCTGAAAATGTCATTGGTGTTCAATAATAATCGTTTAAAAAACCAATTCAACTCCAGATCAAAATCCGATACCCGTTCAAATTTAGAAGAAAAATTTATCTGAAATAAAAAATCATTTAATTCATTATTCAATTACATTATTATTGTTTGAATTCAATAAATGATGGTTTATAAAAATGATGAACATTTTGTATTATGTTCAATCATGATAATGATTCTTCAAGGGTCATTCAAATTTATTGTTGCTAATCATTATTATTATTATGGTTAGTTCTTATTGATTCAAAGTTTGTCATCATCATCATTATCATTATCATCATCAATTTACATGTTGTCATGTATTTTATTCTCATTCTATTTTCATTTCCTGTCATATCGTGTATAACAAAATAGTACAACAGGTATAATGATTTCCATTTGACTTTATATATTCATTTATATCCAAGTAGTAGGTATTCTATCATCTGTTGATTGTCTTTCTCTATGTGTGTATGTATTTGCTATCTTTGGGTTATTTGGGTTGGTTTTGCATCGTTGCACGCATTGAGCCTTATTTCCTATGATGATGATGATGATGATGATCGCAAAATACTACAGGGAACCTTTATATATTTTTTTACGAAAAAATTTATTTCATGATTTTGTTTGTTTTAAATATGTTGTTTGTGTTGATTTTTTTTCTATATATTGAAATAAAAATAACAATTTATATGGTAAAATGATTGCAGTAGTAACCGAATGACAATTTATATTATAAGGGTCACCTCGCCCAACACTCTCACTTTTTATTTCTTGTTGTTGTAGGCAATGAATCATCATCATCATCATTTCGGATGTATTAAACGACATCCGAATTTTTTTTTCGATTGAATTTAATTCTTCAATTATTCATGTTTTTTTTCTGTTATTTATTTCTCGTTTCTCACAAAATAATCAATGAATAGAATCCTGTTCATCAAGGTCGACGCCGAAACCGCGTCCACCAGCGCCAACTACACGTCCAAATATTACGTTCCAAACATATGCATGTCCAGAAGCTTATGCAAAATGGTATTGTTTGAATGGTGCCACATGTTTTTCCGTCAGAATCGGTGAATCTATTCTTTATAATTGCGAGTAAGTTTTTTTATCATTTTCATGTTTTGCACATTTTAATGATTGTGAAATAATTAATATCAATTTTTTTCAATTTTTAAATAGATGTGCCAATGGCTATATGGGACAACGATGTGAGTTCAAAGACCTAGAAGGTTCCTATCCTGGTATGCGTAAGTTCCAATTTATTAAACCTTCCTATTTTCTTTCTCTCTCTCTCTCTCTCTCTCTCTCTCTCTCTCTCTCTCTTTGTGTGTTTCCTGTTCAAAGGAAATTATCCTTAATTATTGATAATTGTTTTCATACGAATTTCTCTTAATTCTTGTTTTTATTTTTATTTCCGATTATTATAAATAGCATCACGTGAATCAAAAATCCTGGAGGCCGGCATAGCTGGTGGCGTTATCACAGTGTCCATAGTATTCGTTTTTGTAATCTTATTATCGTACAACGCCTATCTAAGGTTAGTTATCTGTTCAATTAAAAATAATTGTTGATGAACTAATTCCGTTTGTCATTCGATTAATATTTTCTATTTTGGTGTGACAATGTATATCATTTTTTTTCCTTGTAATCTTTCTGTTACAATAAATAGAAATCAGATGAGATTGAAATCAACATCGTTGACGACTCCCTTATTACGATCATCATCAACGTCGTCGACAGACCTGAACAGTGATTTTTCATATCATTCACCACAGCCATTATTATATCAGAAAAATTTCGGATATTATTCAACATTCGGTCAGCAACAGTTACCGTTCAGCCAACCGAACAATGATAATAATTTGAAAATAACGAATAAAACGGAACATTATCAATGTATATTACCATTAAATGGAAAGAAAAATTATCATTATCATCAACATAATTATCATTTAATTATTGAAGAGCAGAAAAAATTTGGAAATATTCTGTTGGTATGTATTCGCCGATTACAGACATAACGATTCAAAAAATCAAAAATTTTATAAAAATTTCATTGTTTTTTCAATTTTGTTTTGTTTTGTTTTTTCATCTAATCAAATAGGATTTGGAATATGGTACAAACAGCAGATAACGATAAGATAAACGAATGAAATTAAAAATACTAGCAACGTACCAATCAATAATGTTACAAAAAAAAATAATTCGTTTTGTTAATCATTTGGATTTAAACTACTATTAATTTTAACATTTATTACATTTATATTGTATTTTTTTTCATTATTTATTCTTTCATTCAACCGTCATCATTATCTTTTCCTAATCAAAAACAAAATTTCATTTCATTTATTCTTTTTTTTTTGTATCAACAATTTTTCATTTTATTTAATTTCATTATCAATTATTGTATAAAATATTCAACAACAAAAAAAAAAATTAGGATTTGCATCCTGGATTATTCTCCTATATGTTTTTTTTGCGGTAATAAAACGAACCTGGCTACCGGTTCCAGTTGGATTTTCGACAAATCTTAATCAATTAAATATTTTTTTGTTTCACAAATCATTATCATTTCATTTATTTAAAAAAAACCTTCATAATTTAGCAAATAATTTTTATGCAATTATTATATATTTGTATTATAATAATATTTAAATTGATTTATACGATTCAGCCTTTGATCTTTTGCTCACACACAGCCAACACAAACATTTATAGACAACAATTGTATTGAATACAAAGAATTTAAGAAAACAAAAATAATCAAAGTTTTAATCAATTCTAAACAAATTCATTATTTTACATTTTGTATGATAAATTCCTTCTTCTTTTCTTATTATTATTTTTTTTACTATTATTATCTTTGAAATTGATCAATTAAAAAAAGAAACTTCTTACTTACATATCAACATTTTTCTATTATTGAAAATTCTAAAATTTTACAATCTTAAATTTCTTCTGCATCCTCAAGATATAATTAAATTTAAATCTTATAAAAAAAACTAGGCAATAATTTAACCAAAGAAACAACAATACACATGAATCTTTTTTCTCCTTGAAATTAATCTGGATTGTGGCAAAAATCAAAAAACAAAAAGAAAATAAATAAAAAAGATAGAGACCAAACAAAAAATCAAAGATAGATGAAATCAAGTGCTCATTTGGTAATATGTATGATGATCATCATCATAATCATTTAGATTCACTGAACCGTATATCTGTATAAATGTTATGTGTTCCTCTTATTTAGTTCATCATTATTTTCTATTTTTATGGCCATTATTTATTTATTTATTTATTCTTTTCTTTTCCAATTTCATTTCATACACAATTATATAATAGCACATTGATTGTTTTGTGTTGTTCATAAGATCTTTTGTGTCTATGTGTCATTCATTTGGCTTGCGAATGTGTGTGTGTATGTTTGATATAATTAAGTAAAGTAGATGGAACAACCAAAATAGAGAAAGAAAATAAAAGACCAATACCGATAACCAGAATACTTGATGAAGATTTTTCTTTCTTTTCTCTTCAATGTGTGTTTTATCATCATCTTTTTTTTGAACATCAAGATTTGTTTGAAAGAATTGATGAACGAAATAGAATACAATTAACAAACCAATCAAGCAACAAGGTAACATTATGATTTGCATCAATGAACATGACAATGAATGATGATTGAAAAAAGAAAAGATTTTGTAGAGAGAGAAAAAAAAACAAATTCCAAGACAATTTTCTTCAAAATGCCATCACTTTAATAATAGTTATAGTAGCAATAACACCAGTAAAAAGAATTGCGAAAAAAATTCCACTAACAAAACATTAATCATGAATCATCAAATTCTAATCTATTTTTTCCCTATAACTAATATCAAGGTTAAATTTTTAATGAAATGAAATTATATTTCATTGTTTACTCTTACAAAAATCATTGATCATTAATTGAAATGATTAAAGCCACGATTGACATGAAGAAAAATATCATCGGAACATAATCGAATTAAAAGAGTTTATCAAGTTTATTATTGAGAGAAAAACGATTAAAATATGAAAAAAATGATAAAGATCAATCAATCAAATCATTAAATTTTCGGTTGCTAGGAATTTATTTATGAAGAAAAACTATTTTTTTTTGTATGAAAAAACTCTATTCAAGTACGAATTCTGATGATGATATTTGAAACTTTGTTCCAAATTTTTCTATCTTCTATTATTCATTATGTGTCAAATATTGACAATCAATATTGAATGGTTTTTTATTTATTTTCTTGTTCGTTCTTCTTCTTTTTCGCTGGAAAAAATGTCAAATTAAAAAAATTTATTTTCTGAAATTCTTATGAAAGAAAATAAAAACATAAACACTTTAGCGGCTTCTTTTACATTTTCTCTTTTTTTTTGTTCTTCTCTTTCACAAAAAAAAATGAAATAAATGTTTGTTCCAGGACCCAAATTTTTTTTCTCAATTTTTATTCGACAGTTTGTGTGTGATAAACAAGAGAATTTAGAGAATGAATAAAGGTTTGGCCTATAATTTTCTTTTTCAGATTTCGTTCCATACATAACGACAAACGACTTTAGTGATATTTAGATTGTTTGGAATTTGTAAAGATAGAAAAAAAAACAACCGGGTAATTTGAAGTAATATTCACAATAACCAACAACAACAAACATAAACTTTGACAGGTAGTCGTGATTGTCAAATGAAAGGTAACGACAATAACAAAACAAAACAAAAAAAATAAAGAATAGAGTTTGAAAATCATTTTGTTCACAATTCATTTGTTTTGCAGAAAAAAAATGAAAAGGAATTTCCCTTTTTATGATGATAAATGAGTTGTTGTTGCTGCTGATGATGAGGAGGATGATGATGTTGACGTCGATGATGATCAAACCAAAATATAAAGACCACACACACACCTTCAGCCACTCCTATTCAATTCCTACAATAACAACAAAAATTTTATTCAGATTCGATAATTGAAAATTCTTTTTTAAAGAGAAAAAAATTTCATTGATCTAACCGATCTTTAGGAATTTTCGTTTTTGTTTTGTTTTCGGAATCTGATTATATCAATTTTCTCTATTTTTTCTCACAAAATTATTAAGATATCAGCCAAAAAAAAGCAGTTACCTGTCATCATCATGATAATCATGATGATCATGATCATAATAATCTGTATTTATGTAAATATTAATGGATTGATCGATTGAAACATGCAAACATACACATTGAAATAGATAAAGTCATATAATTTTCCATTATTGTATCGCGATCAAAACAAAACAACAACAACAAAATTATGGTTGATTGATTTCATTATTTGTTTCAGGAATCTCATTCTCTGCATGTTCATTGAGTGTCATGTAGCAAGAAAAGAAAAACACTGAATTTTGTTGTTGTTGTTATTTATTGTTACTAAATGAACCTGTTATTACCGAAAATAAAAATTTGCCGACAATACACACACATACTATATGGTCAAAAACACTGGACACACACACACATTATATGGTGAAAAGAAAATTGGGCAGAAAATTGGCTTCATTTTTTTTTGTTTCGTTTAAAAATATAAAGTGATTCTAATTCTCACGAATTCAATCACTTTAACACACACAGAGAGAATAGAAAATTTTTTCAAATTTATAGAGCCTGAAAAAACTGATAATTCAAATGAATGGTCTAAACATTAGTTTTTTTATCACCCCGAATTTTCTATTTTGTTGTTCTTTTCAACCCCTCTCCCACCACACACAAATATTTTGTGAAAGAAATTAGAAAAAAACTTCTTATAAACACACACAGTGAATATTTTTTTTTTCTTTTTCTTTGACTGGACATTTGTGTTGGGGCCTAATTAATGTGGTCCCGGGTCAAATCTTTGCCAGAATTGGGGTGTTGTGAAAAAAAGGGTAATGGTTTTTTTGCTGGCTGGTTGTTTGTTTGGCCTAACCCAATAACAACAACAACAAAGGTTGGCTATGTCTTGATTATCGACAACAAGATCCAAATGAAGAATGAAGAGCGAAAAATGAAACCGATGAAACCTCCTGGGTTCTTCGGGTTTTCTTCATCATCAATTTTTTTTCTCTCTCTCCATTGAGAAAAAAGGGGGTTGTAATGGCTTCAATTGTTGGTTCTTTCTAGTTAGCATATTGTTGAAATTTATATCGATTGGTGGTCTTCAAATAGAGAGAGAGAGAGAAAAATATCAAATGTTTTACCATCATCATCATCATCATGGTTATATGAGTGTATTGGTTGATTGACCAACCGACCAAATGTGTATACCAAACAATAACACACACACAAGGTATATACCACACCTGGTCCCCTTTTTGTTGTTGTTGGTTGGTTGGTTGTTGAATCGTTTTCTGGGTCAAAAGCTGCCGCCGAATTGATGAAGAAGCCAATATTATTATTATTATCGCTGTTATTATTGGTGAATTCGTTTGATTTTCGTTTTTTTCATAAACCTTAACAAGAGAGAGAGAGAGAAATAGAGAAATTCATTCGATTTATCAAAATCAAACGATCGAAAAAAATTGCCACCGCTTGCGCCACACACAAACAAGAAAATAAAAATTTATCTGGGACTTTTTTTTTGTTTTGTTTAAAATTTCAAATTTATTGAACTATCAAAGTAAAGATATTATTTTTTTTTCTTCTCACTTTTATTTCTATGAATCGTTATTCTGAAATAAAATAATTTTCATGACATTTTTCTTAAAATGCCCAAGTTTATTCTCTTGAAATTTAGACAAAGCAGAAATAAAAAAAGGTTTCATCGTTGATGACCATCATCATCACTATCGTCATAATAAACCAACCTCAAAGTTTTTTTTCGTTGCTGTTACGTTGTTCGTAAAATAGTTTACTATAGCTCACACATTACGACTTGAATTTTAATTGCTTAATATTATTTTGTTTTGTTTTTCATTGAATTTTTTATTGGAAATAATCATCAAAAATATATAAATTCCACGCAATTCAATTCCTGTTCGCAATAAACAAATTTGAAAAATAAATAACTGGGTTTGTTGGGTGATAAACAAATTATATTTGTGGAAAAACGACAAAATAACATGATCATCATTGAAAAGCAACATCATCAGAGAATCGTATATGCCGACCAATTTATATATGATCACCAATTTCTTGTCATAAAATTTTTGTTTTTCTACTTACCTTGAAAAAAAGTTCACAGAATTGTTTTTAGAGAAAAACAAAACAGAAAACTTTATGGACATAGATATTTTTCAATAAAACGAAAAACATTTCTCTGATAGATTTATTAAATTATTATGATTGAAATAAAAATTTTAAAAAAAAGACCCTGGCAAAGGACCGACAGCCAATATCATTCGAATTTGATTTTTAGATCATTCTTTTATTGGTTTACATGTTGTAGGTATTATTATTAGAATACTTTTCCATCACCAAGTTTATACGATGTGTTTATGCTGAATGTTTTTACACATGTGGATTTTTTTCTTATCACATTTTTGTTTTGGTTTGATAATGGCTAATAATATCAAAGATTTTTTGCAAATTCTTGCTAAATGGATCACTCTTGTCAAAGACAATAATATTACCGATGTGAATGCGGAAAAATGGTATTCATGTAAATTGTCTGAAATTGATTTACTGAATGAAAGAATTGAAAAATTAATTTCATGTGAAAATTTTGACAATCATGGTGATCATCTACAGCAACAGGTTCAAACTTTATTTGAATTTTTTGTTCAATTAGTGGAAAATCTGAGAAAAAATGTTGAAACTATATTGTCAAATAATAATGATTCGTTATCAACGAACACCAGTAGCACAAATAATTATGAAATTAGAAAGCTACAAGCGGTAGTCATCAGATTATCATTGATTATGATACATACTAAAACAGTGGTTGGTCTAATGATTGGTAATAGTCTTATGGACCACCAAATGAATGTCAATCATTTTTCACCTGAAACTAAAATATCTACACCAGCCCAAACATTATTGAGCACCAATGAAGAATCATTGATACGATTATCCTTGTGTCATTCATTACGTTTATCGTTCAAAAATATTTTAAAGTTTTACTTATATAATTCTATTTCACCAGTAAACTTTGAGAAAATATTTCCAATTTCGTTGTCCAATGATATGTTCGATTCTATTGAACAAGAAAAACAATCAGTCGAAATCTTTGTTGATGATAATAATTTCATATCTGTCAAAAATGAAGGGATCATAAAATGGTCACTGGACCATGAAAATATTGAAAAACAATTAACCATTATGAAATCAATTTATCTGATTTACCTACAGCTTTTGTTGATTCATAACGAAAACGTACAACGAAATTACTGTGTGAAACTAATCAAACAAACATTACGTAAAGATTGTTTTGCAATTTTGTTGGCTTTGTCCACAATTTACCGATTACAATCTCCGAAAACGAATCTCAACGAAGAACTTCAATCAATAATGAATCAGTTAGAAACTCAATTTATTGAAAATCATTTCAATGATCAAACATGTCGTTCATTAGTCATACATAATCTCGTTGCATTGTTAGCCTTATTATCTTCTCAACATGGTGGCCCGGACTCTGAAACAAAAAAATTATCTCAAATCATCGTGAACATGTTACGTAATCATTTAATCAATTCAGGTGGTTTACGATTACTGATCGATACAACATTGGATTCGGACCGCCAATCGGAACACGAAACTACGATTGTTCATCGTTTACAAGCGATGGTTACGATGGTTATTACTCTTCCCGTTCGACATAAATTGCCATATCAACAAAAACTTGTGTCACAATTATTGTTAGAACTACTAAAACCAGATCATTCTGGTAATAACCAACATTCACCGGAAATCTATTATCGATTTGCTGCTATGTTGCTTGATACATTAAATCAAACCGAACCATCATTAATTCAAAAAATAGTATTCGATACGATCAAAAAATCATTTCATAGTATCGAACATGAATTCACCATCGAAGAAACAATCAAAATTATTCACCGTTTGATTTCTAATCGATCTTGTTTGCTAAAGTTATCTAATTTTTTTCCTGCAATTTTTTATCTGCGATTTGAATTTGAAATGGCAAAAAATCAAATTCTTCATATATCTTTGAAAGAACAAAGTGAAAAACTCATAGTCGAAATGTTGCGCGAAATACCAAAATCAGTTTATATGTTAGATGATTGTATTTGTTCACATCAATCAGTGTGGCTGAATCATTTTTGCATAGAAATTGATCAATCATCACATCAAATAAAAATCAATGAAAATTCAGACAAATGCAAAGAACCTGTTGATTCATTGTCTCAAACAAATGTATTGGCTACTTTCATACTACGGTTATTAGATCAGATGACGATTGATTTTCGTTTTAATTTTTTCTACTTACTTTTGGAACATCTAATGGATAAAAATCCATCCACAGTTGTACTATTTTTAATAGGACCATTTGGTGATCGTCTATTTGGACAAACTATATCTAAACGTGAACAAGATGATCGTGAAGCATTCATTATTTCCAGTCAACGTACCATTCATTTTTTAAATAGTACATTAGAACGTATCGTTCAAAGAATTATACAAATTCCTGATGAACAAAATATTGATGATGAAGATTTTCAACAATATATTCAGATATGGATGGAAACGTTATCGATTTGTTTACGTATATTATCGATTTTAATAGAAAAAATTGAAACAAATTCAAAAATTATCAAACCAAACTCAATAACTATTGACGAATCAAATCAATCTATTATGACAATCTTGAATGATCTTCATCCTTGTTACAATTCACTTGGTATTCTTTTGCATAATAGTCAAACATTGAAATGGCTATCACCGGAAGATAATCTTTTATCCGAAAATTTATATCATCGATTTGAAAAACTTTATGCAAAAAAAGATATTCCTGATTATAATCAACAACTTGAAAATAATTCTGACTTATCAAATCCATTACAGTTAGCTTTGAAAGATCTTCAAAACAATGATTTTATGCCCGGACAAGCTCATGCATTGATCATAATCAAAAAATTAGTATTGAATCGTCATCCATCGATTCTCGTCATGTTTGATCAAGTGATTTCCGAAGTAAAAAAAATTCTCCGTGATTCAGAATCATACCTTTACTTAGCAGCGATTAGAACGTTGTCAGCATTTGCCATTATTCATACCGATCGAATTTTACCCATTTTGATTGACGAATTAATCTCCACAGAGACTCGTCCATTATCCGACCGTCTTAAAATTGGTGAAACTATCATTCAATTAACTTATTCGATTGGTGATTTTGCTCATCATTATTCATCACTATTAATCAATGGAATGCTTCTGGGTGTAAAATCATCTGAACCTGCCATTCGTATTAGTTGTCTATCATGTTTGGGTGAATTTTGTCGCCGATTTCGTTACGGATTGTCCAAATATATGATTGAATTGATGTCGATGATCGAGCAGATAATAACGACGGATCCTGAATTAGAAGTTCGTCGAGCTGCAGTTTTATTTCTTCACCTTCTCCTAAAAGGTGTGGATCACGAATCAGCCATTTTATTACAAAATCATTTAAAAAACATAAAAAATATCATTCTTGATGTTGGAAATCGTACACTTGATGATATCTTACAACGGCATTGTTCCAATGCATATGAACAAATATCTAGGATTGCTGAAGAATTATTGCGACAAAATGAATAAAATTCTGTGATTTTGTAAATTTTCTTTCTAACTTAAATTCGAACAAATATATTTTCATTTTTTTAACACAGTTTTGAAAAACATATTGCCATCTATGTTCATTTTTGGATACTATTTTCCTTAATCTATTATTCATCGACCCAACACAATAATATAAAAAAGGAAGGCGCCTTTTTCGAAAAACTAGCGGTTCGATTCGTAAAAAATACACCACTTTTTGATTGCCACTACAATTCCTACAGGACACCACCTACGCAAGCATCGATCATGAATGCGAGGATCAAGTGCATCTCAAACATGCATGCATGCATAATATGCAATGAGCGCGATTTTTCCTTTCACTCCCCACATTTTAAAATATAGGAACATACGCAAGCTAGGTCCCCTTAAGTTTTAATTCAAGCATGAATTTCTGTCGCTACAACCAACCAACCAATGTGGATTTGTTTTTGTATATCCATTTTTTTTTCTGCATGTCTATATACCGCTATCAAACATACGATATTTGGATTGTATATATTTTCGCTAATGGTTGTTGATTCATAACAAAATATATATATTCGATGTTATAGCATGAAGCGCATGTGCATTGTAATTCGCATCTTTTTTATTTGTAATTTTTTTTTTGGTAGTAGCATATATAGATAAAAGAGTTTGACCCTACTACAAATACCTTCAATATGAACTACTACTCTTTTCTTCAATAAAAATTCTTATAATTTGTTGTTGTTGTTGTTGTTGCTGGTCGATGTTGATGATGATGATGATGATGTCGATGTTGATGTTGTTGATGTTCTCCCTCTTTCGCTATAATCATGAACCAACCATACATATACACATACACTATAATACGGTTCTATTTGGTTCGTTGGTTCATATGACTACTTTACCATCGATTATAATCATCAGCATCATCATCAATTTGTTCCATTCAATAAAATGTTTTTTTCTACATCCAAAATGAATTCGTTTATCAATTTGTTGATTCCAGGATCGAATGCGAAAAATAATAACACACACACACCATTATTATGATTTTCTGAAATTCTGTATTGTTTTTTTGTTTTATCAATATTCGATATGATCCGAATCTAGAATGAATTAATAAAAAAAACTCGATTTCATTCATATTTTTTCTTTTGTGTTTTAGTGTATGTTTTTTTTTGATAAAAACCGTATATTTGGTTTCATGAAAGTGTTTGTGTTAGGTTGATGTGTAATTTTTAATGATAATTCATCATTTAATCAATGATGGCGAATCAGAATCCATGTTGCAATTTTTCCGTTTTCATTCTTCATAATCAAAATATAATTGACACAACAATTATCCATATAATTGTTCATTATTTTCAAAAACTATAATTGTAGTTGACGAATCATTTTCATAGAAAAATCGAATAAAATCCTACCATATTCGTAGGATGGCTGAAGAATCATCAGCTAATTCATCGTCAACGACGACGATAACTTCGACATCAACATCAGACCAAAATGATAGTGATGATAATGTAAAAATATCGACATCGGTGGCAATATCAACAACCTGTATTGGTTTGAAAATAACACCAAAAGAGGAGGAGTGTTCGGTTCTTAATGTAGAAAATAATGTTAAAGATAATGTTGAAGAATTCTGTGATAAACAACAACAACCAACGGAAACAACAGCAACAACGATGACGATAATCAAAAATGAAAATGTGAATATGAATGTTCCTCCAGATTTATCATCATTATCAGATACAAATATGCTAACAAAAATTGATGAAACAAATGCAATGGAGATTGATACACAATCGTCATCATCGAATATTCAAATGGAAACAAGCAATGAAAATGTTCCTTTATCAAGGACATCACAACAATCTTCACTAAACATTGTGATCGTAAATGATTTCGAACAGATCGAAATCAGTAATAACGATAATGAAGATATTGAAATGCAGTCAAGAAATCCCGTTACAACAGCAGACGATGTTTCTTGTAGTGACAAAACTAACAATAATAATAATAATAATAATAACGATACCGTCCAACAATTTCAGGAACATCAATCTGTTCACCATCCTCCTGTAACGGATTCAATTAATGATGAACAAGATCATGGATTGCAACAGCAATTATCATCATCATCGGAAACGAATTGTAATGATGAACAGCAGGATAGATCAGATGAGCTAAATGAATCAAAATTATTAATGTCAAATAATAAAAATATTAATGAGCTTCATGATGTTGATTCTTCGATTCAATCGCATCCAACATCATTATCATCATCATCTTCATCATCATCATCGATGATCTCATCATCCACACCACCTCCGCCATTATTAGATGGTCATTATGATTATAAAACTTCCAATCAGATGCCTTTAACTTCATCATCATCTCCAACAATATCGATGATCGAAACATGCACAACAATCGATCAACAGACGATGGAAAATTCATGTTCATCTTCATCATTATCATCATCATCATCTTCAACGATCACAACGCAATCTAAAATCGATTGCAACAAAATAACGGAAACATCAACTGCCTCCAATAATGATAATAATATAAATAAAAATCATATTGATTCGAATTTACTCAATGAAGAAGATGAGGAGAGAATATTACAGCCATGCGCAGATGAACATACGGCAATTGTTGAAATTTTTTCTGAAGAATTTCTTCTTGGAAATGATCATGCTACAAATGTGCCATGTTCGAAGCCTGATAATGATGTAACGAAAGAAAAATTCGAAGATGTGGATAAATTGTTATCTCCCAGTATAGCACCGACAACGACAATGATTGCAACAACAATGAACGATACCGATAGCAATGTTCAATTTCAAGCACATGAATCGACAAATTATGATCAAAATAATGATAATGGTGATATTGATGAGATATTGGATCAACATGCATCTGCTGATCTATTCGAAAGTGTCAAATTCTCCCTATGTGAGACTGTTTCCGATTCTGATAAAGTATGTTTCAATTATTTTTTTTTCGATTTATTAAGACTTTTTTCTTTCTTTATAAAGATCAAAAAAATTATGGTCGGACATGGTGCAAAGTTTCTAAATTATCTTTCAGATTCTGCAACTTATTTTATTGCTGATGATCCTGATCATCCAAGTGTTAGTGAAGCAATCGATATTTTTGAAAAACCAGTCCTCACTGTGAGTTATGAATTTTTCGTTTTAAATTTTTCATTTTTTTGAAATACATTTTTTATAAATATTTTAGAGTCAATGGGTTTGGCTTTCATTACGTGCCAACCGAATGCTTCCTATCGAACCATTTATATTGATCGATTCGAACAATGATCGATGCAATCGATTATTTTCAAACATTGTTGCCTGTGCCAGCCAGATTTCATTGAATGATTTGAAAAATTTATGGTCAATGCTAAGCTATTATGGAGGCAAATTTCAATTACATTTAGATCATAATTGTACACATTTGTTAACGACAAAAATTTTTGGCAAGAAATATGAAATAGCCGCAAAAGAATCATCATTTGAAAAAATTCATATAGTTACACCAGATTGGATTATCGATTCGATTAAACAGCAAAAATTATGTGATGAAAAACGTTATCATCCCAGATTGTTGATTGATTATCATCAAAATGTACATGGACGGAATTCTTCGCTCAAAAATGCTAAGTCATCAAATACAATGGCCATAAAGCATTCTATAAAATCTGAACAACTGCAGGATTGCGATAATTCAAAAACATCATTGACAAATTCAACGCCAGCAATCAAATCGGTTACCATGTCCATTTCAACTGAAGCTGTAGTAACGGCGAAAAAATCTTCAAATGATGTTCCCATAACGACTGCGACAGCCACCATGATAAAATCGTCATCGCATTCACTATCGCCTACATTATCATCACCTTCATCTACATCTCAACCAACAAAGCCTTCATTCGTTCCGGCCTCAACAGCTACAGTGCCTCATTGTTCACAACCACCACAACAACAATCTCATGCCCAACCACAATCATTATTAGCATCAAAACAGTATCATTCTCAGCAACAGATTCGGCATCATTCATCACAACAAGTGATGGTAAACAACAATACTTCAAATGTTCAAACGATGCAGCAACCGCCGAATCAACATTCACAACGGTTGCCGTTGCATCAATTCCAGCAACAAATTCGTCAACCATTGGTCCATTCAATCAAAAATCCGAACATAGGACCTCAATCACAGCAGAATATAGTGCAACAGCCCCAACAACCTCCGCGAGAAATAGTGCCTCCAATGTGTCAGCAGCAACAACAACAACAGCAGATAATGTCAACGCATCAGCCTACTGGTTCAGCTTATCCACATCTTCAACAAGGTTCGGGTCAACAGTATACACCTCCTCAAATGATCCCAAATCAATCACCCGGTCCACAACAAGTGTACATTCAACAACAACAACAACAATCAGCTATGTATCAACAACAAAATCAACAGCAATATCGAGGACAATATGTTCCTGGACCACAACAGCAGCAAATGATGTCGCAAAGAATGCTGTCTCCATCATCCAATTCAGGAATGATGCAACAACAATATCGTTCACAACAACCTCAACAAGCCCAATTTTCTCCTAATTCGCAACAGCAACAATTTCGTCCAAGACAACCGATTCCGAAACAACAACAGTATGTTAATAGACCTCCACAAATGGTTCCTGTTGGACCACAACAGCAATATATGGTGAATAATCAAGCAAATAAAACGAATCCACCACAACAACAACAACAACAAATGGTTCGAATGATTCAGCCTCCACAACAACAGTCACAACAGTTTTCCAATCAATCCAATTATGCTGGAAATCATCAATCATCGAATATTCCTGCACATCCATCTCAGCTTCAAAACCAACAACGAATGTCAATGTTGAGGATTTCGGTTCCGCCGCAACAGCAACAAATCCTAAACAGTAATCAACAGTCACCAGTCCAACCTCATCCGGTTTGTCAATCCCCATCCGGTGGTGGTACCTCTATGATGAATTATGTTCAACAATCTAAACCTGGAGTCCGACCAGGTATGATGATTCCGAATAATGCTAATGGTGGTCTATCGCAGCAACAGCAGCAGACTCGACCAGCCGGAATGATGATGAGACCCATGCAACCCTATTCTTCTCAACAACAACAACAAATGGGTCCAACAGGTCATGCAATGCAACAAATGTCCACAAGGCTACCACAGACACCTACTGGTGGACAACAACCAATGTCTCCACAGCAACTTCAATTCATTCGACAACAGCGATGGTCGCAACCAGATTATAATCAACAACAGCAACAGTATACAAGGCCACAAGTGATCCCACCTGGAGTTCAGCAACAGCAGGCTTGGATTCGACAGCCGATTCAGCAATCACAACATAGATTTCCACTTCAACAACCTCAGCAGCAGCAACATGTATCACAGGGACAAATGATTCGAATGGTAACAAAACCGATGCCGCCTAATCCATCCAATCTATCACCTCAACAACAGCAGCAATTCTATGATCCATCATCATCATTATTGATGAATAATAAGGTTAGAGCTAATATTAATCATAGCCCACAACATCATCAACAGGATTCTGCTATCGCTGTGCAGCAATCAGCAAACAGCGTCATTCATAATCAACAATCACCAATGGTTTCAATACAGGCAATGAATAGTCCAAACAATAATTCTATGATTCCATCGCCGGTAGCATCATCTCAACAGCAATCGTTAGTTAATAATTTACCACAGTCAGCCATCAAAACACAGTTGATAGTGACGAACACGAATTCATCATCTGTTTCCTCTCCCAGTCATCATCAACAACAATCATCCAGTCCTGGAACACCTGCTCAAGTTTCTGTACCAATTTCATCATCATCATCAGTTGTGAATGAAAAAACAAAAACAGCATTGGCCAATTTACTAAATAATCGATTGAATTCTCAGCTACAACAACAAAATCGAAATAGTGGTGATACCAATTCGATAACCACTGTGACGACACCATCATTATCAAGTGGTTCATCCTCATCGCCATCATCGCCAGCATTACATAATCATCAGAGCGCGAAAATTACATTACAACCAGTAACTGTATATTCTCCTAATAATAATAATAATGTAAATAATTCTGGGGCGTCAAATAATGTGGTAAGATTGTCAACAATTCAATAACCATTTCCCTTCTACTATTGCTGTGAATCCATCGTTCATTGGAAGGGGGACCATTTAAGAATATTTCCTTTGGACATAATATGCCTTGTATACCTGTGCCATTGCATGCATCATATTTGCATGATTTTGATTGTTGACTCATAAATGCATGATCTATTTTTTCTTTTGGTTTTGATCTTTTGCTTTCATTATTGTTAGATGTAAAATTTTAAAAATTATCAATTTTTTCCAATTTTTCGTCTAGATGAATCAATCACCTGTTCATCAACAAGCGGATCAATCATCGTTACATAATCAACATCCTGGTCAACATTATGGTGGTCAGCCGCTACCATCATCATCGATGATACCTAGTCAACAACAACCACAAAACGTCGGTCTATATAGTTCTAATAATCAACATGCCCATTATTCACAGCAACAACGACCGATGATTGGTCCACAATCAATTCATGTGGGTCAGCGTTATCCTACTCCTTCACCTCATCATATACCATCACAGCATTCACCTATAGGGAATTCATCAGCATTACCAGGAAAACCCAATACCTTTCAGCATTCTTCGGCATCATCATCACCTGTCCCAACTGGTGGTTCAACTCCTTCAACACCAAGTCCAACATCGGCAGGATTGCATCATTTATCTGGACATATACATAATTACCCGGTTGCACCTAATCCTCATTCATTTTCTTCCATGCATCATTCAAATCAGATACTTTCGCCCATGCAATCTTTCAATCAACATCATTCACATCAAACGAATGTAACTGGTTCATCATCTCATCATCATGCCATGCAACCACATCATCATTCGCTTCATCAACTTGGACAAGTTCGTCAAACATTTTGTCCAAATGCTAATCAGCAGCAACAGCATCCACCATATATTCCTCATCCTCCCAATATGCAACAACATCCACATGCGAATAGAACAATGGTTCCTTTTCATCATCATCAGCAACATGGAGCTACTCGACAACACCTTTCATCATCATTTCAGCAACAACATTTGCAATCTTTAGCCATACGTTTCTATGGACATGAAACAACATCTGGATCTCTTATCGGAAATAAAAGCTGCTTAATTGGCTGTACCTTTTATATTTCAAACGTATATGCTGAAAATCGTTACACATCAAATTTGATCGACGGCTGGAAACGTCGTATAGAAAAATTTGGTGGTAAAGTTGTTACTGATCTTATAAACAATAATGTGACACATGTCATAACCGAACATTTGAATTTACCAATGCGAACATCTCAATGTCAATATCAACAAATATTACCCCAACAAAATGGTGATCATCGTTATGTATCGATATTCTGGTTGAATGATGTGTTAGAGTCTGGGCGATTACTTCCACCATGGCGTTTTTATCATCTTCCTGTAGCATTTAATCCACAACTAATGCCTTGTAAACATCATGTAGGTGTTATCAAATTTTACTTTTAAATTGAAAAAATTGATATTTTATTTCCAAATTTTAGGTGATCTCTATAACAAATTTCCATCAAGATGAACGTTCAATGCTAAAACATTTAATAGTTCGAACTGGCGCTCGTTATACAGATTATCTAACTCAAAAAAATACTGTACTGATTTGTAAAAGGTGTGTAGAATTTGTTTTATTCAAATTTGATTTAATTTTTGGTTAATTCAAAAAAGGCCTGAAGGAGAAAAATATCTAAAAGCCATGAAATGGCGTATGGCTGTTGTAAACATTACATGGCTGCAAGATGTGCTTTTTGGCAATGGAGATTGTATATCCGTTGGTAATCTACCAAAAAGATATCGAATTTTTGATCATCAAAATGTGCAGTCTACGAAAATAAATGGCAAAGAAAATAAAGAATCAGAAAAAAATTCAGAATCAACAATGCAAAAAGATACATTCAAATTGGACTATAATGTGTCCCAAGGTATGATGTCTTCATGGCGTTCGCCGATCAGATATGATGAAAAAGATCTCATTAAACATCAAGAAATGGTCAAACAACTTGAAGAGCAAAAGAAAATACAGGAAAAAACTAATAATCAAAAAACTGATACTGAATCATCCACAACCGAAGACAACAGCAAGACTAATAAAAAATTCAATGGTGAAATCTCATCGAATAATGATGAACAAAATACCTCTGATTATAAACAACATGGTTCTAAAAGATTATTAGAAAATGATGGAGAAGAAAATGTTGTCAAGAATGCTCTACCAAATGGTGATCATATGAATATTGATGATCAGGATGAAGATTCTCTAATATTATCAACCAAACGATTCAAAACTTCAGATGAAAATGAAGATCCTCATTCGATCGTTAAAGAAGTAGTAATGTCTTCGCTGGATAATATTTTGGCCAAGTCAGAATCCGAAAATTTAAACCTTATCAATAATGAAGAAGAGAATAGCTGTCAAACAAATGATAGCTTTTATGGATCATCAACATCAAATAATACACCGACCAATGGTACTCATCCAATGATTTCGGTGAATGGAACAAACAGTGATTCGAATAACAGCTCAAACCTTCATGATATTAGCGCTGATGATATCGTAACTTTATCTTCATCGCCACCATTACAAAATGATGCAAATTCTTCCGAATTCAAAGTCCCATTAGATGTGAATCAACGAAAATTTCAATTAAAATTAAAACAACAATTACGTCCATCAAATGAATATGTTATTATGTTGGTCGGCCTAATCCGTCGATCGGGCCAATATGAACGGTACAGACAAATTATACAAAATCTTGGTGGTCGGGTTGTACAACAACCAGCCGATTGCCTCAAGGCAACACATCTGGTCATCGGATCAGAATGGAATCGTACCTTGTTGCCGAAAATTTCCATAAATTTTTTATGTACCTTTGCTCGGACAAAATTTATGGTTAACAGTGATTGGCTTGATCAGTCTTCGAAAGCCGAACATTTTTTATCAGAGCAACAATTTGAATATGCACGAACATCTTATGATAATCATCCGGAAAACAATGTTCAAGATCAACAGGTTTCAATGACAAATATCGAAGATCAAAGATCAAATTCATCATCCACTTCATCATCATCACTTTCATCTTTTACATCATCATCATCGCTAATATTTGAAACGTATCAGATAGATTTATGTAAATCATGGCAACGTCGTCGCTCGGATTTGTTTCATAATATTCTTTGTTTATTGACACCTAGCCTCATTCCTGCACCTCCCATATTGAAACAAATTATTGAGGCAAACGGTGGCCAAGCTGTTTTGAAACGTATGCCTAATCGAAGACAATTGATGCATTTATTCGACCAAAACGATGGCCCAAAATGGCCAATAAAAATTGTCATAATCACTTGTGAAACAGATTTACATTTGCTGGCTGATTATTTAATACAGCATCCACAAGTTGGTAAGTTTTATATTTTCGTTTATAAACATTTAAAGATGACTTATTTTTCTTTCGGATGAAATAGAAATTGTTAACTGTAATTTTATTGTCGATTCAATATTGAAACAAAATATTGATTATAAATCATTTCGATTGATTCCCGAACAATTGAATGGATTATCTAACACAATTAAGACAACAACAACGAACATATGTGGAACATCAGTCAATTCTAATGCCAAAGATTCTAACAATAACATACATCTAAATCAAAATCATCATTCTCATTCAAATCCTCATCTTGTACCGACTACCACAGCACCACTACCAAAATAGTCATTATCATTTACATTACCATCATTATCATTGTCTTCGGAACGAAATGAAAATTCTTCCACAAAATAGTGTTCAGAACATAAATATTTCATTTTTTTTTCTTTCGATTCGACATTAAACACATTTTTTTGTTAACATTCGCTATTGTGAATAGCATATTCACATCTTGCAAATCATCACAACACTATCGTGTTTGGAAATTGATTTTATTGTGTCTTCATTTTTTTTTGTTTGATCTATCATTCATCCCTTTTCAACAACCTTGTCCACAACAGCAATTATGATTATTTTTTAAAAATATATTTAGAATATTTACTTGATTTGACTTGAAACACACCTACACTTGTTGATTTCCTGTCTGATTTGTTTTTCACCTTTATCTAAATTAATCAAATTAATTTCATTTTTTTTTGTTTTCTTGTAATTATTATAAATGATCATGACATAAGCACACACAAACCCATCTATTAACATTCATGACATTCTCTTTGTATTTATTTGTGTATAGATTAATTAAGATGTAAGCAACGAGAAAACTAAATGAGAAAAAAATTTTGTTATATATTTTTTATTTATAAGAAAAAATGACGAAAAGTTTATTTAAAGAAAAGAATATTTCATAATCATACAGATTTTTGTTTTAAGAATTTTTTATACAATCAAGTTTACATTTGTAGATGTTTTATGCTGAGTTTACAATAATGGCCGCCCTGACGAACTACCATTGATATTATTGTTCAATGATGATGAGCTCGAATGTTGCATGGTGGTAATCGATGATGATGATGTTGGTGGTTGTGGAGCAATGATTGATGTATTAGATGATTGATGGTTAGATGATGTTGAGTTTAGACCGTTATTGCTAGTCGGATTTGATGGCGTTCCTGGACCACCACCGATCATCACAGATGATGGTACTGACGATGACATCATAGGACTATCATCGATTGGCAATAATGACGTATTTGGATCATATGGTGGTGAATCGGGAGAATGACGTTTCTTCTTCTTTTTATCCTTTTTCTTTTTTCTTCGTTGTTCTTTTTCATCATCATGACGTTTTTGTTTTTTATGTTTTTTCATCATCATCTCATGTGAATCACGATTAGAAGATAAGGACGATAATAGATCAGAGTTTATATTGGAATCCGAAAGTAAATGAGATGAATGGTGATCGTTTGGTCCGCCTATTGGAGAGTCGCATGGTCCATTTGGACCAGATCTATTTTTATGACTTTTCTTATGTTTATGTTTCTTTCGTTGTACTGTTTGGCTCATGAATCGATATTGATCGGGTACAGGACCAACATGTAATCGAAATGCTGAATCCAATTGCTGTTTATTCAATGGAACTATCTCGATCGATGTGATTGGTGGGCGTTCGATCATTTTCCTTAATGAACTATCATCTTGAGATCCTGGAATATCGATATTTCCTGGAAGATTTGGCAGGAATGCACTTAGCTGATCTTTAATTTTACGACCACAAAATTTATTAAAAGAATGTTCAAGGTTATGATATTGTAACAAATTCGTTGAACCAGTCAATTCACTTGGTGCTAATGGTTGAATAGAAAATTTCAAATTAGAAACAACTTGAAAGATAAGGATATTTTGAATAATACATACGCGGCAATTCTTTCATTAGATAGAATGGTCCACTATGAACGATTGCTGGTGTTTTACCCAGCGATATAGTTGTTTTTAATGTTCCGGTAGAATCCTGTCTAGGTATAACAACCGGTGATCGATTACCACGAGGACTAGTTTTAGGTGAACATTGTTCAGATGGTCGTCGGACGATTTCGGACATCATTTTTAAAAAATGATAATACTTTTTACGATCCGATGCAAAATTAATCAACTTTGATGGAATTTAATCATTCACTATCATCACAAGATATCAACAAACACACACATACACACATCAACATAAATAGAAAAACAAAACGTGGTAGAATTTATATTTAAACAAAACAAATTAATTTGTTCAATTGTATAATTATTAATTATGTATCATTTACAATAAAAAGAATGTTAAAAAAATTAAAATTCTATGATCCAATATACATTTTTATCCGATCAATATCGTATCTCTAAAATGTTTTTATTTTGCAGTGCTCAATTGGAAAATTCGACGCTGCCGACAAATAAAATACACACATAGCGATGATCAAAATAATAATGTCGTAGTGGTTCAAATAGAAGAGGTATTCGTGAATGCATATATATGTGTGGTAGCAAATGCTATAATTATGTAAAAAAAAGAATAATATAATGGAATTCGATTGGTAGTGGTCAAATAAATAACTGTCATTCAAAAGGTTGTAGTGGCATTAAAAATTGACTTGCTAATGAGAAAAAAAAATTGGATTTTTTTTTTAAATTTAAAAAGGAAAGATAAGAAAAAAATCGAAGAGAGAGGGTGAGAAAAAATTATTCAAAAAATTCATTCAACTTTGGATTTCCTTTTTGATGATTTTTGGAGTTTTTGTTTTCCCATTTTCCAATAAACTAAGGATTCGGTTTTTCCCCTATATATTCAAATTCAATATCAGGAAAACTTGAACATTTTTAAAAAAATTGAATTTGTTTCCTCTTTTTTCTCAACAAAAATGATTCAAATGATCAAAAAAAATTTTGAATGGTGATAAAAAATTCAAGGTGATTATAATGTTTCAATCTTAAGTGAATATTCTTTTTAGATCTTACTTAATTCAAACAATTCTGAATTGCTTTTGCGCTATTCCAAATTCCATCATTTAGCTCATATATAAAGTCTATATCTGTGTGTGTGTTTTTGTGTGGAGTAAACTTCCCTCTTCAGCCCCTTTTGAAACTACACCATCATCATCCGAATAGTTTTGTTTATAAATTTTTTTACCGTTGTTTTTCTAATAAAACCCAAGTTTAAATATAATTCTTATACGATAAACCATGGAATTTGTGCCTTGATTTAAAAATAATGGGTAACAAAAAATGATTTGTTTGATTGTCGAATCTTAATCATTATTTTTATTATCNCTATGATCCAACATACATTTTCATCAGATCAATATCGTATCTCGAAATGTTTTTTTTTGCAGTGCTCAATTGGAAAATTCGACGCTGCCGACAAATAAAATACACACATAGCGATGATCAAAATAATAATGTCGTAGTGGTTCAAATACAAGAGGTATTCGTAAATGTATATATATGTGTGGTAGCAAATGCTATAATTATGTAAAAAAAAGAATAACATAATGGAATTCGATTGGTAGTGGTCAAAATAACTGTCATTCAAAAGGTTGTAGTAGCATTAAAAATTGAATTGCTAATGAGAAAAAGAATAGGATTTTTTTTTTAAATTTAAAAAAGAAAGATAAGAAAAAAAAGCGAAGAGAGAGGGTGAGAAAAAATTTTTTCAAAAAATTCATTCAACTTTGGATTTCCTTTTTGATGATTTTTTGTTTTCCCATTTTCCAATAAACTATGGATTCGGTTTTCCACTATAATTTTTCCATGATATATTCGAATTCAATATCAGGAAAACTTGAACATTAAAAAAAATTGAATTTGTTTCTTCTTTTTTTTAACAAAAATGATTCAAATGACCAAAAAAAAAAAATTTTGAATGGTGATAAAAAATTCAAGGTGATTATATTGATATAGTTGAATTCAAATGTTTCAATCTTAAGTGAATATTCTTTCTAGATCTCACTTAATTCATACAATTCTGGATTGCTTTTGCGCTATTCCAAATTCCATCATTTAGCTCATATATAAAGTCTATTTGTGTGTGTGTGTTTGTGTGTGGAGTGAACTTCCCTCTTCAGCCCCTTTTGAAACTACACCATCATCATCCGAATAGTCTTGTTTATAAATTTTTTTTTTACCGTTGTTTTTCTAATAAAACCCAAGTTTAAATATAATTCTTATACGATAAACCATGGAATTTGTGCCTTGATTTAAAAATAATGGGTAACAAAAAAAAAATGATTTGTTTGATTGCCGAATCTTAATCATTATTTCATTATTTTTATCATCACGAATTTTCTATATTTAGTATTCATCATCATGATTGTGGATTTGAAATTGATTCAAAAGGTAAGCGCTGTTTTTTCAATTTTATTACCTACAAATGTAATCGATACTTTATCTAAACGGTTATTTTTAATACGGTTTCTGTATTTCGTTTGTATCATTTCATGTACACACGATCCACATGATTATAGTGAAAGGATGGGTAAAAAAATGGATATTCCGATAATTTCTAGTTAAAACCATTATCATTAATAATATATCTTATTGATCGTTTTATTCGATAATGCGCATTTATATCCGATAATCATGAGACAGGAAAAGCGAAAATATAATCAGATTTTCTTAATGATTGAATTCGATTTGGGTTCATTTAATTCATTTAGGTTAGTTTGTTAATGTGGTATGTTTATACTGGTTGTCTCTATTATTATTCTCATTATTATCTACAAATCATATAGAATGTTAATAAAAAATGAAGAGAAAAGAAATTTGACATTGAATAACATGTACATTCTCTCCTTAAAATTTTGTTCGCATATAATAATGAATACAATTCGAAGAAAAATTCATTATCATCATCACAATTGATCAGATTGTACTAATTTGGTTTAACAATATTGTTAATACTTGAAGAAATATTGTTACAATTGCTTTTATTTATTTGTTAGAATTGTTATTTTTATATTTTTGTTTTCTATCTGTTTGATTGATCATTATTATCTATGAAAAATCCTTTTTAATCAATGCTCGCGTGCATATTTTTCAATTGAATAAATAATATAATGTAACAGATACTTTACTGTGTTTATCATGTTGATGATGAGGATGATGTTACGCAGTAAAGAAATTAGTTCATGGATAATTTCTGTTCTGAATGTGTTAATATTGAAAATGGATGAATGAACGGATGCTAGTGGTTCATTCTTTATCATCATATCATCATCGTGTCGATGTTGTTGTTGCAACTTGAATGAATAAAATATCTAAACACTCGATCTATGTTTCGTTCTCATTTTTACATTCTGTAAGATATGATGATGATGATATATGAGAAAAAACAACATACTACCCATTATTCTAAAATTTTACAATGATGACGACCAATACGACAATTTTTCTTTATGAAACCCTGTTTGCCGCACAATCGTTCCATTTTTTTTAAATAGAAAATCTTTCACATTTATCTATGGGTAAATTTTTTCATGATGATAATCAATTCTGACAATCATTATTTTGATTATTCATTGATTATTATCTTTTAATCATTCATCTTTTTTTCTCTTCTTTATCACTTTGAATTATACCGAAAAAAATAAAGAAATTTAATAATCACTGTAATTTTTTTTTCATTTTTTCCTGATTCATATCATTAACATCAGAACTGTCATCGAACTTCAAGTAATAGAGAAATCTTTAATGTCAAACCTAAATAATTCATAATACTTATTAAATTCGATAGCTGATCGAAAGCAAACAGCATCAATAAGAATTTTTAATTTCTGCACAGAATTCAATGATTTTTGACAATGTTTCAAACATTCCCCTATTCGAAATTAATCATCAGCAATAATATCATTCAATCGTTATCATCAATCATTTCACCATTATTATTATTATCATCATCACCATCATTGGTTTCGCCTTTCAATTCGCGTACCAGTGAAATTGTTAATATCATCATCAACATTATTAAAAAATTAACTTTTAAAAACTCTTTTCAATTGTACATCCAAAGCTTTATTTTTCATCATCGGAAGTCAACTTTTCGTCTGGAATAAATGTTTTATGGGTTTTTTCTCTTTCTTTTCTTCTCAACCATTTATTTTAATAAATTTGTCTATTATTTTTTAAATAATAATATTAGGTAAGTCGATGCTCATTTTTAAACAAATAGCCCAACCTATATCCTATTATCATTTATTTATTAGGATTTTATTTATTCAAAATATTAACCTTTAATAATAACCTTTGAATTTTAATGAATTTTTTAAAACTCATCAATCGATTTTATTTCATTGTTAATTGACATTTATTTTTGTTTTGATCATGTATTAATTAGCAATAAAAAAATTTTAAAACATCGGAACGAAGGCAACATTTTGAACAATTTACGATCATTTAATTACAAATCTAATTAATTTGTATGATTACCATTGAATGATTGGATGTAATGACGATCAATGTAAATTTAAATAACAAATCAATCAAATTCAAGCCAATTGCAATCAAAAACAACACCCATATAACCTTGGCATTAATATTCGGCAATAAAAGGTTCAAGAATTTTTCATTATTACCAAAGTGTCTTTGTCATCATCATAGTTGTTCTTGCATGACGTTATTATTCGATTTGGATCAATTTGACAATTTTTTCATCAATTGTCATGATGAAGGGGCTTTACGAACATCAGCAACAAACGAAAAAAATAACGCCATTGCTTCCAATAAGTTTGGCTTTGGAACCAATTAGCGTAACTAATAACGATAATATTATCGTAAGCGATAACAATAATGGAATCACATATAATAATGACAATCCAAGTGGTACAGAATTATTGGAACAAAATGGCAATAAGGTATGTTTGATTGCTTTTTTTTAAAAGATTATTTTCTCGCTTCAATGCATTCATTCCATATGTTTAATAAATTTGCAATTTATTTTCTTTCAGAATGTTGAATGTATTAATAATTCATTGACAGAAAAATCATCGATTGATCCCCAACTACAGTATCGAAATCCTTTAAAAGACGATGATAAAATGATAACATCATTATCTTCGGAAGAAGCTGCTGTGATTAATGCTCGACTAGATTCAAGGTCAAGTGCCACTAGTAGTCACAATGATTCTTCACACTTTCACAATCGTCAACGATCAATTCGCCAGCAAACATCATTGAATACATCATCTTCGGCTACGAATAGTACAATAACGCACACATATCAAAGTAAGAAAAGTCCAAAGAAATGTAAACGTCAATTGAACTATTCACGACCGCCGGATGGTGGCTGGGGATGGATGGTTGTTTTCGCTAGCTTTATCATTAATCTAATTGCTGATGGTGTATCTCTATCGTTCGGTGTTATTTATGTTGAATTGGTAAATTATTTCAATGAATCAAAAGGCAAGACCGCTTGGATCGGTTCATTGTTCCTATCGATACCATTATTAACTGGTCCAATCGGATCATCTTTGGTCGATCGATTTGGTTGTCGCAAAGTTACAATTGCTGGTTCTCTGCTAGCTTCATTAGGATTTTTTCTTGGTCAATTTGCTACCTGTGTAGAACATTTATTTTTTGCATTCAGTTTAGCTGGATTCGGTCTGGCACTTGATTATGTAACATCCATAGTAAGCGTAGCATATTGGTTCGATCGTCGAAGATCACTTGCTACTGGGTTGGCGGTTTGTGGATCTGGATTTGGAACTTTTTTGTTTGCTCCATTTATGATTTTGTTACTTAAAGAATATGGCTGGCGTGGAACATTGCTCATACTTTCAGGCGTTTTTCTCAACATGGTTTGGTGTGGATTATTGATTCCTGATATTAACATCGATACCTCAGGCGATATTTCCACCTCCTCATCATCATCAAATAGCCAGGATATTTCTGATTCAGATTCAGATCTTTCTGACTCTGTTGATAATCTTGATTATGATGATGAAAATGATCGTCCCAAATCAATGACAGATAATTGGTCCCAAGAACCACATCGTTTATCACTAAAACAGCATTCGGTACGAGTAAAACCCTTATTGGAATCTAATTCAATCGATGATTCATTTCCACGACATACAAGTTCATTGATTAATATACCAACATTCATCAAAAATAATAATGATCAAAATTCTTCGACTAATAAAAAGAATGAAATGCAATCGAATAATAAGTATCGCGATTTAACATTTCGTCGTGGTGGTTATCTACATAATTTGATTTGCCATTATCCTCATTTGTTAAGTATGTTTCTTCAGTGTGATATGCAATGTGATGATCTTACCGTAAAAACCAAAGTGATATTACAATCAAATATGTCAACAGTTCCTTTAACTCCACCATCTCCTGTTCCACCGAAACCAATACAGAAAGTCGTCGAATTTGGTTCTACTCATCACATGGATTCTCACACGAAATTGAATGGTTTTATACAAAATGATGGCGATACGAAAGATTCAAATGATGTGAGCAGAAATGAAGGAATTTTAAAATCATCATCTGATTCCAGACAAAACAATACAACAAGTCGTTTTGGAAATTTATTAAATTTTACTCGACAATCACAACATATTGCTAATAATAATGATGTCTTATTCAATTCTCACCAGCAAAACACATCACACGTAAATCGTTTACATCACCTTCGATTGCCTCGCGGAAGTTTAACATATAGAAGTGCAATGTTGGTCATCAATAAATATCGATTAAAAGCCTCTTCAGCGCCTGACATCTATCGAACTAGTATGGTGACTATAAACGAAGAAAAGGTAAGTAGCCGATTGATTAACCAAAAAATGAATTCATAATTTTGTTTTTTTCCATAGAGTTTAAATTTTTTCGAAAATTTGAAAGAAATTTTTGTCAATATGATCGATATATCCATTTTCAAATCTTTTCGTTATTCAATATTTTGCCTGTCAAATTTTTTGCTCTATGTTTGTATAGATGTGCCCTATGTGTATATACCGGATCAAGTTATTACAAGTGGAGCATCGGATAAAGATCACGCATCACAATATATTTCGATAATTGGCATTTTCAACATATTTGGAGTGGTTAGTTTCTTGATCATCTAAATATTGATTTTTTTAAAGATTTCTTCATTCAATAATTCAGATCTTTGTCGGATATATAGGAGATAAACCATGGCTAGATGCAAGCTTCATCTATGCTATTCTCGTATCGATAAGCGGGTTAATGATGGCTGCGCTACCATTGACTACTGATAGTTTGCTTTTGAGCATTGAATCGGCCCTCTATGGATTCTGTATCTCTGCCAACTATTCATTGGTTTCTGTTATTCTTGTTGAATTGATCTCGTTGGATTCATTTACAACCGCATATGGAATGTTATTGTTGGTAGAAGGGTTTGGTTCATTGATAGGTCCTCCAGTTGCTGGTAAGTCTTTTTTATCAATTATGATCAAAATTTCATTTCAAATTAACACCATAAAATCTAGGCTGGATATTTGATGTATCTGGAAGTTATGATAACGCTTTTTACATAACTGGAATAACAATCTTGTTATCGGGTATATTGGTTTTACCGGTTGGTAGAAAGAAAAATTGTTTCATATGGAGAGAACGATCCGACGAGAAAATTGAAAAAGTACTAAAAGACAAAAATCTACATTCATCATCTGATTGCGCTTCATCACCATCATGTGAAATAAAAATTGATAACAAACATTCTAATCTGTTGAAAACAAGAGCCATTTCGACTGTTGAAAAAGATTCCGAATTTTAACTTAACCATTGATCATCATAAATGTGATATTTATAATTGTAATACTGCTGAATAGTATTCAGTGAATACCACACAAGTGTTGATATTCTAATCTCCGATCTGTTTTATTCATTATTATTATTATTATTATTATTCAAACATTTTCCTTTTTTTCTCATTTCAACTATTAATTTATCTCTTTTTATGTTAATTGCTTTGATTGTGTTTTGCAACAAAATCTCATGTCTCAAGTGATTATTTATTTTTTGATTGGATAATTTAATTGTTTAATTTGTAAATTTAGTTTCGTTTTCGTTTTTTTTGTTTTCCAACTCCCAAATTCCCACTTTTGATTCAATTTTTTTTTGACATAAAAACAACGGATTCAATATGTGATGTTTTCCACATTATTTCTAGTCTCGCACCAATGCCCACATATAAACTCTTTTCATGAAAAATGATTGATTTTTTGAATCATATTTTTTCATCAGATATATGAGTATATATAACCGGGTGATTCGACTTTTTTTATGCACAGAACAATGTTTTGATACACAGTGATGATTTATATGATTCAATCAAAAAAATTGCTCACTTTCGTAATTTCAAACAAATAATTAAACATTATATTATTTGATTTCATTCATTTTATTAAGTAATAATTTTTGCAAAAATTATAAATGTTTTATAAAAATTTTTTAGCCCATCTTCGGTCCAGTTTTTAACGATGTTAATCCAGCACGCATTATTTCATCTACCAACAAAATATTACAGGCAATCGAAGTGCTGTATAATCGAAAAGAATAGTTTTAGATGAACCATGTTTTTTCAAAAAAAAAAATTAACCTCACTACTCACCAAGAAAATATCAATTGTCTTTTAACACGATAATTATCGAAAACGCCGGCTGCAATCGGATTAAAAGCTTCACCAGTGTTAAGATCGATTCCAACGGGTAATTTACTATCATTATATTCATGCAACAGTTTAAGAATCACCTCCTGTTGATCATATCCTGAATTGAATGCCAAAGTTTTTGGTATGACCAAAATGGAATCAGCAAAGGCTTGTACACCTAATTGGGCTTTACCAACAACTTGATTTTTAAATTTTAACAATTCAGCATGCAGGGCGATTTCAAAAGCTCCGGCACCAGGGACTAAAGCTTTATCTTCAATGGTATTTTTTATAGCTCTCAATCCATCATATAGAGCATCCTTAATTTGGGTTATTTGATATTTATGAGGTGCACGAATCAAAATAGTCACTGATTCAGGATTTTTTAATTCTTCAACAAAAGTAAACTTATCCTCGCCTAAAGTATGCTCATAAACTAAACCAGCATGACCAAGACAATCCGGAGTAAGGTCTTCAAGCGAATTAACAGGACGGCCACCACATGCTTTAGTTAATCGTTCCATGTTTCGGCGTTTGGCCCTGCGAAGAGCGGTGATTCCGGCACGACATAGCATGTCCAATGAATTAGGATCAATGCCTTGCTGATTGATTACGACGAAATTTTTTTCGGTGTCATCACCACAAACTTGTTTTTTAAAATCAATTATTTTTTGGCATCGATCTTCGATAAATTTTCGTTCAGCAGCAATCATCTTTTCACGTTCTTCTGCCGTTTTATAGAAAAATCCAGAATGAACAGTCCTATAGATTTTTGAGAAAAAAATAAAAATTTCAAAGAAAAAATTTTTGCCAACTCACGTTTTTTCATATTCAAGAGAAACATTACAAGTAAGAATATAAGCATTGGTCAACCGTTTTTTCATATCTGGATGACGAGCACCATGATCCAGTACCAAACCCTTAATCAAAGTGGTATCTTCGACTGTTTTACATTGCATATGCATAATTTCCACCATGAACAAATCAATCGGTTTTCCTGGTTTGTGAATATGTGAAACAGCTTCCACGCAAATTTTTGCTAATTTTTCAGCAATCGGAGCTGCAACTTTCGTTTTAAGTGCAGTTTTAGCAACGCTTAACATCAATTCCTGATCGGTTTCGTTGAACGGAAATTTGAAAAGGTCCAAAAATTCGATTGCCTTTTTACGGGCTTGATCATAACCATCAGCAATGACCCGTGGATGGACACCTTCACTAATCCAGGTTTCGGCTTGCTTCAACAATTCACCGATAATCAATACAGTTGAAGTGGTTCCATCACCAGTTTCATCGTTTTGAGCCGTCGATGCTTTTGCTATTAATGAAGCGGTTGGATGTTGAATTTGCTAATAACAAATGAAAATATTGTAAAATCGCAACAATTTAAAAACAACTAACCATTTCATGGAGCAAAACATTTCCATCCTTAGTAATTTTAATATCACCTGCTCCACTGACCAACCTGTCAGAGAAAAAAATTTCAATTCATATAAACAAATATTATTAAAGCAAATATAACAAACATTTTCATTGTTCCTTTAGGACCAAGATTAGTACGAAGAACTTCTTGTAGACCACGGGCACCACTTATATTCACAGCCAATGCTTGTGAATGACGAGCGATTTCAGCTTTAGGATTCAAAGAATGAATGGCTGCCATTTTTTACTAATCTATAATTTCGGTTCGAGTAAATTGTCCAATTTAATCAAAAATAGAATATTGTTTGATCAAATAAAACAAGGCGTGTGACGAATAGTTTTCAATGCGGCAACAACGTGCTTCTTTTCTTTTTCAACAATGGATTTCGTACTACTTCAATATACAATGCCATCTATCGTTAGAAAATAATTTTTAATGCAGATTTTAAAAATTATAAATTTAAAAAAATTTATAAAATGTAAGATCGAAAAATACTGAAAACATTCACAAATGACTGGCATATAAAAATTTTGGCCCCATTATAGACTAGACAGGCAGTTACAATGTTTAAAGCAAATGAGATTAACTTTTGATGATAATCAGGCTATCATCTTTGAATTGTCGTCCATAGCGTCTCGATAGATTCATAATGAAATTTCGTTTCAATGTTTGCAAACATTTACGATAATTTGAATTTGAACGATATTTAGCAATATCAAAACTAGGTGCATGTGGCATATGAATGATGAATGCGTTTGGTAAAACAATAAATTCATAATTTTGTGCATGTAATTCCATGATGTGCGATACTTTATTCCAACCGAATCCAACAAATCGTGTATCATAACGAACAACATCACGATGTACAACAATATATGGCTCAAAATCAGGTTCCCATTTTATTCGATACGGTGTGGTCGCTTGACCCCAAATGGCAAAATTTGTTGGTGCATGTCCTTTGGTCCAAACATGATAACGAAATGTGAATAATTGTCCAATGTTCAACATTTGAATGAGGTCGGCTTTCGTTTTCGGAAATTGTATACGATAAAGAAGTGTTTCAAAAGCTGGTACAATCAAGGCACGTTTAGGAATGTTTGATGAACTTGACTGATCCAATGGACTTGAAGATGAACCCAAACCGATAGATCCGATTGAACGTTTGAGATAATCATATAGGCCGTACATAGGGAGAAAATCGATATCAGTGAGAAAAATATATGGCGTAATAACTTGTTCTATAGCTACATTTCTTAATTTATTTATCGGATAGAATGGTCCATCTCGATATACAATATGATATCCAATATTTTTTCTTTCCGAAAGGGTTTTAGAATTTTGATGATAGCCAAGAAATTGTTGAACTTCCGAATCCGACATGTACATGGCTAAAGAAATTGGTCCTTCCCAATGTTCACACAAAGCTTCGACCATCTGTAAGCGATCCATAGAAAGCTGGGCAACAAGTGTAACATCATTACCGTCTGGCGACGGTTCATATTCGAATTCGATATAATGAAGATGCGTTCGATGTTGAATTGATTGAGCATGATCAAACTCATAACAAGGATCATCATCATCACTTGGTTGTAATGATTGACGATTAATGATTAAATTATTTGAATTATTAACAGCAGACATAGAGGTCGGTGTTGAAGGACATCCGCCCATTAATTCTCTTCGCAAAAGATTGCCATCATATTCCAGAAATGTTAGGTAAAGATTACGAAAGAATTCTAAATGTTTATTTTTGACTTTAAGTTTTTTTGGTGAATTCCAATGTATGATTTTCAAATCTTGAACTTCGGTATAGCATAATGAATCTGAAAGTGAATTGTCCGATAATTGCACATTCCATTGACAAGGTAATCGATAGACTAATTGAGGATATTGTTTAAAGATAGCATTAAATATATCTTGATCTGCTAATGAAGTTGAAAGCATTGATAGAAGTTCTTTTTCTGCCACTATTTTCCAGATAGCTGACCAATTGAAATCGCGAAGTCGTTGCAATCGAAAAAGCATTACACCGGTGTTGAATCCTCGTCCTAGTGCTGGCCATGGCACATGATTTTTCCATAATTTTCCCAGATACCAATCGGATTGATTCTCTACGAGAGCAATCGATTCAGTTGACATTTTCGAAAACAACTTCCATAATTCGGCAATATCCGTTGCAAAAGTGATATCGGTATCAAGAACAATTACTTTGTCCAATGATATAGGAAGAATTTTTGGCAAAACAAGCTTCATTAAGCCAAAAACTCCAGAATAGTGTTTATTAGGAATCCAATTGACATCAGATTGAAGCATATCTGTTAGATAGAAGTTAACTTCAACTTCGGGAACTGACCAAGTTTGAAATAAAGTTTGCAAAATATTTTGCGCTATCTGATCGGATATGAAATGAAAATGAAGAGGATTTTTTCGATAGAATAAGATAGATTTGATTAATGTAACTAATGACCGCGAAGAGTTATATCCAGCACAGACGATTGCTACTTCGATGACTTCGCATTTAGAAACTATATCTTGATTGTTTTTATTATCACTAGGATGATCACAAGGCAAGTGTGAAGATAAGTTTGTCAAAAGTTTTCGCTCATTGATTGTCGATACTTTTTGCTTGTTTAATGTTTCTTTTGATGATGATCGCATCTGATTATGTTTGACTTCGGCCAAAACGTTCTCCAAACGTTGGCGTGAAATTTTAAGCTGTCGTTGAAGAAATTGATTCTGTTGTTCAGCATCTTTTACACGTTCAGCTAGTTTCATTTCACGGTCACTAAACCCTAAAAAGTTTATACTATTTTTTGATTCTAGTTGAAGATGATAATAAATGAATAGACTAGCTGGAAGAGCACAGATAAGTCCCAGAATCCAAAGAAAAAGACGATTACGTCTTTTAACCATTTTGCATCAAGAATTATTACATTTTTGTTATGAGGATAAAATTTATTGTCAAAATTTGATCATGATATTTCAGTTTTTCATTATTATATAATAGATAGATATTGAAAAAAACAGCTGTGGATAATTATGAAACGATTCTAATTGTAATCAAACTTGACAGTTGAGTCGAAATCGACGTGAGAGGAGGAGCATGATGTTGTAAAAATAGACAAGATATACAGTGTAAGTCTACATCATCATAGTGTATACACAATGTTTTTTCTCAATCAAGTTACGTTGATGAAATGATTATTTCAAAGTTCTAGAATTGTGTTTACAAATTAATCTTAATTGAATGTAAATTTTATTTTATTAAGAATCATATTAATTAGTTAAAATATTCTTTATTGATAACTTTGAAATTTGTTCAAAAGTTTCAAAGCGATTAAAGTTAGTAGTAAAAAAAAAATTAAAATGTGGCCGATCAGGTCATCGAATCAAACGCCGGACTTTCAAATTTTGTTTAGAAAATTTCCAACGAAAATCATTTTTCATTGTTTGCTCATAGCGGTATGTAAATTTTTTTCCACAACAAATTGCTGGTAGAATTTATAATAATATTTCCTTAATTTATTAGTTATCGTGGCTAACAAAATCTACCAATGCAAATGTCGTGTCATTGACATCGCATGATTTCGATGCCTACACATCTCATTATGAATTAGTATTTTTGAATTTCTATGCTGATTGGTGCAGGTTCAGTCAATTATTGGCTCCGATCTTCGAAGAAGTGTCCAAAAAAATTTCAGTTGAATTTCCCGATGAAGGAAAAGTTTTATTTGCCAAAATCGATTGCGACCAAGATAGTCTGTATCTAATGACACTTTAATAATTTCATTTTAAAAAATGTTTAATATTTCAGGTGCATTGGGTCAAAGATTTCACATAACAAAATATCCCACACTTAAAGTAATGTTGAATGGAAAGTTATTTAAAAGAGAATATCGAGGACAACGTAGCGCCGAGGCAATGGCACAGTATATTCGTGATCTTCTCAAAGATCCAATTATACCAATAAATTCTTTTGACGAATTAAATAAGATTGATGAGAAAAAAGGAGCTATACTAGCATATTTTCGTTCAGAAGCTGGTTTCAAAAAAATTGAATATGACTTGCTCCGTAAAGTTGCACGTGATCTTCGGGATGATTGTAAATTCTATTGGGTTACTGGACCGCCTGTTGACACTTATGGTACAGCTGATAAAGTCTTGTCAATCAAATTCAAGCCCACACGTTCACAACCATCGTCAGATAATCTTGAATTTCCAACTGATTTGAAAAGCTACGATGAGTTAAGCACATGGGCTACCGATAAATGCATTCCATTGGTCCGTGAAATAACGTTCGAAAATGCTGAAGAATTGACCGAAGAAGGTTTACCATTTTTGATTCTTTTCCACCACCCAGATGATAAACATTCAGTGGAATTGTACACAAAAATTGTCAATCAGGAATTGTTAAGCGAATCTGGAACTATTAATTTCTTATTAGCAGATGGAGTAAAATTTGCTCATCCATTGATGCATCTGGGTAAAACTCCCAAAGATTTACCATTAGTTGCCATTGATAGCTTTCGTCATATGTACATGTTTCCAAATTTCGATGATATCAGGTTTGTTTTTATTTGCACCTTTGCTTCATTTTTATCATTTTTTTAAAATTACAATAGAAAACCAGGTAAATTAAAACAATTCATCCAGGATTTATACTCTGGAAAGTTGCATCGAGAGTTCCATTTCGGTCCTGATCCTGCATCACATGATCATGGTCATGGTGAAGAACATAACCAGTTACAGACCCAGCCACCGGAATCAACATTCGCTAAACTAGCACCATCAAGAAATCGCTATACATTATTAAAAGATGAATTGTGATATCTTTTTATCCAGATTGATTTGCATGCAAGAAAAAAACGTTGACGGTAAAAACACACAAACATACTATAAATATAAATATTTGGACAATTAGAATTTTACCATTATTTGATTGATGACTTTTCTCTTATAAATTTGTATGATTTGTTTTCATTTTCAATATTGATATTATTTCACTTGTTTGGCATGAAATGTAACAAAATTAATTTATCGTTTTTTATTTCCTTTTCAGTGAAATTTGAAAAACAACAATATTTTAAAAAATTGGTTCAATAAATTAATTTTGTGTAATTAATTGATAAATTCAAAATGAAAAAAGTAGCAATAACGTTCATCTCAATTTTTTAATTATTTATTCATTAAATTCCAAAAAGCTAAATTGAAGAAATTACAATGAAATGATTGCCATCATTGAAGAATAAAACTTACAATAGCAACTCTCAGATGCAGATGATAAATTTTTTATAATTCAATCACGAATTATACACACAATTTATATTTATGAAAAAAATGACAATTTAGTTAAGCATCAAAGTTTTTTTTTGATGTAAGAATCGTAGAAAAATCCTATGTTCCTCTTTTAAACACTAGTGCCAGAATGAAAATAGATTTTTTTTTCTTTAAAAAAATGGAAAATAAAACAAAGATTCAATCGTTTATTATTGTTCTTGTTGTGGATCGACATCCATTTTAGTTTGTTCTTGTTGATCCATTGGCGGCGGTTGTTGTTGATCACCAGATGGTTCTTGTTGGTTTTGCTGTTGTTGTTTCTCTTTTTCGGCATTTTTTTCAGCAGCTTTACGACGTTCTTCAGCACGACGTTTACGATTATTATTGATACGTTGAATCGATGCATCAATTTGCTGTGATTGCAATTGAATAGCATCACACGTGAATGGTGGATTATCATAAGTTCTCATAGAAGCTAATTTTCCGCTTACATCATCGAACCATTTTTGTTTTCCTTCGATCTCTTCGGAAAAATTTTTCTTCTCATCAGTGTCATCAAATGGGTCATTTGTTTCTATTATTTTTCGCGCTTGTTGCAAATGATGTCCTAGTTGTTCAAGACAACGTGGACGATTTTCGAATTCTCTACGACGCATTATAATAGCATCAGCGTACGATTTAGCCATCGATTGTGTCCGTTCATTATACACCGATTTTGAATGCATTACTTCCTGTTCATCTTGTTCGTACAGCCATTTTTCATTTGACTCCAATTGTTGCTGGAATTGTTGCTTTGTTGTTGGATCAATAAATGGGTCATAATCACCAGATTCAATACGATCACGCCATTCATAAATAAATTCCTCCAATGTATTTCGAGCATCAGTCTTTTCTTTCCAATTTTTGTCGGCCAAAATCAGATTCGATTCAAATTCGATGAAAAGATCTTTTGTTTCTTTCGGTAAAAAGCCAGCAATGTATAATGTTTCAACAAGCAAATCTACAGTAATAGTTTTTGGTTTTTTTCGCTTTTGCTGAGGTTGCGAATCGTTTGTCTCTTTTGTTTGTTGTTGTTGAGTTTCAGTTTCCATTTTGTTTTGACCATCAACAGAATCATTGTTACTATTATTTTGTGGTTGTTGCTCCATTGGTTCTTCCGGTTGTGGTTGCTCATTATCTTGTTGAGGATTTTCATACGAAATTGTGGCCGGTCCAATAGAAAGATTAGAGTTAGCATCTACACGAACACGAATCTTGATAGGACTTCTATGTTCTAACATTAATTGAAGTGCATTCGAACCAGGTGGTTCCGAAATTCGATATTGCGCCAGTAACATCTTTTCTTGGTGCAAATTATCATAATGAAAGCTGAGGGTAATCGGCAAAGCCTGTGAAGGAATTGTTATCTGTTTGGGACATGGAAATGGATGCCCACGTGGAATCATTGCTGGTATGACTTTAATATCTTTACCGGGAATTTCGTATCTATAGCAGTTGAAAGAATAAAAAGAAATTAAAGAGTTTATATTTTAGAAATTTAAATTACTTACGTAAAATCGACACTAAATGGCAATGAATCAATGATGTGAAGTTCACGTGCAACCTTGAATGTTGGACTAAGAATGGCGCATTGTAAAGCGCAACCACGAGCAACAGCTTCATCAGCATTCAGCGTTGTGGATGGCTCTAATCCACAAAATTCTTTTATCATTTTTTTAATTGCAGGAATTCTACTAGTACCACCAACAACCTCAATGGAATCAAGACGAAAATTGCCATAGTTGTCTTGATATTCTTTTTTGAATCGATCAACTGATCGCTCGTAGGTCCTCTTTAACATAGAGCCGATTCTTTCAAACAAATTTTGAGAGATTTGTTCGAATGTTGCCCGATCGATTCGACTACTGAAATCTTTTTCATCATACAAACATTCAATATTGATGGGTAATTCATTCGGATTTGCCGAAAGATTCTTTTTCAATTTTTCGCACTCGACAATCAAACGACAACGTGATCGCTCATTTAATTTCAACGAATGTTTTTCAATAAAATAATTAGCCAATACTTCATCAAAATGTCGGCCACCAACATCAGCCAAAAACTCAGCATCCAATATTTTTAAATAATTGTCTTTATGATTAAACAAAACAATGGCTGCTTGTGAGCTAGTTTGTCCACAATCAACAAATCCTACGATTGATATATCAGAACCGGTGGGCGAGCTTCGATAAAATCCATAATAGAGTGCTACAGCAGTCATATCAGATATGACACGCAATGGATTTAAACCGGCAATTTGAGCAGCATCCAGTAGTGCACGTCGTTGTACAAAATCAAAATAATTGGGACAATTGATGACGCAATCAACCGGATTACCTGAAACTTGCCGTAATTTAGTGTATAACATTGCCACAATTTGAGTGGGAGTCAACAGCCGTTCTTCACCATGTTGAACACGAACTAAAATTTCATCATCAGGTCCAGGTTCAATTTTAAATGGATAATCTTGAGGATTGATCTGATGATATTTTTTTCCGATGATCGTAGTCGGAGCAAAACAAGTGTTACGAAGATTCATCATCTGTTTTTGCTTAGCCGAAACACCCAATTCACGTTGGTTACCACCGAAGCCAATATATGCTGGTGTTGATCGTTGTGAATATTCATTTAGAAGAATTTCGATGCCGCCTTGCCGGGCAACGGCTACATAACAATTTTCCGTACCAATACTGATACCACAAATTGATGAAGCTGAATTGTTAATGGAAGCCATTATTTGACGATATTTTCGAAAAACCGAGCGATCTTTTTGCTGATATTCTGGAAGAAAATAATTTGAAAATCAACAATGTTCAGTATTTCTTGACAATGAACATAACTTACCAGAATATGAGAATGATGTTGATTGATTATTATTATCGTCTTCGTTGACACCGGCTAAATATTTATAGGCAGAATTAAGAAATCTCTTAAAGCCGCTAATGGTTGCTGAATTGACGTTTTGGTTAAGGTATGAAAATAATGAATTTAATTTGCCCAACAAATGGCTGTGTATATAAAATTAATTACACGACAACAAATGAATTTATCGAATTTTAAAAATTTTAATAAAAATAATTTTTATTTTTTCGTTGCTAAAATCTTAGTTTTTGCCTGATGAAATGATGATTATGACTCAAACAAATGTACAATGTGAGGGAAAAATTAAATTGAAATGCCGTTGTTATACGATTGATAAGTATTTGTGTGAATCTGTGTATGAAAAGATTATGATTTGGATGCATGTAAATGAATGGAAACACGCCGAACAACAGCCACTACTATATCTATGTCGACCGAAAGTTCTCGAATGAAATGTATAGAAAATAGTTATTGTGCGATAATGTTGCGGAGGTGTAACGTTGTTTTGTCACTTTATATATGAATTATTTTTCGAGGTGGAGCTTATTTCATTCATTCATTCGATTTTACATGCTATTTTTCTCTTCTTTTTGGATTTATTTACACTTTCAGCTGGGACATTAATTTGTTGGGTAATTCGCGAATATTCACCAACTTTCTAGAAAATTCAAGATTGGTCCAAGGAAATTTTTGTTCATTTTTTCATTCATCTTTGGTTCGTATTCTGAAAGCATATTTTTTCTTTTCTTTTTTTATTGAAAAATCTTTCTTAAGAAGATTAGTAGAATTGAAGTTTCATATTTTTCTTGAGGAATTCCTTTGACCACATCATATCATATGAATACACTCAAATGGGACCACATCGTTCATCAGTCCTTTCATTGTACAGAAAAATGCTACGCGAATCGCGTAAATTCGATTCATATAACTATCGTGAATATGCTTTGCGTAGAATTCGTGAAGCTTTTCGGCAAAATATGAACGAAACAAATGAGCAGCAGATTTATACCCTTGTTGAAGATGCAAAAAATAATTTACAAATTATTCAAAGACAAGTATTAATTGGTAGCCTATATCCATCAAAAAAACTGGTCGTTGAAGATCCTGAATTAAAGTGCCATAAGTTTAGTGATATTGAAGATCATAGGCAAAAACAACGAAATAATTATGAAACGATCAACAGGTAGCCTGCACTAATCATAATAATTAGATAATTTTTTATTAAATTTTATAGTTGATTAATTTTGAGAATTAAATTTGAATTAAAATGTAATGATTTATATTGTGGATATTTGACAATTTGATTATGAAATTGCGTAACTTTGTTTATGAACAATGCTCTCTTTTTATTAGCATGCGTCATCATCGTTTCAGAAGTTGACAGAAAAAAAGTTAAAATCGGCAAAATTTTTTCCTGTGCTTTTGTTTTTTTCAAAGATTCCAAATTATAAGGATTTCTTTCGTGATCTCGAGAAAAAATTCTATGTCTATACAATGAATACAACTTTAACGCGATCAAATGCAGTGTTTGCATTTACCCTTTCTAATTTAGCCTTCTTGACGGCTTTTCTGGTTCTGTCTACGATGACTAAAGTAATTATGATTTTTTTTTTACTTTTAATAATTTCGAATTAAAAATCTCTATTTTTAAAATAGGACTATTCACAATTGGCTGATGTTAAAGTAAATAGTGTTCGAAAATTGGTTAAAAATGTAGCAGATTATTCAGCTGGTCGTGAACGTAATGATTTAGGATTTTTGTCATTCGATTTAGATGCCGATTTTAGCCGCGTATTCGATTGGAATACGAAACAATTGTTTCTATTTCTAACCGCTCAATATAAAACAAAAACGAATGCTTTAAGTCAAGTTATTCTTTGGGATTATATTATGCTACGTGATGAAAGTAATCAACATCGTTTGAATCTACGTAATCAGCATACAAAATATTATTTCTGGGATGATGGCAATGGCTTATTGGGTAATAATATCACCTTAACATTATCTATGAATGTTCTGCCTAATTCTGGATTTTTGCCAATTCATTCGATTCCAACATCGCAACATAATTTTATTTTTCCCAATCAATATGATACGAAAAGTAATGTATAATTTCCCATATGGAATATTGAACCAAATTGTATTTTTAAAGTTTGTCTCATTAATTATTTTCTCCTAAATTATAATTAATAAAGAAGATTGTAAGAAAATCCACACTCTGATTGTTGTTGTTAAATTTAGACTAAGAACATCTGATTTAGAATTGATATACTCTCATTGGTTTGAGCATGCGTCCATCTTGAACATTTTGTACTTAATTTTCAATTGGTTGATCTTTGTTGTTGATTATGATCAAGTGTTTGTTTAACGTTTATCCTCAAGGTTTTTGATCTCTCTTATTATGTTCGATAATGATTCATTAAACAATTCATTAATTGACTGAAGAAAATCTCCAAGTGGCCTTAATTCTTAATCTAATAGAAATTTTCGATCGACCGTCAAAACGTCCGCACAAACAATGGTTGGAAGAGCTGATCTTCAAGAATTCGAAGATCATCTTCCTGACAAAGACGTAGCTCGTGGATTCTATGCCAAATACGAACCAAAAGAAGTCCTTGGAAGGTTGGTATACATAAACATTGATGATTTTGAATTTCTATTCAAACTTTTAAAAAAATATTTTAGAGGTGTATCTAGCGTAGTTCGATTATGTGTTGAAAAGGACACCGGACGAGAATATGCTGCCAAAATCATTGATATTAGTGATGATGAGAGTGGAGCTGGTCACCAGAATAGTTTTACATTATATCAAGCTTCACAACGTGAAATAGACATACTTCGAATAGTCGATGGACATCATTATATCAGTAAGGTTTTCATAACATTTTAATGACAATATTAATTTGGCAAGTTCATTTTTAAAAAGTTAAACTTTACGATGTTTTCGAATCGTCTACTTATATATTTCTTGTATTTGAACTGTAAGTTTGATTGATTTTTTTTTGTATTCGTATTGAATATAACAATATTTCTTTGTGTATTTTAGTTGTAAAAATGGTGAATTATTCGACTATCTAACAAATGTGGTAACGTTATCGGAAAAACGAACAAAGTAGGCAAAACATTTAATACTGTTCTCATTTATATTGAACTTGATATTATTGATAGAGTTATAATGAAACAGCTATTCGAAGCTGTCGATTATCTTCACCAAAAAAGAGTAGTGCATCGAGATTTAAAACCCGAAAATATCCTATTGGATGATGAATACAATATTAAAGTTACTGATTTTGGATTCGCAAGAATTATTGCACCAGATGAGAAATTATTCGGTTCGATTTGGACATTTTAGACAAAGAATCAATAGACTGATTTCTATCTTTTCGATTAGATTTATGCGGAACTCCCGGTTATTTAGCGCCCGAACTTCTTCGTGCTTCAATGTATGAAAATGCAACAGGCTACGGACAAGAAGTTGATTTATGGGCTTGTGGTGTTATCATGTATACTTTATTAGTTGGTTTTCCTCCATTTTGGCATCGTAAACAAATGATTATGTTAAGAAATATTATGGAAGGTAAATATGAATTTTGTAGTCCTGAATGGGATGATGTAACCGAAGAGGCCAAAGATCTGGTGAGAAATTTTTAAATATTTATTTTCAAATTATACTAAATTATTTGTATTTTTAGATCCGTAAACTTTTGGTGATAAATCCGATGGATAGGTTACTTGCTAATCAAGCTTTAAAACATCCATTTTTCCTTTCAGTCGTAAGTTATTTGCGAAAACTTCATTGGAAATGATTTATCAAAATTTTTCGTTTATAGAAAACTCAAACGGCAAAATTTAATGCACGAAAAACATTCAAATTAGCCATTGTATGTGTGAGAGTCTTGATCAGAATAAAACGCTTAAAATATACTGCTGAAGTAATTTCGATGGAAACTATACGTACTGCCCCATACAATATTAAAATCTTACGAAAGGTAATAGAATTACATAATGAATATCATTCGAGTTATTCAAAACGAAAATTAATTTTAGATGGTCGATGGATGTGCATTTCGTATCTATCATCATTGGGTTAAACATGGTGATGTTCAAAATCGAGCAGCATTGTTTGAGAATCGACCGAAAAGAGATTTGCTTCGAAACTCCAGCCAAGATGAAAAATTACTGCATAATTTTCATTGCTATTGATTATTGCAAATATAATAAATTCTTTTTCATTTGATTGTAGAATAGAACATTTAATTATTTAGGCATAATATGTACTCTGCATTGTTATTTGATTTTTGTTGTAATTTTGTTAACTAACTGATGTAAATAAAAAATAAAATAAATTTTCAAGTCTAGATTTTCGAATATTTTCATCACCATCACCAAGCTGGAAGTAAGCGATGTCGATAAATCCAATCTTAATCACAAGCAATCACATAACAGGCGTTTTACATGGACAAACTAAAACCATTTTGAAACCTTCTTGTCAATACTATTATCGTATGATGTTGATCATATTTTCTATTGCATTAGAGATTATGATTATTATCATTTTTATTCATACATTTAGCATCTTAATAAAAAAGAATTTCTATCCAGAAGGTAATTTTCAATATACCAGCAAATGAATGCAAAATTTTGTTTATTTTATTATCTCACCAAAGATTTCTCTTTCCATTTCGATTCGTGTTGTTTATGTACATTTGATATATAGAAGTATTCGATATTGTGGAAATAATATTCTGTCTTATTGATTTTATCTATATTTGTTATGGAATATATCTATTATTAAAACAGGATTATCATCATCAATATATACAATGTTATGGATTATCAACTATTGCATTGATTTTTATACGGATAATAATATGGTTAATACTTAAACAATCAATAGATTTTGATATTGGTTTACAAATCATTTATGCTGGTATGACAATTATTTATGGATATTATATTCGACAAGAAATTATTTAAAATATTAAAAATTAATAATTAATAATTTTTTTTGTTGTTGCGTAGTTTTTTTAAAATTTATTATTTGTATGTTTATGCTTTTGTTTGTGTATAACATTTTGTTTTTTAATAATAAAAATGAAATATTCAAAATAATGTTTAGGTTTTTCCTGTTGTTTGTTTTTTTCCTTTCGTTTTTAAATATATGAAAAAAATCATCAATCAAACAAACTTTGAAACACAAACACTATACCGAATAAAAGATTCGGGTCAAACTTTTTTCTTTTGTTTTTTTTCACTGACAAAACAAGACAACATTGTTTTTTTTACATGTTTGTTTCTTGTGTTAGTGTTTATGTGGTTTAATTATTCTTTGGTGAATTTTTTTTTTGAATGGGTTCCGGGTTCTAGCTCATTTATGTTTAATTTCGGTTACTCATAACAATTTATTCACCAACAAAGATTCAATACAAATTAAGCTATCATCCATCACCCAATAAGAATCGAATGAATATTGAACGTTTTGAAAAAAAGTGAAGAAAAAAGGAAGAACATATGGTTATGATAATAATAATAATGATGACCATAATGTTTGTTCGATATACATTAGATTAGATTACTGGTGAAAAAAAACAGAATTGCTTAAGGAAAATTATGTGAAAAAAACATTACGATAAACAAAACAAAGCGATTTCGGAAGTAGAAATAGACTATAGTGATAGGAAAACTTTTTTCTGATTATTCCTCATTTTCAAAATTACACTTTCTTTCTTTGAAAAGTTTATACTTGGATCGAGTAAGAATTGACCTAATTACATATATGAAAATAATAATAATTATAATTAATTATGGTAATATATAGAAAAACTATTAAAATGATCATTTTATTAAGATGATCCAAAGTTGATCATCATTATCATCATAGAAATGATTAACAAAAAAAAAATGTCATCAAATCGAAAACCGTTTATTCGGTTTTAACAAATTTTTCAACTTCTAGATATGAAATAGAAAACGTAGAAACGAATAATAATAAAAAAAATGCGATATAAATCTTGTCTTATCATTGTTTCATTCATGGATAAAAATGGATAGTTTTGGTGTTGTTTTTTTTTAATTTCCAGTCTATTGTGGTATACTATATTATTGTTATGGGTTTTTTTTCACTCTCCCACCACTCATATATGACCTGAATCACATTCTCATGATTCTCATCGTTATCATCATTACTACAACCACGAACGATCATCATTACTATACCAACAAAAACACCTGCCGAAAAAAAAGGAAAAAAGAAAAAAACTTAAACAACACACAAACAGGAAAAAAAATTCTGGAACAATGAGATATCATCTCCACACACTGTATTCATTATTTTTACATTTAGGTAGGGTAGTTTATTCATTCATTCATTTTTTGACTTTAGGAATTCATAATTGATTTGAAAGTGAAATGAACACAAAAAAAAATGTTTGGAAATCGGTACAAACAAGCACGAATGCAAACAATGAATATGAACATTATATTTCATGAAATGAAATGTCTGATGACCCAGAAGCGAATACCAAAAAAAAACATTCACTTACAAAGAATGGTTTTTAGGTTACTACGATTTTTTTTATTACACACCCATTTGTTATTTTTTGTTGTTGTTGTTGCTGCTGTAGGGTTCTGTTTTGGGCGTAATTATCTGACTCATTATCACGTATTTCAATATAGAAAGAGAATAAAAGTGAAGAAAAAAAACGACAGGAATCGAAAGTATAATTCATTTTTTTTCTCAGGTTTCTTTTCCTGATTTTAAAAAATTTATGTTTTTTTTTGGTTGAATTTATTTCCGGTATAAAATCATTGAAAATTGAAATGAAAAAAAAGATTCAATTCCATAAATAAGATGTTTTCGATATTAATAGATGGTTTTGTTGTTGCTGTTTATTTGGGCGCCAAGATCTTCATATTGCTTTTTCATTTTATTTTATTTACTTGATATAATCAACAATGGCAATAGAAAATTGCCAGATAGCCAGGAATGATTGTCATGATTGATTATCATTGAATTGAATGATGAACAAAATGAATAGTGATTTTATATAGGTTAGATACTAACAGGAAATTTTTTTTTCTACCATGAATAAATAAAAATGAATGAAATCTGAATGCAACTGAAGAAAAAAAAAATTCTGAATACCCAAAAATACAAGATTGTTAATAGCCAAAATGAATCATTTATGTATGGTGATTATGGTAAAAATGATGATTTTCATTATTTTAATGATCATCAGATGATTCTTTCTAAATGTTTTTTTGTTTGTTGTCATTTATTTAGGACCAATTGAAAATCTTTGAGATAGTTTGTTGATTGTTATTATACATGTTTTTTTCCGTTTTATTTTGTTTGTAGACCAACAAAAAATGGTCAAATATATTTTCTGTTGTTGTTATTGTATAGTATCACAGCAATAATTAATCTGAAATAATCTCAAATAGACGTGAAATTTTTTTAATTTGTCCCATTTCTGGTTCATTTTTCTATTCCATTCAATGGCCAATGTTTAGACAGATTGTAATAATAATCTACAAAAAAAAATTCCCGTGATTATCTAACAGTTTAGTTGTTGTGGGTAACCAAAACCAACTTTACGATCAAAAAAAATGACCAATCCTTTTATATAATGAATAAAATAGACAAAAATAAAATGAAATCAACAAATACAACTTGAAATTTACCTTAGTAACCGAAAAAAATGGTAGCAGTAGTATGGACAAATGGAAAAAATTGGACAATGGTCAAAAAAAAAATCCGAAAGTTATTACAAAAAAAAATATTGAGAAATATTCACACACAAAAAATATAGCTATCTGAAATGGAAATACAAATGGAAATAATCAACATGCTTATAGATATTTAGTATTCAATGATAAAACAGTCGGGATTCATTTTGAATTTTGGTGTCGTCGAGTTATTTGATGATTGTCCGGTTTTGTCATCGATTGTCAGTAGACATTGTCATATTCATTGGATACTTCATATATTCATAATTTCGGTGGTCTTAGATTCAAATTGAATTCCCATTGTTTTTTTTTCTTCACAATTCACAATCGATTCCTGTGTTTGTGTGCTGGTGGATTATTTTTTCATTTTGATTAGTTAATTTTACTTTTCATTGAGAAAATTTGCCGACAAAAAAAAATTCAGTGACCAACTGCAAAATTGAATATGATTCTAAAAATATCTTTTTAGATTCAGTCAATGTACAGTTATTCGGATTCATATAGCTGTGGCCTTGGAATTTCATCTATAATCATACTTAAATTGTAGTAATAATCGTTGTAAAAACATGACGACGGTACAATCATCAGCACAAGCAGCAGCTGCTGCTTCCAATCAACAATCCAATGATCAATCCGATCCGATTCAGTATCATCCACCGACTAATTTTGCTGGACCAATTGGACCGGGTGGTCCAGCATATATTAAATCTGAAGTCGATTTTCAACGATTGGTATGTCATTAGAAATGATTTGTGCTACTTTTTATAATTCTTAATTATAATCTTACTTTTTTCCATTTTGATTATATTCTAAATTTGCTTATTATGTTTCTAATTTTTATTCATTAGATTAATGGTGATGCAGATCGTCTTGTATCTCGTGCATCAAATTTATTACATAATAAAGCATTTACCGATGTTACATTTATTGTCGGGCCACCTAATCATTCGAAAAAATATGTTGGACATCGTGTATTATTGGCAATGACAAGCCCTGTATTTGAGGCAATGTTTTATGGTGATATGGCCGATAAATCTAAAGTTATCCGTATACCGGATATTGCACCTATTGGATTTGAAAATCTTTTACGTTATGCATACACTGATTCATTAAACCTAAATTCTGTTGATGATGCCATGTTAACTGCATATGCAGCAAAGAAATATCTTCTTCCACATCTTCTTCGGTATGATCAATAATATTTATGTGTTTCCGATTTTCAATTTTGATCCGATATTGTCTTTTTCAGAGAATGTTTAACCTATATTGAAAAAAACATAACACCTTCAAGTGCTTGTGCTGTTTATGAATTTGCCATTGCACTTAATTCACAACAATTGATTTTCCAAGCAATCAATACGATTGATAGACAAACATATCATGTTATAACTCATAAATCATTCAAGTAGGCAATCAAAATGGATTTAAAGAATATGAATGCTTTGAATTATTATTTCTTTTCAATAGTAACATTCAATTGTCAACATTGGAATTTATTGTTAATCGCCGATATTTGAATCTTTATTCAGAATTTTCGTTGCTAAATGCTGTCGTACAATGGGCACAACATGAATGCAAAAGATCCGCTAAACAGGTGAACGATTGGAATATTGTTCGTAACATTCTAAATGAAAGGTAGGATAATTTATGCTTGTGTAATATGATTATGATTTTATCGATTAATAAATCAAAACAGCATTGTGCTTAAAAGCATACGATTTTTAACAATGACGGCAGAAGAATTTGCTCGTGTTGTTTCGCAAACAACAATGAGCACACCATCAATGGATGAAAATGGTTCCGGTGATGGCAAAAATGGTATCGATTGCGGCAATAATTTGAATACACCTTCATTCTTGACCAAAAACGAACAGATTGCAATATTTATGAATTTAGCTATACCTGGTATCGTATCGATACCAAAATGTTTGAGTCATGAAACTACTCCACGTTGTGCACCACGTAAACTAAATAACTTAGATGATATTGCTTGAAAACATGATTAATTTGTTTTTCGTTTAAATCTAGCTGAATATTTTACCGTGAGACGATACAAACCTGTGACATATGCTACAACGACTACATTAGCACATGTAACAAGCTCAAATGCGGCTGGTGCTGCTGGAAATAAACCAGTAAAATCTGTTTGCTCAAAATTTTTGGTCAACAATAGTGATCTATTTATTGTTGGAGCATCCATACCAATTCGTCTGGATCCAGGGTAACATTGATCAATATTCTGATCTAAGTCCATTAATTTTTTGAATGTCATTTTTCGATAGTTACTATTCTGTTCGTACACCAAAATTAGATTGTCAGCTTAAATTCACATCAAAACTCAATTTACCGGATGGACAGATGGTGACCGGTAGAGGAACCGATGAACATCAAATCATTCTGGTATTTTTACTTAATTCTGCTAATAATGATTCTGCTATTGATTGTTTTTTTGTGATAATTATTAGGATACAATCGATGAATCATTATCATTTGTTATTTCAAAAGATAAAGATTGTCATGTAAAACTGAAGAAACCATTACATGTAAAGAAAGGAAATATAAATGAATTGTTGTTAACATTTCAATCGACTGCATTGACTGATGATATTGTTGTCATCAAAGGTCATCGTAACAAAACACCACAAATGGAAATCGTCGATGGTGAAGCAATAAGTTGGACATTTTTGAAAACAAGCACAGTTGAATTCAATGAACTTTACTATTATTATTGATCAAACTTAATAATTGGATTGTGAAACTTTTATCTGTTTACAAACAGAATCTGTTTTTTTTTCGGAATTGATCCAATCGGATGGTCATCATATTTTCTAATTCTCAATTAAGAATATTTACTTGAATTTGAGATTCACTTTTTTCCCGCAAACATGACATTTGCTTCATTAATTTCAATTTTTTATCTGAAGATACGTACATCTTAGCATCTTATTCACCAATAATATTTGTCGTATATAAGCTGGAATTATATTTCTAACAATTTATTTGAGGATGCTGAAGAAGATTTGTTGCTGTCATCGTAGATTATCATGAAAAAAAGTTTCTTTTCGCTCTATTGATTAATTTAAATCAATCAATTATTTCAACTTCAAACAATCATTCATTTCAATATTTACATCATATGGTTATTGATTTTTTTTCAAATATAAAAAGTTAATTAGAATTAATTTAGATTAATTTAGACATGATTTTATTCGCATTCGATTGATCTTAATCAACAACAAAAACATCAAATTTATCGTAATTGTTTTATTTTATTTGCAATTATCATCAATGATGATGATGATGATGATGATTAATTATTAATCAATAAAAATGATTTTTCTTATCGATTTATAATAATGTTTAATGCTCATTGATTGATTCGATTTTTGTTTGTTTTTGTTTTGTTTTGATTTGTCATTTGTTGTAATAAAACAAGGCAATAAATGTGAAATTTTTTGTATTAATTTCCATAATAAATAAATCTATTAAATAAATGAATAATTTTGTTTTTAAGTGCTTCAAGGATTAATCATCAGGCACTAGGTGTATGTGTTATTATTATTTTGCACATTTTAATCTATAAATGAAAACTATTGCTGTTTTTTGATTTGTTTCAAATTATTTGTTAATGGATGAGTATCGGATTTTTCCGTTTGTATGGTTGAGGATTGACAATCGTCCGATATGTTGGATAATGATAGGAAATCCTCTTGTATAATACGCCATAATATCACAATGCTTATAAACATAAATGCTAACATTATCAATGATATTGCTATGATTCCCCAAATGGTGACAATATATTCGGATTTTAAATAATAATTTCTATAAATATCAATCCATATTTTTAAAAGTGGATAGAAACGAAATAGGACAATAGAAACTAAAATTTTAAATTAGAAAGTAATAATAATAATAATAATTAAAAAGATTATTTAAATCAAATTAAATTCATTCAAAATTACAAACTAACCTATGGCACATATACTGTTGAGTCGATTAAGAATATTCGGATATTGTGACCAGAATTGAGAAATTTTCCCAATTGAACGTATATGAATAAATATGTTACTCAATTCAATGATAAGACCAAATAAACAGAACGGTAAGAATCGTTGAAATGGATTCGTTTTTGTTTCGGAATAATTTGGAATGATAACGACTGTTAATGGAATTATGGTTATCACATGATGTATAATTATTTCAATACGGTCAGGATATTTGCCCAATTTTGATAATGATAACATTGTATCATAGATAAAATAACCGATTGAAAAACAAATGGATAAACGTTGCAATTTTGCATAATAATGATCATTTGTTAATTGGATATCATCATTCGGTGAAATGAAACAATCATATGTTCTATTTTAATGATTGAATTTTTTTTTCATAAGTTTCTTTTAGTAAACAATTTAACAAAAACTTACAAATAAAATATTAATAAACCGGAAATTGTTGAATGAATTAATGAAACAATAATGTTTCGCCATTTCCATCTATCATAAATTTCTGTTGGTTTTTTTCGTGAAAAATCACGAAAATTTATTTTCTTTTTTCGTATTGATTCGCCAAGAAACCACCAATCAATTTGACCGAAAAAATTATTCAATAAATTAAATAATGTAAATGAAAGACCAATTGTGATAAGAATTTGTGAAGATTCCTGTCCAATTATCAATGTGTTTGCCATCATCATCAATGGTTTACACAATTGATCATAATTAATCAAATATACACACAATGATAACCATATTATTATTATGTTAGAATGATTTGAATATTATCGACATACAATTCAATGATACACAACAATAACAAAAAATTTATTTTAATTCAAAAACAGAATTAGTTTTCATTTGAAAATTCATTACATCATTCTCTCTACATTTGAAGCCAAAATTTTTGATGATGAATAAAATTGAAAAAGATTTATCCGACGAACGTGATAGGAATAAATCGGTTAGTAAATTTGGATTTGAAAAAATTAGTTTTTTTCCTTGTTTAAATCATTCATTCTTTTTTTTTGAACAAAATTATCACTCATTTTAGCTTTTACACAATACAACTACCATAGCACACAACCATCATCATCACACACAATCATTAAATCATAACATCGAAATGTTCTACGAATTTAATGATAATAATTGTCGAATGTAATAATAATGACAATCATCATTATCATGATGATGATAATTATAAAATTATTGACAAAAAATAAAATAGATCACAAAATAAAATTAACGATAAAAATTTTGATGATAAATATGATGATGATAATGCAAAGATAAAAAATTTTCTATCAAATCATATAACGATGAACAAAATATGAAATTGAAATCATCATCATCATCAGGAAAAGCTTTTTTTTTCTTTCTAAAAGGATTATCACATTCAATGAATCAATAAATTGAATGGATAAATTCTTAGTGATCAAAAATATTAGAAAATTTGGCTCATGATGATGATGATGAATATTTGCCGGATTCTGTTTTTCTACCAAATACAAACACCATTCGGTTCCTTTTATATTTACATTCTGTTTTTGTTTTCAATTGTTATAAACCTAACTTCTTTTTTTTGTCTCTAACTATCTCTGTGTTTTTGTTTGGATGGTATGTATGTGTGTATATATGTGGTTGTCGTCGTCGTTTATAATAATTTGGTTCAGTTCAATTCTGTTTTTTTTTTGTTTTGTTTTCATTCTCTTGATTCTGAATATATATCTCAGACGTCAGTTAGTTAGTTTTACATTTTTCATAGTTGTTTGGGTATGCACCGACGCCATATGTATAAAATGATCGACTTACTTTTTTTCAAAATAAAAATACCCGAAAATGTGTCTTTACCACACACACACATATACACATAGACGTATATATTGCAAAAAAGTAGAAAATCTGTAAAACAAATTACTTATACACCCATACACATACAATACCTTTGGTTGATTTCAAAGAGCTTAAATTTTTGTATACCCCTTGTAAAAGTCAATTAACATGGAATTTAGATAAAAAAATCGATAACAATGAATCAAGGAAAGAATTTTTTTTTAATGTCAAAGTTTATTCAATGGTTAACATTGGGTGTGGGCATGAATTCATAATAAAATTTCAAACGAATAAATGTCATCAACATAGAATAACCACGATAACATAGAAATCTAATCATTGAAAATGTCGAATTCAAATTTTTTGATAAATAATTTTGTCGTTTTATTGGATAAGAATTTTCATTTAAAGCTTTTTGCAAGAAAAAAAGTTTAAGAAAACTGAATTGAGAAAAGTTTTCCAAATGAAAATGCAATTTACAACAAAAAAAAGTGTATCAACGTTTACATTACTATAGAAAAAGAAAGATTAATCAAAGTATCACTGTAGATAATATTTAAAAAAACATTATGAATTATGACGATAATGATAATAATGATGATAATGTAATAGGTATATAGTTGCCCTTTTTTTCGCTCCAGAATTTTTGGTATAAATTGATAATATTAGTATGGAATAATCAAATATCGTATAGAAACATTGTTGTTGTATTCCAAATTCTCATAGTAACTTTTAACAGTTACTATTCACTTTTTTTTCATTTATTCATTTATAACAACAACAACAACAACGAAAATTCATAACGAAATTAAACAATGAAAAGATTAATTGCAATATTCATACAAACTAACGACGACGACGACAACAACAACGAGGAAATACAAGAAATTATTAGCAAAAAAAAAAATGTCATGTTGTATTCTATGGCATTGAATAAAATGGATCCCACAAACAAAAAACACATTCGAGATATATTAAAATGAATAGATAGATAGTTTTCATACATATGGAAATATAGAAAAAGTCATGTCCACAAAAAAAACAGAAAGAGAGAGAAAAGTTTTCGTTTTCGTTTTCATTCTTGTATTTTGTTTGTTTGTTTGTCAAATGGATAATACAATTCTTTAGGTACAATACAATATAATAATATATCCATTATCATTTTGAATGATGATGATGATAATTGTAATGTAATAATAATAATAATAATGTAAAAAATTCTTTTTTTCAGTATCATAATCAATGTATTTAAATGGATTGGATTAGACCGGGCTAAAAAAATGAAATAAAATAAAACCAGGGTTATGTTGCCGACCGTCTCCGTAACTTGACAACGATTGATTTTTTTCGCCTGCCAAATTATCACTATTCCCAGTTACCATTATAAAAAATACAGGCCAGGTGAACATACAAAAATGAACAAATGATTTTTTTCAAAACATTATTCATATTTTCCAACACCATTACTTCAACAACATCGAATATAAGAATTTATATTAAGAAAACTTGGCAAACAATTTATCATCAAACAGAGAAAAACGAAAAAATGTCTTCATCAAATGGAAAAAAGTATGATTTCAGTGGTAAAGTTGCTCTCGTTACTGGTTCGAGTTCAGGAATCGGTGCTGCAATTGCCTTACAATTTGCACAATATGGTGCACAAGTTGTAATCACTGGTCGTGATGCATCAGCTTTGAATTTGGTAGCCGAACAAATTGAAACTGAAAGTGGTAATCAACCATTACAGATTGTTGGCAATCTTCTTGATCCATCTTTACCAGCTGAATTAATTGATGGAACAATTACGAAATATGGACGATTAGATTTTCTTGTAAATAGTGCAGGTTTTTCTACACCGCATAATAATTTAAATGATGACAAACTAATGGAAGCTTTTGATCAAGTGTATGGGCTAAATGTTCGTGCTGTTCTTCATTTATGTCAATTAGCTGCATCACATTTGGAAGAATCCAAAGGTAATATCATCAATATTTCAAGTATTGTATCCATGTTTCCGGTAAGAATTTCATTGTTTAAAAATAAAAATAAAAATATTCATAATTTGAATCAATTTTGTATCAAGTATAATATTATTTATAGTTCATCAAAAGCAGCTTTGGATATGATTACCAAAACAGTGGCAAAAGAATTGGGAAAAAAAGGTGTTCGAGTTAATTCAATCAAGTATGTGAAATATTATTATGAAATATAATTTTATATTTTATCAAATGACAATATTTTAGCCCTGGACCTGTTTGCACCGGTTTTCTACGTTCACTGGGAATGACGGCTACAACTTATTCAGAACAAGAGGAACAGTTTAAAGAAATGACTTTACTTAAATTCTTACCACAACCAATTGAAATTGCTAATCTAGCTTCATTTTTAGCATCGGATGATGCTCATAATATAACTGGCTCGATTATTGTTAGCGATACAGGATCATTGTTGGCACCAAATTTTCTGGAATTTTAAAAAGAAAAGAATTTGTCAATTGATTTTAATGACCGAATCATTATGAAAATTTGTCCAAATGATTAAAATATTTTATTTAGATCTTAGAAATAAATTTTGTTTAATAAATGGTTTTTCTTGACGCCAGGTTCGCACACCGCTACTATTCATGATAACTACACCTACTACACAAAAACTTCATATTCTATGAAATCAAACATTGAAAATAATGATTAGTTTTTAATCAATAGATTCGGGTGCGGACCTAAAAATGGTGCGTGTATATTATTGAACCATATCACACACACACACGCATATAGACAAACAATAATTTCTTTTCTGTTTTTTTTTGATTCTTGATTCCAAACCAAAAAAAAACAACAACCAATAGCTACAACAACAAAGAAAATGGTTTTTCATATTTATTCATTCAATAAAATAAATATGAAAGAAAAAGAAATGATAATGATAATCACGATAGTCCCTGCTTTTTTTTATATTAGTCATTCAAAAGATTCCATATCAACAACAACAACAACAAATTATTGATTTGATGAATCATTTATTTGGTTAATGTGTTGACATTTATGACAAAAAAAAGAAGTCAAACACTAAGATAAAACAAATACTAAATAATATCGATTGGAAAAAAAGATGAAATCCATTTCTTAAAAAAAATTTTAATGTTTAAACAAAGTCATTATAATCATCTGGTAAAAAATATCGTAAATATCGATTATAATTAGAGATATTCTTTCTTTTCATTTTAATATTTATTCTAAATACAATAAATTATTCTCGTTTGTTTGTTTGTTCAAAAATCGTACCAACAACAGCAAAAAAAAACCATAAAATCATCATAATGATATAAACGGAAGAATAATTATTCTTATAATTTGTGTGTTTCATTCATATTTTTTTCTTCCATCAATTATTCTTATTTCGATTGATCATTTCCTTTTTTTTGATATTTTTTTTTTTCGTTCTTCTTCGGAATGAATCGAACAAAATAGAAGAAGATCACATGAAACAATTATCAAATTAGGTCCATGCATATTCGTTCATGTTGGAACTTTTGCAACTTGGAAACAGTCAGTCATTTTTTTTTGTTATGGTAGCCAAAAAAAAGAGAAAAGAAATGAAATGAGAAAAAAAATGAAATTCTTCTTGATAATGATAATAATGATTATTTTGATATCAATGAACAGTTATCACGCAAGCAAAAGCGATAAAAATCGATGAATCTGTTCTTTTTTTTTCTATTTTTGTCTTGATCATTATTATTGTCATATAATTTTTCTTTGTTGTTGAAAATTACTGTTAATTTTAAAAGTTGGTAAAATGAACTTTTTTTTGAAATTTAAATTCCAAGAATCGAATAAAAAAACGACAATTATAGTAACCAAAAATTATGTAATATATGAATGTCATTTTCAGGAAGCTAATAAAGAATATTATAATTTAATTGATTTAATTGAATAAATTAGTGATTGAATAAACAATTCAAGAATGTAAATAAAATCAATCATTTTTTTTGAAAATAATTTTTTATTTGTAATTTGTTTTATTTGAACGACTGGTTTGGCATATTTTATTTTTTGTCAAAAATTGATCATTTCCGTTGTTAACAAATGAATGAAACGCTTTTGCAAGCTCCTTATGTTTTAAGTTGGAATTATACAAATTCAAGTTCAAATCTGAATGAAAATTTTGATTTTTTTCAATTATCTAATTCAACAACAATACATAATTCAACAACAATATCTAATTCAACTGCAATATCTAATTCTACTACTGATAAAGAAAAACTATCAATAACAAATTCAGCAGTGGTTGCAATGCTATTACTCATGGCATTAATGTCACTTGTTATTGCTATTTGCTGTGTATTTACCATCTATCTTGATCTTACACCGACAAATCCATCATCGAAAATGAAAGAAACAACAAAAAAACCAACTACAACAACAACATCAGCAACACAAAAATCGGAAAAAACAACCGAAAGAAAACGTCGTTGTCCAGCACCGGAAGAAATAGTTGATGGATATGAAATGGAAGCACCAAGTGATCCAGGTCAGGTGTTCAAATCTCGAAAAAAAAGTTATGAACAATTTCAACAAGAATTTGAAATGGACCGAATGAAATTATTAGAAAAAATGGGCAATGGAGCAATTTTGATGAAACAATAAAAAAAAAGAAAGGAAAACACTTATGTTTCTAAAATGAATGTTAGACCAAATAACAACAATAATATCCTTTTAATGATATTATAATTTTCGAATGTTGCTATTTGTCTATATAATTTTTGAATAATAAGAAAACAGTTACATTGAACGCCATCTAACGAAAATTTAATTTTCAAAAAAAAATTATCATTTTTTCATTTTCGATAAAATTCGATAGATGACAGTTGTAGCGGAATGATGATACACTCACACAGATATATCATTCGTAAATGTATTCATTCGAATAAAAACAAAGTCATTGAATTCATTATTATTGCGAGTCAATGCGGTAAAATCAATTTTGTGTTTATTTATGAAATGTAATGGTTATTTAACATTGAAAAAAATGTCAATTATCATGATGATGATGATCATCATGTCTACATTGTGAAAGAATTGAAAACAAAAGAATATTTTGAAAAAAAAAACAAAACAAACCAGTCATCAACAAAATTTGATGTGAAAAATCAACATAATGATGATGTATGATTTTTTTTCCCAATACTAAAAATGTAGAAAAAAATCATCATCACAATGTTGTTTTTTTTATTTCATCATCATCATCATCATCATTATCACCATCACCGTTATCATTGAAATTTGTAAAATTTATTTCAATTCACCAATTCATGAATCGTGATTTCTTGACGAGAAAAAAATTAAAACAAACAACAAATAGAATACATAATGAAACAATCACATCATCTTTTTGATCAAAATTGAAATTTTCTATACTGTATACCCCAGTGGACAATGCCATTTGTTGACAATGTGATAGTAACCATTTTCAATTATCATTGTTATCATCAGCAAGAAAGAAAGAAAAAAATTTCAATTGAAAAAACCATATTTTTTTCTCTCTACATGATTATGTTGAATTTTTGTTTTCTGTTGTTGTGTTTTGTTATCTAATTTCCTTATTGTTTTTTCTTGTTTTTGTTTTTACTGTCTATCGAAAGACAATTCAATTTTTCATCATTATTATTCTTAAGATAAGACAAGAACTGCTAAAACAAAATAATCCAAACTGGAGTTTTCATCGAGTGATCATTCTTCGAACGATTGTAGTAATCATCAATCATTATCGTCATCAAAATTTGATCATATGCAACATGATTTGAATCGAAATTTTCATCATTTAGATATTGAAAAATCATCATTGGATGATGAAACGAATTGCCAAAAATTGACTGGATCTCATTATCTTGCGGATACTGCTGCATTCAAAATTACAGCTGATGATTTGACTGATAGAAATGTTAATACACAACAAACAGGGTTCATTTGTTCAACATCATTATCGATTTCTGATGCTAAAAAATTACCATCATCATCAATAACAACAACGACAGACAATGTTTACAGTAATAACGATGTAATCAAATCATCGATTACGACAACAACATCATTGGAAGCCTTGAGCAAAAATGATGCTTCATTATCATCGTTGTTGTTGAAAAAGAATTCATCTAGTCTAACTTGCCATTCTCATCACCAAGAAAATAATCAACAACAACAATTCTCTACAACAACAAAGAAAACCGGTAAATATGAAAAAAATTGTTGTTTTACTTTGCATTCGCCTACATATATTTAATTTGATAGACAGATTCATATCTGATTTTCTCCAAATTTTAATTTTATAAATGTTTTATTTTATTATAACAATGGCCACAATATACATCTTTGTCTTATGATCATTTATGACATATTTTTATCAATTTCTTTTTCCAAGTCAACATGTTTTTATAATTTTTTTTTTTTTTGCTTATTTGATTTTCTGTTTATTTCAATTATGATCAATCATCCACATTTCTTTTTTTATTTTTTTTCACTCCATTCGATTGCAATCATCATTTCTTTTGAATAATAATTATCGATAGCATTGTATAACTATTTCTCTTTGTTTTCATATATTTGGCTGAGTGATTGATTAATTGATCGATCAATCGATTGATCAATCAATTATCAAGATTTATCTCTCTTTTTTTATAATAAAATGTAAAGTTCCTCAGATCAACCAATTAATTATTTTTTCTTTCAATGTTTGTTGATTTTTTTCATTCAGATTCGAACAATCATCTGGTGGCTAATGACGAAGTAGAATTGATTTCACTATTAAATTCATCATATTCACATTCAGTACCAAAATATAAGCTACGTATTGACACAATTACAGAATTTCAAGGTAAGTGTATTTTAATATTCTTCATTTACGGTGATTTTGGATTTTATTTTTATTTATGATGATATCATGTCGAGTCGACTCGACTTTTAGTTTGACTTCTATATATAAATGAACAAAATAGAAAAGAAAAACGAATAGAGAAAGCTAATAAATAAAAATATTGAATGATCTTGTGATGATAATTATGATGACACTTTATTGGATTACCTTCGATAGATATTTATAATGAAAAAAAAACTGTCATTCACATGATCATCGGTTTTTTCTTCAATATAAACACCTAATGATTTGACGTTGAGTACATAAAGTATTCGTTTTTTCTTCAAGCTTGTTTTGAATCATTCATATCTATTGAAAAAAGTGTGCTTAAAGCAATTTAATGCCAATTATCTTTGAGGCATTTTTTCCTCTCTCTCTCTTTTATTTATAAAGTTTGATCATTTTGTGGTACTTGCCGTAAACATATAAGTAATATGTTTTCGTTTATTATAAATTTATCTGATATTTATCTATTTGAACCTGGATTGATATTGCGCGCCATTCGTATATCTGTTATTTGATTTTCAACATTTTAGCTTGTTTATTTTGTTTGAATTGAAGTTCTTACGATTGTATTTCTCTGTAAATGTATATTTGTTGTTTTAGCTATATGACTCTTTTTCTTTCACAATTCATATATCTATTAGTTAGCAATGATTGATGTTTTTTTTTCTTTTTTTCATGTTATATTCATTTCCAGGTTATAGAAACAATGATTGGGCTGTTATTGAGACGCCATTGATCGACCTGGAACAACCATTAGATGAAAATTTTTTATTACGACCGGCATTTTTACGTGAAACATTTAAATTATTTTTACAATCGGGTGAGCGTCTGACACAAATGACCAAGGTTTATAATGATGTTGAAGTACTCACCAAACTTTTGGAAGAGGTTTGTAAGAAATTTAGATACGATTGTTTTTTATTTAATTTAAGATTGTTGTTTTTTTTTCTATACAATAGAAAGAACGCGATGTCGAATTGGCCGCACGAATCGGCCAATCTTTATTGGATCAAAATCAAAATCAATCAGAAAGAATCGATGAGCTGGAAAAAGAGTTATCCCTTGCCAAGGATAAGGTTTGTAAAACATTTATCTTTGTGTGTAAAATTAAAACAATTATGTGTTTGGCAAAAGATTACGCAATTGAAACATGATGTGTCATCCAAAAGTGAATTATTACGTTTTTACATTACCAAAGATGAAGATGAAATCGACGATGAAAATGATTCTGAAAATGATATGAATTATGCATCAATTTCCAGTCAACATTCTATTTCACAGAAAGATACATCACAAATTTTGGATCAACTTGAACGTCGTGTTAATTCGCTGGAAGAGGAGAATAGTCGTCTTAAAGTGGAAAAAGAAGCAAAAGTATCCGATTTGGAAGATGAAGAACAAAAAGAATTGCAATTAATAAATGAATGTGCTCGTCGGTTGAGTAAGTAATGTTTTTGAAACTATTAAAATTTTAATTCAATTTAATCTTGATTCAAAGGTCAAACCAATAAACAGATAGCATCATTACAGGAAGATATTACGAAAAAGAATGATGAAAATAATCATCTTACAAAGGAACTTCAATTGCTTAAAAAACAGGTGCAACAATTGGAGAAACAGATACGAACGTTGACATTGGAAAAAGAAGAACTAGTCGGTGCATTGAATCTAGCACATGAATGTCAAACAGATTTGACAATCGAATTGATCGATGTAAAAGAGAAGCATAAAAATTTACTTACAGCTTTTCATGAGAAACGGGAAGAATGTCGACAATTACGTGAACAACAATTGCTATCTGATCCAATAATATTCTCCTATGTTGATTCGTTGGCCTATGAATTAGAAAATTCCTTTCAATTTGATGAAAATACCTCAAAAAACGAACTCAATCATTCTCATCATCAACATTCTTGTTCCGGAAATTGTTTCACACCAGATTCATTATTATCAAATGATTCATTTTATTCCAGTTCGCCGTGTTCTTCTATGATTGCGATGACGAGTTCAATAACTGCTGTCACCACAAACACTACTCAACAGCAATCATCATTGAATGCTTCCAATTGTTTGATTTCATCAACTTCAAAACAATCATCATCCATTTCGACATTACCCTCATCATCCACTTCATCGTCGCAATCAGAGCCGTCGAAAACGACAAAATCGGCAAATCACCAATTACATCATCATCATTATCATCGTAATCTTTTTCTAACCGACAAACTTCGTTACATAAAACCATTAGAAGGTTCACAAATCTTAAATCAATGGCGTCGATTGGCCAATCCAAATCTAAATGATCTCTTCGGTGATCAAGATCGTTATGTATCGAGAATAAAGGCAAATCTTCAAGCGACTGCAGAAATTAATCGAAAATGTGTTACAGCCTCACTGGAAACTTCATCGTCAAACTCATCTCCCACACAAACGATAATGGACAATACAACGGCAATGACAGATGCTAGTGACCGGATTAAAAGCAATGATAATGTTGACATTATAATTACTTCATTATATTCAAACAATTTTGTGACAACAAATTCAGTGTTTACATTCACAACAACATCAATATCGCATACAAAAGATTCAATGACCGAAGTAACGACTACATTTAGTGATGTACAGCCATCCACAGGAAAGAATGAATTTTCATTCGATAAACATTTTCTCACATCAACGGACAAACATCATCCCTTATTTTATCAACAATCCTCATCGTTGCAAATAAATGAAAATATCTCTAGCATTTGTCATAAGAATAAAAACCCACAAAATTCATTAAATCAATTACATAAAAAAATATCTTTAGTCGAACAAGTAAAAAGTATTATGAAAGTCGATCAATTGTCCTCCGTGGATCCCGGATCAAAATTGTTTTCCACTTCAATATCGTCAGAAAAATTCAAGGTAAACCAATGAACTCATTTGTTTTGTTTAACGTTTATTTTGTATGAAATAGGAAAATCTAACGATGACGGAAACAAATACGAATAACGAGTATTCTAGTATGATGATTGATCAATCTAAGGCTAATGTTGTTGATACAAAAGTTGATCGAATAAGTGGTTTAAATGAATTTGTCAAATTGTTTGCATTAGAACCTAAATCTTGTGTAAACAATAATAAAAATCAATCGGTCGCCATCGGTGGTGGTCGAATAATTACGAAACTTCAAATGGCTAACGATTCGATTACATCTTTTCGTGGGCAAAAATTTTCATCATCAAAAACGACAAGTGCTTCAAGAATGTCGCAGGGTGAACAACAAACTTCAAATCGAACCAATCTATCTGTGTTAAGAAATCTCCGTAAAGGAGGATTGATATAAAATTTTTAATCTCAAGCTTCTCATCAAAATTTATTTCATAAACCCAATACAAATTTTCTGTAGTGTTTGCTAGTCTTCTCAATGCTTTTATTTTGTAACTTGAAATTGTTTCGTTTTTTTGTGATAGATTTACAAAAATACACTTATGATTCTTCTTTTTTACATTTTCATTATTCTCAAGTATTTATTTATATGATAAATAATGCTAACTGATAATGCCATGACAAAACATACAAAATATGTTGGGATTTGTTGATTCTTTTGTAAATAACCATAAATAATTTTACTTTTTTACGTTCGATCGCTCAGTATTTTTGTTCAAACTTGACCATATAATTGATTTTTTCATAAATTTAAAATTTAATTTAATTTATTGCAAATATTTATTATAATAACGAATTATAGCCATTGATACGGTTAACACAGTAATATGCAAAAAAAAACAGACTAGACCAATAACGATTTATAGATATTTTTTCTTAGTTAAATGAAACTGTGTAAATAACATTACAATAAAGGAGAAAAAATAAAGTAATTTTAACTTTGTATGAAAGAGAAATTTTACGCCTGAAATATCGTTTTATTCTTTTTTGATTTCAAGTATTTGCAAAAAAAGGCACTTGATAATCAAAATAAATTCGAATGTTTGAAATAAATGTCAACATTTTTGTTTGTTTGTTCTTTTCACAGATAGGTTTGATGATCAGTTTTTGATTGCGTTATTTTGGATGAATTCGGATTCGATTTGGAATTGTCATCAATATCAGGATTGTTATTGTTGTTATTCAAAGTCGAGATCGAAGAAGAAGCTGATCGTTGATGTCGTTTTTTTAGTGATGGAAATGAAGTTGTATCCAATATTGAATCACGCCCATCATTCATGCTTAAATTCGATGATGATCCAGTTGACGAATTAGATGAATGTGTCCGTGGAGGTCTATGTGGCGGCGGTGGCGTTGATGCCGGTTCAAATGGAATTTTAATTTCTTCTTCATTTTCATTATCATTCTTTTCCATCATTGCCTCTAACGAAGGATAAATTGATGAGTGTTGTTCGTCAATATTTGATTTGGAATCATCTTTGAAATCAATGAGAACTTTTTGCTGTATACTATGATCACTCAAATCTTTTGAAGATCTGCTATTCTGATCATCGGATTCAGAATCAATATGATTCAGTTCTGGGTATTTATCGACCAATTGAATATTATCATTAGATGATAGCTGAGATTTCGAGTTTTGATGTCCGATTTCAGCTTTAGATTGTTTTGGTGTCAATGATGGGCGTGGTGGAACACTTGGTGGAGCGACCATTGGCCTTTCACAAACAGATTTTGGACGGATTTTAGTCGTCGCCATTATGGGTGGTTGCGGTCGAAAAGTTGACATCGATTCGGGAGATTTTCGTAAATAGATTCCGGGTGATTCATCAGTTCTAACAGTACCTTTTGTGGTAAGATAGATTGCAGTCGGTATTGGTTCTTCACGGTTCGATTCTTTTATAATTGGATCCGGATTTTGTGAAATTTCATTACTATTACTAATGGTAATATTTTCTCCTTGTTGAGTGAGAGTAGGCTTATTGAGAGCGGAAGGCTTTTGAAATTTGAATGATGCAACTTTCGAACGAATTTTCGTTGATGATGATGTCAAACTACCAGTTGGACTTAGATCAATATTGGTTGTTTGAAGTGATGATTGTGATGATGTCATTGATGACGGAGGCTTTGGTGCTGGTTTTTTCTTCTTATCCACCAGTTGCTGATTGATTTTATCATTGCTACTATGATGATGATGATTCAAAATTGGAGAAAATTTTGTAGCATTCAAAGAAAAATCTTGATCATCAGAATTATCGCTAAATGATGATGAATTATCAATCATGTTTGTTTGTACCGGAGAAGTAGGTGAATTTGTCGCAAATTCGGGAAATTCTAAATAGAGCGCAAAAAATTTCTAAAAATTTGTTTATTTTAAAACGATGAAAAACTAACCATTAGGGAAGAAATAATCACAATAGGTAATCAATGCTTCAACTAATGTCGGCAGATGATTCGACATGCTTAAACTGTTTGGGAGAAAAAAGTTTAAATTCAATTAAAGTTCAAATTTCACTAATCATAATGTTAAATGATCTACATACTCGCATGAATCTCTTTCAGACCAAAGTAAACTTGGACCCAAAGCAATGGCTAAATTTTGACTTGACATTTTATTAAGTTCGGAATATTTTGTTAATTCATGTAGAAATTTCATCAGATAACAAAGATTGTTCCGATTTGCTTCCGGTAACTTTGTACAAACTGTCCATATCGATTTCAACCGTTCATTCTGATCCGATTCTCTGCATAAATGGATTGAAATTGTGCAATAAGCATAAGATTTGTGAAACTTACTTGGAAGCTTCGATCCAATCCGGATAGAGTCGGAATGTCAATAAAGGTTCAGGTAATTCACGAAGATAGGATTTCAATGTACTAACAACAGCAGGTGCATCATTTTTCATTTCACTCAACGCTTCTAAGCGACCAGCATTGAATGCATTGCGCATCCGTTTAACTTTGGAAAGACTACCGGATATACGAAACAATCCTTCTTCGCGTACGAATGGAAAAAGATATTCAACACATTTTTCGATCACAACAGAAATTTTTCTTCCAGACGAACGAAGATGCTCTTCCAATGGACAACCAAACACTGGTCGTTGTGATGTATTCTCTATTCATAATAAAATAATTTTATTCGAAAAGATCGTAATTTTTTTTCTAAAAATGACTTACTTAACACTCCTTCCAAAACCGGAATGTAATGACGAATTTGTTGTAACATTTGTTCATGATAGATTTCTAATAATTTAATATATTGGAAAAAAATTTCCGATATTGTTAATTCTTTGCCAAGAAAATCAAAGATTTCAATTTCATATGCGTCCTGACATTGTTCCAATTTATGTTCACTATATTCTACATCCTTTTTCAATGTTTCAATCTTGTTCTGTATATCCAAACTTTGTTGAGCACTTCTAGTGAATGAATCATGTTTAGAACGTGCTGTTTTTAATTCTTCATATGCTTTTGTTAATTGTTTTTTTGTACGATGTATTGAAGGTAGATCTTCATCAAGATATTTTTCAATTCGATTTAAACAATTTTGTTCAATGTTTGATTCATGTTCGGCAAGAATTTGTGTGAATTCATTCTGCAATTGAGAACATGTTAACAATGTTTTACCTAATACCGAATCATTTTTTGATAAAGATAATATTTCAGATGCTTCATTGAAAAATTTATTTAGACTAGTACTAGGAAATTTTTTCGTTTTCTTTTCCGGTGCAACCGGATCAGCACCTAAAGTACGTCGAGGACTTATTAAAGAATTTGATAATTTTTTTTCGGCTGTTGTCAATATTGATTTAATATTTTCCATATGTTTTTCATCTTTCATCACTTCGGTTGATAAGATTTGCCGATCATTTCTATTTCATTAAATTGATATGAATAATTTTAAAAAAATAGGATTAGCAAATTTTGGTAAAAAGCAATTTAGAAGAAAATAAATAATACTGACTTTGATTTTGAAAGAACGGAATTTCCGTGAACAAAATCTCTAAACTTGTTGAATTGATTCATATTTTTTTCTTCTTATTATTGTAGGGCGTCGATATTTATCGATGAAAAAAAAGATAGATTGATTGGGGTGGGAAATTTTTCTTGTTAAACACAAGTGTTTGTTATTTTTTTCGTCGTAATCAGATCATCATTATAATCATCACTATGATTATTACAGTAAATGGATCAAAAATCCAAATGTCATTCACATCTTTCAATAATCATTGTGGAAAATCCGAAAATTAATAAAAGAAAATCGACACACATCACGCACAAACAAATAAGTTGTAATGAGAAAAATTTTAAATTAAAATATAACCTGAAGCATAAATTGAACGGAAATTATTATTTATTTTTAAAAAAATTAAGTTAGCAAATTTTCGATGTTTCAATATTGATGGGTCATGGCGTTTTTTCCATTTGCATATAAACATAGGATGATTAAGTCAAATTCGATTGAATGTTAAATGCACAAACAGAAAAAAATATTTGTTCATTGAATATTGATTGACTGGTTGAATTTTTTTTTCATTTAATAATTTTGTGTGTAACCACCAAAATATTGATGATTAAACAAATTATTGATTTGATTAAATGATTTTGCCCATTCATTCCAACTTGTTGATTATAATCATGACATCAGTTATTGATGATGGTGATGGCTGAAAACCATATAACCACAGAGAATAATATCAACGACAACAGTAACAATCAACAAGTTAATAATGTTGATGATAATAAATTATCCCTTATAATTTTTGATATATACATCTGTATGATTGGATTTGTTATGTATGATAATATATTGCCCATATATAAAATATTTAATTTGTTTTTTTTTCTACAAACTAAATAAAATGGATCACGGATATCGTCGATATGTTTTTTTCTTGATGCTAAATATATTGAGTCATTACAAACGTTATAAACACAGACACCGAGAAAAAAGAGAAACAATAATTATCATCACAAATATTGTCATACAAAGTTTATTATTATTATTATGATGGTGGTGGTGGTGGTGGTGATCATCGATGATGAACGAATGATTTAGGACAGAAGGCCACTATGTTTAATTTTTTTTAGAGTTGATAATTATGAATAAATAATGGATTGAAAACGAATCAAATGAATGGATGAAAGAAATATTTAATTTTTGTAACCGCATTCAGTTTGTTTTCTTGAGCACAGATTATAAAAAAAACGTAAAATAATATTTTGGTTTCGAAATAATAACAATCGTATATAGTCAACAATAACATTAAATTTCACAATATCAATTATTATTAGATGATTACAGTTGAAACAATAATATCAAATATCGACAAAATTTTTGTTTTGAAAAAAAAATCATAAATGATGATTACTCATCGCTTAAATTCTTCAAATAGTTTTTTTCGGAATAAAAAAACTGAATGATTATCACTGAATCAAAAAAAAAGAAACAAATTTTTCATAATCATTCGACAATGACGTTCGAAAATGATGTTGAAAATTTTTTTTTGTTTGGAAATTGAAATAGATGATGATTATAATGATGATGATCTCAATTTTTCAATTAATTCGAAAAAAATCAAAATAAAACGAAAATAATAATCAATAACAACAGTGTGTTGAAAAACAACATCAACAAAAAAAAGAGAGAAATCATTCTCGATAATATATCAAAGTTAGGTCAACAATACTTTATCATCATATAAATCATATATTTTCCATTGACATTTTCATGTTTCAATTCTATGATTAGAAAATTATTCAATAATAATGATCGTTGTTCCAACGTATATCATATTTTGGACCTTTTCGAAAACATCTTAGAATGGTCGTAGTTTTTATGGTGCTAATAATGATGATTAGAGTTGTTCTCTGTTTCTCTATTGGTCTTTCTCTTTTTTTTCGTCATTTATTCTCATATATCAACAATATGTGATGAAAACAGAAATGAAATCGAAATTTTTTTTAATAGTAAAATAAAGATGAGAAAAAAAAAAGAGAAAAGAATGAAAAATGTGTACATATCTTATTGAGAATGGTGACAGTAATAATAAAAATTACAATGAATGATGTTGGGATACATTTTACAGATAAAAAAACATTTTATTGTCGACAGTAGAAAACAACAAATACACACCCCGTTTCGAATCAATGTAATTAAATGGAAATGATAAAAAAAAACATTGGCCACATTTTCATACAATGATGAAAGAATTGGAGAAAAAAAAATTACTTGAAATCTATAAACATGTTTCTGTATATTATGAAAAAAATACATGCATGTTCCAAGATGATATGATATTTTTAGTTTGAAATCGAATATCATCTTTATTGTTGTAGTTTTTTTTCGAATTCGTATTTTTTTATAAATATAATAAAAACGATGCGAACGACACAACCATTATTTTGGAATAAATGGATGAAAAATGGCCGAAAACCGGCAAGGCCACCTTATCGTTTTACTGAATGTAAAAAACTAGAATTAAAAGATTATGTTAGTGGTGGAGATCGCCATTCATCTGGTAAATTCATTATTGAACATATGTTTGCTAGCTAAAATGTCAATTTTTCGAATGATTAATTATATTCAATTTACAGAATTGGCATGCAATTCCCAAATGATGGACATGATGAATTGCCTGAAACAGTATGATTTTGATGAACAAAAATGCTCTCAACAGATCAAATCATTTCGTTCATGTTATAACACCTTTTTGGTAAGACTATTCTTCTATTAATTATAGATGTGATTTTCTAACCAACTTCACCATTAACAGGAAAACCAAAAAAAAGCAAAACTTGGTTCGAACAAAAATGAACCGATTCCTCATCAACAAAAATTGACTCGTGTTCAAGTAAATACAATGTTAAAACGTTATCCTCAACCTCGATAAATATTTACTTATAAATTGTCTTGAATAGAAATAAATTCTAGATTTGTTTTATAAAATTTTGTGAATAATTAATAAAGATTTTTCGTAAATGAATTTTTATTTCTTCATAATTTGTTGTACGCTATTATAACCCTAATTAGGGTGTATATAGACCATAGAGTCAATGATTTTTTATAATTGCCATCATTAAATTATAACGAGTGAATTTCATTTCAATTGAAAATTTAGTTTTCATGGTTTTATATAAGTAAAATATGAAGATAATAAAGCCAAATTGGGTCAAACAAGAACATAAAGGTTAGATCTCAATTAGGTATTTAATATATCGATGATATATCCTTTTGACAGGTATACCGCTTTCAATATTTTCCATTGATATTCATCCGGATGGGACTCGATTCGCTACTGGTGGCCAAGGAAATGATTGTGGTCGGGTTGCAATTTGGAATTTCTCAGCTGTCATATCGACCAAAGTAGAAAATGATGAAAATCAGCCAAAACTTTTATGCCAAATCGATAGTCATCTTCAATGTGTCAACAGTGTAAGATGGTCACACGCGGGCAATTATTTGGCCTCAGCTGGTGATGACAAATTGATTATGATATGGCAACTAGGAGGAAGATATCAGGGCCATACAGAGCATTACCGCACAGTTTCTACATTGCGTAGTCATTCCGGTGATATTCTTGATTTGAGCTGGTCTCATGATGACAGATATTTAGCTTCGTGTTCAATCGATAACATGATCGTCATTTGGAATGCACAACGTTGGCCAGAGATAGCGAAAATTCTGAAAGGACATTGTGGCTTAGTGAAAGGTGTTACTTGGGATCCTATCGGAAAATATCTTGCATCACAATCTGCTGATAAAACATTGCGAATATGGCGCATTTCCGATTGGTCGGAAGAAGTTTGCATCAAAGAACCATTCGAACAGTGCGGTGATACAACACATGTTCTTCGACTTTCATGGTCGCCCGAAGGACAATATTTGGTCTCAGCACAGGCGATGAACAATTGTGGCTCGGTTGCTAAAATAATCGAGCGCCAGGATTGGTCTTTTTTGCGCGATTTTGTTGGACATCGTAAAGCTATACCATGCTCACGTTTCAACCCAAATATGTTTAAATTTTTTGCAAAACCCAAAAAGAAAAAGGGCCAAAATGAAGCTGAAACAAATAACAAGGATGTGAAAGATAGTCAAAGACAAAAATTCAAAACCCATTGCATCTGTGCTCTCGGATCGCGTGATCGGTCCATTTCAATCTGGTCGACAGCTAGACAACGTCCATTGGTCGTCATTGATGATGTTTTTGGTAACTCTGTTGTCGATTTATCATGGTCAAGATGTGGTTATCAACTTTTAGCTTGTTCCGTCGATGGTGGTGTGATTTGTTTTCAATTCGATCCAAAAGAATTGGGTTCAATTTACGACCAAGAAGAACGTGTACAATTTTTACAACAATTATATGGAAATTCATTGTTTTCTCCTACAAATTCCATAGGAAATAAATTAATCGAAGATATGGACATTTTATTGTTGCAACAAAAAGATGATAAGAAAAATGAATCATCGCAAAATGGATTATCTTTCAATTCGGATGGATCAGTGAAACAATTAGGAAATTCAACTAATCAAAATGATAGTGAGCAGAAAAAAACTGTAAATACAACACTATTGAAATCTTCTACTACCTCACCATCATCATCATCATCATCATCAATGGTTGAAAACAAAGAGCCACCGAAATCATCAACAAATCATAGTCCCGGAAGACTAGCAAAAGGTCCTACCGATAAGCAAATAGAAATTCGTTCTGCTGATGGTCGCCGAAGAATAATTCCATTATTCATACCTCCGACGACTGTGGCACCAGATTCGGTCGCTAACAATACCGATACGAATAACTCGATTAGTAATCAACAAAAACCACCTTCAAGCTCTGCCTCTTCACGTCCAATTTCTTTCAGCTCTTCAAGTGAATCTAAAAGTAAAATTGTCATCGAAACGTTAGATGAATCTAATCCTGGATCAAATTTACACGAAGCATATCAGTATTTGAATAGTAATTCTTTCAATGGATTCGGAAAATCCTTGGATTCGAATGCCAAAGATCCAACAGATAAAATGCAAACGAATGGCGAATCTGAAACCAATGGAGAAATTCTTAAAAATTCATCATTTCCAAATGAGTTAGCTTCATCGACCAATCATAATGTTATGCAAAACAAATCATCTGATGATTCTTCTGATAACGAAATTGTTATCAAACGTTCTAAATCATTAAAACGTCCTCCAAGCAAACAACTAACAACATCAGTTGAGCGGCAAGCAAAACGTAAAGCAAGCAAATCTACATCAGGTGCACCAATAAGCCTAACAAAATCTAATTTCGGTGCTCAAGATTCAATCAATACCGTGACCATTTCTAATAATGAAATGACAAAATGTACAGAGCCAAAAATTTCTTCCTCAAATAAATCTTCATCATCTATGATAAACATTACTACAACAAAACCTTCTTCTTCTACACCAAATCTTAATATTCAGATGACAACGACTAATGGGCAGCAATCATCACAGATTTCTTCTACACCCAATTTCATTTTTCCACCATCAAGATTGCCTAGGCAAAATCAGTCTAGTATTCGATTATTTACAAGATCTGAAGATGGCAAACAATTCGGTAAGTTTTTTTCTAAACAAAATTCTTTAATGCCTTCAATATCTATTATATTTGTTAGCTGTAAGCATTGAATATCCACTATCATCAAGCGGTATCTGTAAATTATCTGCATTTGTCCATGATCAACTTTATTGGTCAGTAATGATTTCTGATCCAATATTAGCGGTTGCTGGTAGCGAAGAATTGGTAGCTTGTTTCTGTCAAGACTATACCCTACAGGTTTTCCACTCGAGCGATGGACGACGATTATTCGTTCCAGTTATTCTAGATTCTCCAGTGGCACGAATGACTTGCGCCAATAAATTTCATCTTCTAATGATAACAAGTAATGCTCGTTTATGGCTTTGGGATTTTCGTATTCCAAAAGTTTTAGTTCACGGCGAGAGTTTGGTTCCTCTTTTGTTAGATCCAAAAAAGTCTGAGCAATTCTCTTTACAAGGTGCATCAGTATCAAGTACATCTAAGCCGATTGTTACCGTTTCCAACGGTAGAACATATATTTTCGAACCCGATTTTCAATCATGGTGTCTTCTTAACGATTTGAACGATCCATTAAATTCTTGTACCGAACTTCGTCCTTGTGCAGTAAATACTATCAAACAACTTTCATCATTTTCAAAATTTCCAAGGTTTGTCCCATCCACACTAATCATGACTATTAATTTTTATTTGATTTTTGATAGTCGCTCGATCATGAATTTTTTCTCCTCAAACATACCGATGGCACAACAAAGCGCAATGAGTTTTATGGAAAAACAAATTGAAATTGCTAAGCTTATTGGATCGTCAGATGAATACCGATATTGGATTCTTAATTTTGTTAAACAATTAGTAACAATGCATTCAAATGGTGGTGGTATGCATGCGGCAAATATTGAAAATCGCTTGAAAGAACTATGTAAGAATTTACTTGGTCCACCATTTTCTCTTCAATTGTTGGAACAGAAAAATACTCAAAGCATTGTTGGTGTAAATAAGCATAATTTATTACGAGAAATTCTATCGATATTAGCTTCAAATTTAGGCCTACAAAGATTATATCTAGAATTCAAAGATTCACTCGATTCAGTCGCTAATTCAACAAAATCAATGCTGAAAAATCCGTTTGCTACTCGAACGACATCAAATGATTTTAATGTTGGCGATTCGAATAAAAATGAAGACGAACAAAAACTCACTCAAAATGAGTGATAACAATTTTTTGAAAAATTTTCATTTATAAAATTTCATATTTTAATTACATTTTTGATAATTAACAGAGTTTTTCAAGAATTCGAAAAATAAATTATTTTCCGAAAAATTGCCGCCGAAAATTTATTTGAATTTTTTCTCATTCTATTATCAAAACAAAAAAACTTTCCAGGAATCACATATCTGAGTTCGTTGTTTGGAGCAGTGGCTGAAACAAATGGTCCCTTGTGTGTGTGTGTGCTTCTGTATGATTTCATTTCTTTTTGTTTGGTTTTGTGGTTGATAATTTTAAAATTTTTCTTTAGACAACGATTTAAAATCATTTCATCACAGAAATTATATTCGTAATGAGTATTTCATCTTCAACACCAAATCATAATTCACGAACAACATCGGAACATGGTAGCCGAACTTCAAGTCGCGGTAATCCGACACCTGAAACTATTCAACATCGTGTTATGAAGTCTGTTTCTGATTATAATCGACAATTGAATCAAGAACGAAAAGAAGATCGCCGTGTTTGTATGGATCTTCAGACCTATACGATTCAATATCCCGTCGGTCTAGGACGTGAAAATAGAGGCCTTCGACAATGGAGTAGAAAGCGACGGCGAATTTCACCAATTTGGCGTAATGGTCGTCGATATCCAATCGCGTTGCTTCCCAATCAGTACCAAGATTGGTTTCTTCAATACACAACACAAGAACTTAATTATTTGCCATTAAACACTGTATTACATGGTCCTGTAGCTCCTGATTTCGATAAATTATCATCATCATTATTGCAGATGACAAGAAATCAACAGAATGAAAACGATACCGATTCAGAAATGGATGGGTCAGATGTTTTATCTGATTTTGATGATGATTCAACATGTAGCTGCGGTGAAGTTCATAGTGCACCAAGTCCACCTATGAAATCACTAGAGGAATCTATGGATAATTCACAATTGTCAACAAACAATAATGAACCACCACTTGATAGCTTTAATAATGGAAATTTTTCTCAACCATTATCAACAAATCTTCAATTTCAAAATGGGCATAATAATGATAATCCTTCCGAAGTTTCTTCGTCATTGAAAGGGGGAAAGATTTGTAAAATTTGTAGACAAGATACACAAGGATCAAATATCGAACCACTTTGCTGTGCTGATTGTGGTGTTATTTGTCATCCTGCTTGTCTGGACATTAGTGGTGAATTACTCGACGCTATTCGTCTTTATCGTTGGCAATGCCAAGATTGTAAATCATGCCAGAAATGTGGCCATCCACATGATGAAGAAAGAATGATGTTCTGCGATAAATGTGATCGCGGTTACCATACTTATTGCGTAGGACTTACTGATATTCCCCAAGGACATTGGGTTTGTTCCCTATGTGCTATCTGTGCAAATTGTGGGACAAAAAATCCAGGTGAAACATCCAGGCAAACATCAATGCAACCATTGACGATTTCGACAGCTAGCCATCAAAATAAGCAATGGCAACATGAATTGATCAAAATTCATAGTCCAGATGGACAAACATTGGTTAGACATTCGGTATTTTGTGAAACATGTTATCAGCTAAGAAAATTTTGATCGTTATATTCATGACAAAATCATTATTATCATTGTTTAATTTAGACCAAAATCATACACATTCACGAATAGTGATTAATTTTAACACAATTTCGATTTTTGTAAAAAATTAATTTCATTAATAAACACACCAATATTGAGAGAGATTGGTAATTTTTTCAAAAATTTTTAAATTAACAATAATAAGGATACAATAATCAAAAATCAAATAATCAACAAAATCAAATTTGATCATTTTTTTTGTCTGTCTTGTCGCTCTTTTTCAATTTAATTTGTAACTGTTAGGTTCACAAATGGGATGACGAAAATTCAAATTGTAAAAAATTTTACGTTTCGAAGAAAAAAAAATCAAATTGTAAAAATATTTTTATTTTTATTATACAAATAAAGTAAAAAAAAATTCTTTTCATTCTTCACAAATCATCATCATGATCATGATCAAATATATATTGCTGTAGCGTTTATTCAAGCAACAATTTGATTATTACAAAAGCAATGTGAAAATTCATCATCTTGGGCTTTTTTTTGATTGGACAGAAACTTCGATGCTCGTATGCAATGAAGAATAAAAATGATTGAAAATCGTATGACAAAAATTTTTGTTTGTTTGTTGATCTTTTTATGGCTCACAATATCGTATCTGATCGGATTGAAATTAATTTGTTTTGTTATGGATAAATTTTGTCTTTTTTGCTGATAATTTATCTAAGCTTTAAAAAATCATCAGATCCTTATGTTTTGAGAGAATTTTTTTCAAAAAAAAAAAAAATGAATGGCAAATCATATTTGTGATAAATGTGGATGAAAAGCAAAAAAAAAATTAATGTGAAAATTAATACGAAAGCAAAAATATATTTGTATCGAAATAAATGTGTTTTGGTGTTTTGTTTTTTCGAATTGAATGATTGACCAATTGAAATTAAGAAGAAAAAAGATTGAATAAAGAAAAAAAAAATTAGGTCAAAAAAAGGTAATAATTAAATTCAAGACAAAAGAAAATACGAAATTGTAAATTAAATGATTTGTAATAATAATTTTCATGAAATTATATGGCTAAATTCAGTGTATTCATTTATGTGTGAACCAAAAAAAAAAAAAAAAAAAAAAAAATTAAAAAAAAAAAAAATTTGGGGAAAAAAGGAAAAGGGAGAGGGGCCCAGGGGAAAACCCTTTTTCCC